ATCTGTTGCCTGCAATCGCCCGGTGGAATTCATCAGCACAAAACCAAGCACTTCCAAACCGGCAAGTTAGGTCCTACCACGCCCCCAAAATCACGTGCTGATAACGCTCTCCGTGCTGTCCAGACCACGTGACGCTCGTTGCGTCCGTTCGAGACAACGCTTCCAGCCTCGAAGTGGAACGTAACGTCAAGCTAATCTCTATGGTAACCAAACGCATCGATACGGACAGGGGCGTAGCGAGGGGGGGGGGCGGGGGGGCGGACCGCACCGGGTGACACCATTTAGGGGGGTGACACCAAGGCAAAAAATAGCAAAATATATAGAGAAAAACTCGAGGGGGGGTGCAAATCGAAAGTTTGAGGGGGGGGGGGGGTGCAAATCGAAAACTTGAGGGGGGGTGCAAATCGAAAGTTTGAGGGGGGGTGCAAATCGAAAATTTGAAAGTTTGTCACTGGGAAGGGTCTCTATGCCTCTGGGGGGGGGGGTGACACCATTAAGTGCCGCACCGGGTGACACCCAACCTCGCTACGCCACTGGATACGGACCAGACAACAAGGTGTTGACTTAAGTATAAAGTATAAACCAATTCACAAGTAAATTATCTCGCAACGATAAACAACAGCTTTTGTTTTTTCATTGTTACACTTTTTACTCAAAATATACACTTCAGTTTTTGTATTTTTACTTAACTTGTAATCTCAAGTACAGTCTAATTTTACAGATTTAGACGGTCAGATTTAAATTGAATAACGACCCTAAGATGACGTTTATAAATGACGTCACGCAATTTTAGTCTATTCTACCTCAACTTATGACTGTTCTCAAACGTACAAAAATAAAGACCCCATCCCCCCTTTTACCCACAAAGTATTATGGCTCCTCCAAGTTCCAAACTAACGTAAATAAACACCTTTTATTTTATTCCTAAAACTTCAGAATCCAAACCATCTCTTGAACCCCCTACCTGACCTTCGCTTCACTTCACTTCCCCTCCCCCTCCCCCTCGCCTTTGATGTGACTTGTTCCACCCTCTCTACATGAATATTCATCGATGGCCTCTAGACGCTATCTTTCTGATTGGTATATTAAAGAGACAACTCCATTAGCCGTTGTGTAACCGGCTAACAAATTCCCTGACGTAACCATTTAATTAAGCTAGTCCTAATAGTTCATTTACAGTACATGGCACGGCGCCTAGACTTCTGTAAAATCTACTGCGGGTATAGACTAGAGGTCCCAGACAGGGAAATCCTAGAAATAAATGGATTAAGTAAAGAAGGATTAGGAGGCTTTATATAGGAAATGGATCCGAACATGTTACCTACTTTACCAATTACTTAATCCAACACTGGCGACATCATCATTAGATAGAGGTTTCCCTACTTTGTTGAGGAACCGTGCCAATCCTTGGCATACATTTGTGAACTGGAACTTTTTTGTGCTAGACTATAGAGCGTGTTTCTCTTTTGATGCATTCGCAGTTGAGGGTGGATCGGTAAATGAATTAATAGTTTTATATATTACCAAGTAGACTTTCTTAATACATTTGAATTTAACATTTTGATAACAACTATAATCGCATTCCGACAAGTATCCAACGCCGTTCGGGCAAGTGTCTTTCGGGAAAACTTCCTGTTCCCATTTATATATATATATATATATATATATATATATATATATATATATATATATATATATATATATATATATATATATATATGTATATATATATATGTATATGTATATATATATATATATATTCTCCGTGTAAATGTGTTTTCAGTTGTAGTTTTTAGTTTTTAGTTTCTACTAACAGCATATTAATAAACGATTTGGGATAAATCTTCCTCTCTCTACTAGATCTCATTATCCTTCAAATCTGTCAGGTATTACCACCTGCAAGTCGAACAAACATTATTAAACACAACAGTTTGACGTCACAGTTGATGATATATGAGTTTATTTGATTTCGTTAAACTATACTACACTTTGCTAACTTAAATTAGGCGAGCCTGACAAATAAAAGCCTGTTTAATCAAAAACATACCTCATCAGCACAAATAATGTAAACACAAATATAAATGCTCTTATAATTAAAATGTCCACAGTTTTAAATGTAGCATTTGGGCGTACCTGCGAAGAGGTCGAGAAATGTAACTACGATGAAAAGGTGCACGCAGACTTCTGGTATCAAGGAAACTTGCGCGCCATGTGTCGGTGAGTATACATCAACAGTATAGCTATACGTTTTACTTTTTAGTGAGTACATGTCAGCAGTGTAGTTACACGTTCTGCTTGCTAGTGAGTACACATTGGTAGTGTAGCTACACATTTCACTCGCTAGTGAATGCACATCAGTGTAGCTACACGATTTACTTGCTAGTGAGTAAACATCAACAGTGTAGCTACACGTTTTACTTGCTAGTGAGTACAATTCAGCAGTGTAGCTACACTTTTTACTTGCTAGTGAGTACAATTCAGCAGTGTAGCTACACTTTTTACTTGCTAGTGAGTACAATTCAACAGTGTAGCTACACGGTTTACTTGTTACTGAGTACAATTCAACAGTGTAGCTACACGGTTTACTTGCTAGTGAGTACAATTCAGCAGTGTAGCTACACGTTCTAGAATCTACTTGCTAGTGAATACACATCAGCAGTGTAGCTACACGTTTCACTTTTTAGTGAGTAAACATCAGTAGTGTAGTTACAGTTTTTACTAGAGACGACATAATGATTTGAATAAATGAAAAGCAATATTTTTAAAAATGAATTCATAGTTTTCGTACCATCCCCCACACAGTATGGTGAGAGCTACCGCAGACTGCATTCAGCTATCTATTGTAGATTGTCGAACCAAGGGACAAAACTTTACTCAACTCTCAAAGCAGATTCAGGAACACGAAAAATTTTTGAGCTCCTGTGAACAAGGTCAGTAAAAAAAAATCGATTCCATTAATGGGATTAGGTTTTACCGAAAAGTACAAAACACACTTTCCAAAGTAATGCGTTGTTTTGAGGTAATGACTGTAGATAAACGCGCTTTTGTCTCCCCTTTTTTTCTCTACTAGCCATTCTTTATCGAGTACTTTCTCCATTAAAATTAATGCAATCTGTTTTTGTTGTTTTTTCTTTTATATTTTTTTTCTCTCGTTAAATTGCACAGTTATAGGTAGTTATTACATTTGTATGCTCCCAGCCCAAAATATGTTCATTGTGCACTCTAGCGTTTGTTTTTTTCTATCACTGTAACGTACGGATATAATTGGTGGCGCGACGCAAGTTGTTGGGGTAGTAAGAGTGGCGAGTATGTATTATTATATTATCTAATGAAAATTTCACAGCTTACAATTTTAAAATCGTTTATCTCAATGTTTTCTTAAGCTTCTCCAACAATTAACACAATGTTGGCGTGCTTGCTTGTTAAGTGTTATAATAAAAAAAAAATTTCAATTAGAGGGAGACTAAAAATTAAAAAGGTGAATATTTAAAATTGTCTACCCTGAAAACGTACGTACTTACTAATACTGTAGGCTCATTTTGAAGTACCGTAGGGAGATGAGACACACATTTCAAGAAACGAACCACAAATCTTTACACCTCGCGTTAGTCCCCACCTGTATGAAATGGGTTGGGATAAAGCACAGTTGCTAGATCTTATCGCAAAACCCAAAGCAACTGGCGGAGATTGTAAATGTAAAGGTGGAGGGACTAACAGAGACGTAGCGACCCTTCCCGGCGCCCGGGGACAAACATTCGATTTGCACCCCCCCCCCCTCGAACTTTTCATTTGCACCCCCCCCCCCCCTCAAACTTTCAATTTGGCGGCCCCCCTAAGGTCGGCGCCCGGGGACATATGTTCTCCCCCGCCTCCCCCTCGCTACGCCTCTTGGGGCTAGGGACATTGTAGGCCTACTTGCCATATCATCTCCTTGTGATTCGTGAGCTTTTGAACTAGGTTCTAAAACTATATCTATATATATAATTCTCTTCTGGGAGCCGTTAGAAAACAAGCTGCAAGCGCCTCCTTGCAGTCCCCTCTCTTTCTCTCTATCACTATCACTACCACTCCCACCCCACCCCCACATTGTCTGGTGAGCTGTGGTCACGCTAAATGTTTACAAAGCTAAATGTTTACAAATCTTAGAGCCGTAGAGCCGGGTTTCTATTAGGGGCAGATAATTTAGCTCGATTTTAAACTTACAGGAGGTAACTCCTGGTAACTAAGAAATAACTAAGAGGAGGCTGCTTTCACGGGAGGGGGGGTGTAGGATCGGGGTTAGGGGAAAGGGGGGGGGGTTAGTGTTTTAAAGCAAATATTTTCAGTTGCAGCATTGGTACTGTCGAATTCACAAATTATGAATTACTGAAAAGTAGAAAATAAAACAACTAAATAGCGGCGTATGATACGCTGCGGGTCGGCTCGTATATTTATAATCTTAAACGATTCACTCAGATTACTTAACTGGGTTTGTAATTTGGGTTTTGTTTTATTTTAACAGAATCAACAACAACAACAACAACAACAGCGTACTGGACTCATTTTAAGCGTGGCAAAAAAGGAGGGACAAAAAAGAAAACTATAACACCTGGTAAGTGCTTTTGGGGCGGGGGAGGGGGGGGGGGGGGGGCGGAAAAGTAGAATTTTTACTATTGAATATTTTCAAATATACTGGAGGAGGGGGGGGGGTAATATATGAAGCAAGGTTTACAGTAGGCTACTCTTAAAAGAAAATATGTTATGCTTCCATTGGTGTAATAGTTAAGTCTAGTAAATAAATGTTCAATACATAAAATGTCATTATATATATATATATATATATATATATATATATATATATATATATATATATATATATATATATATATATATATATATACATGGGCTCAGTTTTTATTCACAGAACCCCCTCAAGTGGACAAATGTAGTGAGGATATTATGGCATGTGTTAGTTACACACGCGATCTGGGGAAGGAAACCCATGAAGAGATTGAGAAAATAGAAGAGTACTGCATGTAGGTTATTTGTTGTCTTTTATCTGTATATTGTTTGTGCTTCACTAAACTACACTTGAAAGGGTTGTAAATTACTTTTTTTAATTGTAATTTACTTGAACACAGAAAATATTTTTTTTTGTTTCTTTTATATAATAATTGAAATTGAATTCATAATTTTTTTTTTAAACGGCCACAAGACTTATTTTTTTAGTTTAAAAATAATTAAAGAAAATTAATGTGTTTTATATACATTAAAAAATACTTTTTTCACTCTATCTTCAAAATCCACGAGGAGATCAAAAAACTGATGTTCACAACAGAGGCGTATCCAGGTTTTCGGTGTAGGGGGAGCGGAAATAGCAAAAAAAAAGGCGCCGAATTTGTAATATCTTCTATATGAATATATATATATATATATATATATATATATATATATATATATATATATATATATATATATATATATATATATATATATCCTAATATATAATTCCCCATGTGCGAACTTCTCTCTCTCTCTCTCTCTCTCTCTGTCTGTCCGCAAAATATTTTCGCCGGACATCACGTCAGAAACGGCAGCGATATATGGAGAACTTTATACGGACTTTTGTTGAAAATAATATGTTAGATGTTTTAAATGTATAACCACAATTTTATTTAAAGAAGAAAAATAAAAAATAAAGGCGTATTCGAATGTAGAGAAACAGTATTATTTATGCAACCGGAAAAGCAATAATACATGTGAAAAAGAACGCATAAAACTGTGACGTCACTATTGCTTACACATTAACTAATGACGTCATCTGCCGTGTTTAGAATAAAAAGAAATGAACTATTTCATTCAAATTTGATTTAGATCAACGTACACTATGAAATGTATACAATACAATTTTTCCGGCCTAAACTCATAAAATTTATTTTATTTATTTGGATTCTAGATCTAGATATTCTAGATTCATCTATTCAAATAATACATTTCTATACTAAAGTATTTCAGGCCTTAATTACTTTATTGAAATCGTTGTTTATCTATGCAATTTGCTAATCTCTATAATATATATCGCAAAGTTGTCGGGTGCCCGATAGGGCACTTCCCGGCGCCGCAGGCGCTTCAAATTTGGCAGGATCTTGCCTTGGGGCGACAGAACACGGGGGCCGGTTGGCCGAAAAGTCTACGATGATGGGGTCAATACTGACCTCGACTGACCGGCGCCTTATATGAGCTATAAATCGAAAAAAAATGTCCACGGAGGAACCTCTTCATAACTCCTGAGGTCGTAGACCGACCCTCGGGCGAATTAATTAAGCATTCAAATTCTCAATGTTTTCGAAAGCCTAAGCAAAGCTGGGCAGCATGCCTAGTATATATATATTAGCTGTATGATATTTCTTCGATATGATGTAAAATAAATTTAAATTAGCACTTTTAAGGAAAAAAAAACATAATGTAGGCCGACGAAACAAAAACTAAATGGTTTCATACTAAACAAATATATATACGAGCCGACCCGCTGCGTATCATACGCCGCTACTTAGTTGTTTTTTTTTTCTTCTACTTTTCAGTAATTTATAATTTGTGAATTCGACAGTACCAATGCTGCCATTGAAAATATTTGCTTAAAAACACTAACCCCCTCCCCCCCCCCCCCCCCCGTGAAAGCAGCCTCCTCTTAGTTACCTCCTCTAAGTTTAAAATCGTTTTAAACTAAATTATCTGCCCCTAATAGCCGTCACCAAACCCGTCTCTATGATTGTAAAATGTAAACAGAGTGAATACCGCTCACCAGATCATGTGGGGGTGGGGTGGGGGTGGTAGTGATAGTGATAGAGAGAAAGAGAGGGGACTGCAAGGCGCGCTTGCAGCTTGTTTTCTAACTGATCCCAGAAGAGAATTATATATATATATATATATATATATATATATATATATATATATATATATATATATATATATATATATATATATATGTATGTATATATATAATCACACGAGAACCAAAAACAATAAACGGCATAATCTGTTTCGTAATCCTTGTAAAAAATGCATAATAATTCCTGGGACATCTATTAAGACTAGCGAAAAGGGGAAATAATCAATATCTTTATATAAATATGTATATGTCTACATATTTTATTATAAATATCAAAACAAATCAATAACTACTTAAGAATCTAATAAAGTAGTTTAACACTATTCGTTTTTACAAAAATATTTTATCTACAGTCAGAATTAAATATATTGTCATCATAAATGCTAAACTTTTACAGCATAACGAAAGTTTTTAAAATCAGAGTTGGTATAAAAGCCAGCTTTTAGAATTGAAAGTAAAATATTCGGAATACTAGCCTACATATAACTAAAATAACGGTCTTACATTACAGACCATGCATTTTTTAATTAGCTACAGACTTTTAGTGTTCTTCAAAGATAAATTTTTGACATAATGAGAAGGTATGGGTTAGATCACTGTATTGCTCACACACCTTTTACTGGTAATTGCAAGAACAATATTCACAGAGATTTACGTTTCAGATGTGCTGACCAAAGATACATTTTTAACAAATATCAATATCAATGTTTAAAACTTTGAGTTTAAAAAGTTTCCAAAAAGGCGCCACTTTGCTAAAAGTGGCCAGAGGGGGAGCAGCCACTCCCCCTGCTCCCCCCCCCCCCCCCCCCTGCGTACGCTACTGGTTCACAATTTTATAATGATTTATTTAGTTCTTGTAGACCTATTCATTTTATTATTTTTTTTTTTTTTTTTTTTTAACTTGGCTAGGCTATATTTTTTTTAAATCCTTTTCTTGTCGGATAAACACTCAAACCTTGCAACTTTGCCTAGTCATATTTAATTTTTTTTTTTTTTTGAACAGAAATTGTATATTTTGTCTGATCTCCAGAAAAATCCAGAAACAGTTAATCTGTTTGAAATCAACAATATCAGAGTGCAGAGAACGTGGATATGAATTAAATGACACTAAAGTTGATACATTGACAGACTTGTGGAGAAGCAATTGTAAGTTACCTCACGTAAAAATTATTAAAGATTCATCTATTCAAAAAATATATTTTAATTAAACTTTATTATTTACTAGTATAATTATGATGATTGTAAGTATTTGGTTTACACTGCCTTTATTTAAACAAATTTTTTTTTTAATTTGCATACAAACACAAACATCTCGCTTTTATAAAACTATACCTTTCATCTGAGTACTTTCACAGTTCAATGCCTTAAAATTGTTTGAGTTTTGCATTTAAATTTTTTTTTTAAATTGGAGCAAAAAATATTAACATGAATTTTGTTTACTAACTGCAGGCAATTCTACTACTAAGCTCTATGATACTGGTTCATCGAAGCAAAATGATGGGGAAAATCAAAGTTCAAACGTTCAAATTAACTCCATTCTTTTTTGCCTTGTCATCATGATTTCATTTATTTACAACATTGGTAAAGTTCATTTGTAGATGCATAAATATATTTATTTATTTCATTGGATTGTTAATAAAAGAAACATTTTTATAGTATATTTAGTCAAAAGTTGTAACTAAAACATTTTTAAGCTTATGAAATCTATTTTAAAACAGGAAAATTATGGTAATGGTAGTTGTTTTTATGTTTTTGTTAAGTGAAATATACAACAGCCATAATTAAAGTAAAATCTGGAAGTGAGTACAAGTGTAATATCAATAACTGCATTAAAAAGTGCATCAGTTTAATTTTCTATCATTCAATTGATAACATTTTTTTTAAAATTATATGTGACTGTTTTTAAATAACACTTTTATTATTCATGTTGAATGTTGCACTTTTTAATATAAATTATAAATTGCGCAAACATTGATGTACCTTGCTAACTTTTTAACTAATTTACAAAACATAACTAATTTTACCATTACTAACACTTTATTTAAAATATTCCTTACCTCAAATATTTCTTTAACTTGAGTATTCATGAGTCAGCAAATTAAATTATTGTTAAATTAAAGGTTATGGTTTTGTTTCTCAAGATTTGAGCTATGATGGGGCATCCAACCCTTTCTTTTCAACCCCTCTGTCAACAAAGTATGATAAAAAAAGTGCATTTTTAAATTAGTTTAAAGATACCAAGCTAAACTCATCAACTAATGACAGTGTAACTTTGATAACAGTACATTTTATCTGTTATCTGTTGTCAAATATAAATAAGCAGCAGTAAGTTTATATGTATATGTGATACATATGTGTACAAAAGTTGTATTTTTTCCTGGAGATTGCTGCTTATGCATAATCTGAAGTTGTTTGATGATCATTTTTGTGATATATTTTATCATGAATTTTTATTATGTTCTATAAAATTGTGTTGAAATTATGAAAACCTTTTATATGTTATTATTTTTTAATTTTAAACTTTAACTACACAAAAAGCATATGAGTAACACATTTTTGTAAAAATCGTATGTAGAACCTAAACAAATATGATCTTTCTTCAATATTATGAATATGCACCTCTTTCATAGTAAGTGAAGATGACAATCACATTTTTTAAACTCTTCTTCTGAAAAGGTGTGATACAAAAAAAATGTAATGCTAAAATGTAATTAAAATTGTGCATCTCAAAAGCATGACTGACAATCACAATTTCAAATCTATTGGAGTATTTGTAATTATAATACAAGGTAGTTTTTAATTTACAGATAGAATGTTTTTTTACTGTACTTTAGTTATTACATAGCATGTTAAAGATGATTTTAGTTTCCCAGTCATCACTAACCATTGTGAGAGGTCACTGAAGTTGCTTATTATTACTTACATTTTACAAGGCCTTTTATTTACACACTAGGCATGCTGCCCAGCTTCGCTTAGGCTTTCGAAAACATTGAGAATTTGAATGCTTAATTAATTCGCCCGAAGGTCGGTCTACGACCTCAAGAGTTATGAAGAGGTTCCTCCGTGGACATTTTTTTCGATTTATAGCTCATATAAGGTACCGGTCAGTCGAGGTCAGTTTTGACCCCCACATCGTAGACTTTTCGGCCAACCGGCCCCCGTGTTCTGTCGCACCAAGGCAAGATCATGCCAAATTTGAAGCGCCTGCGGCGCCGGGAAGTGCCCTATCGGACACCCGACAATCTAGATCTAGATCTAGATTCCTAAAAGAATTTTTTTTTTTAAGTTTAGCCCGAGCATAATAAAAAAGAATACATTAACCAAGTTGACTTGCTGTGTCTCGAACCCGCACCACCTGCGTGGTTTAATGTACACTAACATCTCCGCTATTTAGGCACCTTATAAAATACGGAGAATGAAACACGTATTTTAAAATCTTAACTTACGCGAATATGCCTATTCTTTCAAATTAATTTTTTATCCCAAATTAGCCAGTTCCAAACAAAGATTTTGTATAAAATAAATAAGTCTTGAAATAGTTTAGTCCTAATATAGAAATTTATTTTTGGAATTGATTTTAGAGAAGTTAGAGTCTAAATCTAGATCTTAGCGTCTACGTCTAGATCTAGTTATTGCGTAGATTTAGATTTAGATTTAGTCTAGATCTAGAATCTCTAGATCTAGAATCCAAATACATAAAATAAATTTTATGAGTTTAGGCCGGAAAAATTGTATTGTATACATTTCATAGTGTACGTAGATCTAAATCAAATTTGAATGAAATAGTTCATTTCTTTTCATTCTTAACACGGCAGATGACGTCATTAGTTAATGTATAAGCAATAGTGACGTCACAGTTTTATGCGTTCTTTTTCACATATATTAATGCTTTTCCGGTTGCATAAATAATACTGTTTCTCTACATTCGAATACGCCTTAAATTTTTATTTTTCTTCTTTAACTAAAATTGTGGTTATACATTTAAAACATCTAACATATTATTTTCAACAAAAGTCCGTAAAAAGTTCTCCATATACCGCTGCCGATTCTGACGTGATGTCCGGCGAAAATTTTTTGCGGACAGAGAAAGAGAGAGAGAGAGAGAGAGAGATGTGCGCACATTGGGCTTTTATATTTACACATGCGACTATGGCTTTTATTTTTATCATACATCAAAGTCCTGGAAATTGTATTGCAGAATTTCATAATGAAATGTATTTAGTTTATTTTGATCACTTATAAAATAATTGCTACGGAACACCTTGCTTTCATCAGTGAACAAAATAATCCTAAATTACATCATGTGCTGGGTAGTTACTGTTGTTCTGAAATGTGTAGATTTGTCATAAAAAGGTGTATTTTTTTTTAAGTAGTGAAACATTTGAATACACCAAATATGTTGATTAAACCTATGGCAGTTCATAAGAAAGCAAACAAAAAAAAAACTATTTTTGAGAGAATTTCACACTTCATTTATTTATTGGAAATTGTTTTTGACAGTAATATTATTCCAAAATTAATCAATTCTTTTTGCTATACTGTCCTAAACCTTTGCTATCTACAAACAGTTTTTTTTCAGGAACTACAAGCCATGTAGCTCTATTAAGTGGCAATTATGATTTTTCACATGATGTAGACATAGTGGTCTCTGTCTGCAAAGCCATATACTTTAGTGCAGCTCTTGCTTCCTCTGTTATAAAATGCTTACTCCCTGCCTTATTTAATATTTTGTATATGTATTGTTGACGAAAATAAATTAACCGCAACAACAGTGAATTTAAACAAACTTTTTTGTTTTATTTACTTGTTACCTGTATTTCAATGTTTTTTAAATTCTTTAAAAAGAAATTGTTCCCAGACATTTTTCCTACAGCAAGAAATCTAATACAAAAAATTATGCCAGTTAACCACCTATCTTTATTTATTGACTCAGATGTAACTCTCCCAACCCTTAAAACAAGAAAAGAACGAACAGGTTTGAAAGCATGAATTTTTTTAAGAAAACAAGGCAAATTAAGAATGCAAAAGCTGTATAAACAAATAATGGCACAAATCTTTGCCAACAATTAGAAAATAATCTTACAACAGTTTACAAGTTTAATCCTTGACTGAGGTTATTTTAAATATACTCTTTAATTGTGTGATGTGATTGCTCCTAATTACTGGTGTAAATAGAATGTAATAATAGAGGAATAATTACTTGGCAGCTGTTTAATATTTTAGTAAAACATCTATTCATCTTTGAGAAATTAAAAAATAGCAGCCAGTTAAAGATATAACTTGATGAAAAATATTAATCTTATCTTAAACTTGTAATTAACAGTTTCAAAGTTTTTGATTTAACAAATACAAAAATAAGATAATTTAATATATAGTTTTTACGCACAAACTCTTATAACCCTTTAATAACCAAGAGCTATGATAAAAATAACTGATTGTATGTTCTACTGTGCTTTGCAAACATATTGAATTTTAGAATTTATTTGTAAATTTCAAAGGGGACATAAGCATAACAATGTGGACAATTCAATGCATACAAACATAGCCTTTACCATTTAATACAAGTTTTCTAAATATTGAATAGTAAAGAAAGTGGTTAATAAAATTCAACAATTTTTTGGCATTTGAGCAATTGATATAGATCTAATTACAGCTAAATGTATTCTTTTATAATTTGCTTTACATATTTTTCAAACAACATTAACCAAGCAAAAGTATTTAAATCAAATATAATAAACAATCAGTTAACTTGGACAAGACAGAAATGTGATAGGGACAAGACTAGGGGCAAGAAAGAAATGTGATAGGGACAAGAAAGAAATGTGATAGGGACAAGAAAGAAATGTGATAGGGACAAGAAAGAAATGTGATAGGGACAAGAAAGAAATGTGATAGGGGCAAGAAAGAAATGTGATAGGGACAAGAAAGAAATGTGATAGGGACAAGACTAGGGGCAAGAAAGAAATGTGATAGGGGCAAGAAATGTGATAGGGACAAGAAAGAAATGTGATAGGGACAAGACTAGGTGCAAGAAAGAAATGTGATAGGGACAAGAAAGAAATGTGATAGGGACAAGAAAGAAATGTGATAGGGACAAGAAAGAAATGTAATAGCGACAAGAAAGAAATGTGATAGGGCTACAAATAATGTTCTAAGTATCACATCACTCCTCTAGTGTTGTTCTCAACCGAGCACTGCATGTTAGAGTGGCTGGCCTTGCTTTGATAGTTTTCACATTTACTTTTCTACAACCTTCAGCAACCAATTGTGTAAGAATAGATTATGGTGTCAATTCTTATTTACATTACAAACAATAGAACTAACTGACAGACATTGTTAAAAGTTTAAAATTGTTTAAACAAATGTATTTAATTATTTAACACCTACCTCTGGGTAGTTAGCCAGGATGTTACATTGAAATGGCATTTAAAAAATAATGAAGAAAGACTAATGTGTACAAATACGATAAACAGTCCTACTAAAAATAGTATATGTCACAATCAAACACCATTGTATTTTAGATAATGAAGTAAGATTGGACACAGTAAAAAACTGAAACATTAAATTCAATTAATGTTAATACATTCGGTATAAATCTAGAAGCTCTCTTCAGTTTTATTTCTATTTTTCATTTTTACAAATATTTACACTATTGCAATATTAAACTGATTTGTTTTTAAAAACTATTTCTTTTTTAAATTTGTGTTTTCAATGCATTTTATAATTATAGTAGAAGACAATAATTTAATAAATCAATACAAATTCTTTAATTTAAAGAAAAAAAATGATGCTCAAAATTATCTTTAATTAATATTATGTGAAGAGCAGAATATACTGCAGAGAATATTCAGCTATGCTAGACATTTAACAAAATACTTGTTTTTAAAACTTGTAATGACCATGAACACTGATTAAAGTTGTAAATAATAGATGAGAAATAACAAAATTGTCAAAAAACAATGTTAGTGATATTTTATTCTACTCTATAACCCACAACTCCTTGAAAGCAGAATTAAGCTGACATGCAACGATCAAGCTATGTACATTAGTTCATTCCGTTGTTTTGATGTTTAAAAATTAACACAGGAAATGTGTATAAATTAAATACACAAGAAAAATGAAAAGCACTTTGTTCACTTATATTTACACTATCAAAGTTTAAATTTTACACCATTTTTAAAAATACACAATGTAAACGACAACAATATTATTGAATAATAATGTATAACACTTTTAATAATAATACAAAATAAATATCAGATCATAAAAAAGTCAATCGTAAGTTAAATGAAATGTATTGCTTCACGCCAGTGGCTTTATTAGCTTCATTCAAAATGTTCTTCCAGGGTGTAGATTTGAATTCTTCAAGTGAATTGCCTAGATAATACTTTTTGTTTAAATTATTATATTTAGTTAACTGAAAAACGTGTTTAGAAATTGTTATATTGAAACAGAAGCATAGTATTAGCAAACTGTTCATATGAATTATGCATCCTTAAACAATTAATTTAATGTTAACTGAATAATACATAGAACATAGACTGACTTGAAATATGTTTACTTACATTCAATGTGTCTAAATGGAAAAAAGACAGTTGATAAAAAATTGACTTGAATAACAGCATGTAAAAATGCTCCAAAAGTGAAACTGGAATTCAAGTAATTTTAAAACATATAGTGATAGAAATATTGTTAAAAAAACAGACTAGTCATACAAATCATTATGGAAATATACACATTTTAATTTCAGCAAGTTAAACTGATATCCATGCTGACAGTGTTACAAGAGAATATAAACAGATGTAACACATGTCTTAGGGTGTTAAACAGAGATCATTAGAGAAAAAGTTTTACTCTTCACAACCAGGCAATGTGAAATCAAAAAGTGTCAAATATCAGTTGTGATGGTGATAAGCTCTAATAGGTTTAGACAACAAAATACAAATAAAGAATTATTGTGAATGCTGCTTTTTCGGACAACAGAGAAATGCAACAAAATTTTATTTTAAAAAGTTTTTTTACTTGTCTAAATTGAATAACAAAAGTGTTCTGTGGGTCACATTTTTAAGCTTTCCAACGCAAAAAAAGAAAAACAAAAAATAATTGTGAAAGCTGTATTTTGGTATAATTTTATTAAAATATAAGAATCTATTTTAAATCAAGAATACTTCACAAGTATGTTTTAGTCAAATACTTTATTAGTTTAATTTTTAGTAAATATTTATCAGTTTAACTAGGGCTTTTCTTTTCCATTAGTCATTCTGGAGAAAGAACTCTTAACTCAATTTAAAAAATGGCACTGCAAATATCACAATTCATTTCCATCTAGTAAGGAGTAACAGTGAAAATGATTTAACTATTCCTCTAAATTTAAATTAAAAGACAATGAATTATTTCTGTAATAAAAACTTGTTTTTCAAATGTTTTTCTAGATTTTAAAAGCAAAATCTTTTCCAGAGTACTTGAATTAGTCATCTCATTTAACTTGGTAAAATAACTCAGTGGACTTAAGTAAACTAAATAGAAATTTTTTAAAGCCCTCAATGGACTAGTTCAATGTATATTTATTAATAATTTACAAAGACTCCCTGAGATTAAATAAATGTTTTTAATTATTGAATATACATTTTTCAACAAGTTTTTTTAGTGGTAATTACTAGGTACATTAAATAACAGAAAACCAACTCATTTGCACAGTAGTAACACAGTCTTTTATGTAATTAAAATAAGATTAAAAGATTAAAACATACAGCATGCAAATGAAGAATTTAAGCTAAAGCCATGTATAAAGTATTTTTGTTATTGAAAGTGATAATTGAAAATAAAACAAAAAGCAAGCAAAGAATTTAATAAACATACAATAAATTAAATTTAAAGAATTAATATATATTATAACAAAGAATTATAATTTGCTTTTTTTTTTACCAACAATTTGTTTTTAAATACTGATTGTTTAGACTGAACCATCATATACTTTTGTTCTTCATAGTGGTAAAAACAAATTCTGAAAATTATTTTTTTTATTTATGTATGCAGAATTAACGGTAATTATTGCTAGGATATTTCTTATACAAAAAGTGTCTTTGGCACATTGTTAGCTACATTAAAAAAATTGATGAGATCAATATCACACAACCCAACTATGAGCTATCCATAGATTCTGTCATTGGTTTCTCAGGCTCCACCTAGTGAAAGGAAATTTTAAAAAAAAATATTAGGAAAAAAGGCATCTAACAATTTTACTTTCTCCAAGTATAGTGACTGCACAAAAATGAAATAAGATTTTGACAGTTTTTGCCATTTTACATCTCCCTTCTTTATCATAAAGGGTGTATTGCAGAGTGAAAAAAATCAAAACTGAGATTTTGACTAATTGTGACATTACATAATCTTGTCTGTCTGTGTGTATGCATGTGAATGTGTGTGAATATGACAACTTGAGTACTATTTCAGTTAGATAAGTAGTTACAGTTAGGTGGACCAAATTTTATAACTAGGTATAAGATCTTATTCTCGATTCTCTCAAATTTTGAGTGATTTCCAGTGAATGGAAGAAGTCTTTTATGCCATTCTATTATATTTTTAAAAATTGCAGTATAAAAAATTAATTTAAAAATATTTTTAAAGGCCGATTGCACCAAAATAGTCATCCCCCTCTCTGTTATATAAAAACTTTCCAGAAAGTTTAGGGAAGATTACTACTGCTTTATTTTCATAACATTGAATAGTATTTTGGGATGCAGCTTAGAGTGGCATTTTTTACATCAATATTTGAACATGTAAATAATTGCTGCAATACTGAGTCATCCCATGTGCTGATGAGTTAAGCTGCAAGAATCTTGTAATGACAATTACAGGATAACCCAGTTATTTTAGGTAAGTTAGTTTAAAAGGAGCATGTTATATCTAGAGGCTAATAACTTTCAATGTTAAAAAGACAAGTGTCTACCCATATCTAAATAGGACTTGTCTTTTCATCTCACGTAGACAAAGAAATCATAATTAATTAGATTATATCTACAAGATATGTTAAAATGAACTTACTTCTTTTGAACAGTCTGATGTCTGCACTGTAAAGGAATCTTCTGAGCTATGTGAGGTGGTCTGTGTGTCATCTTCCACTGCAGTATTCTGTGCCTGACAGTCAAGAATTAAGTTGTCGACCTCCATAGTCTCAGTTCCAGACTTCTGCTCTGACTCCTGGAATTCCAGGCGCCCCTTTGAAGCACTCATGTCATAGTCACACACAGGCTGTGCGTCTGTGTCCATTGCTGCAATATTTAAGGCCACTTCACCTGCCAAGGTGGCAACAGTGTGAAAATCTCTTTGTACTGTGTTGGTGACGGACTGAGGAGGGTAAGAATGGGTTGTGTTGTTGTTGGTGATGTCTGATGTGGACATCAGAGGGTTGTTTGAGTTGTGATCAGTGGCAGGGGAACAAGGAAAGGATGAGCTGTTTGAGTTTTTTCCTCCATCATACACACTGCTAATGAAAGACTGGTTTGAGTTGTTACTGACTTTAGCTTGATTGGCTGAGTAATATTTATCTGCTAACGGATCAGAAACTTTTGATTTGATGTTTGCTGTCAAGCAAGTTGGTGAGGTCACATGACCAGGTGACAGCTCCCTCTCCTGGCTTATTGCTCTTGCATCATTGCACATAGACTCTGCTGCTCTCTCTATCCTGCTGACAAGCTGGTGAAGCATTTCATTGCGCTCATTGGCAGCGTTTTCTGGGATGGGGCTAAGTTCACTGTACCCCGGGCCCTTGCGTACAAGCTTGGTGTCTGAGGGAAGCAGCGTGTGAGGACCAACAGCTCCCCTAATGAGGGGGAGATTTCTGATGATTTGTGCTGGGTTGAGACGATGAGAAGCACTGGGTGCTTGTTTTTCAGCTGGTTCTTTGTCCATCTCATTTTCCTCATCTTCTTCCTCTATAGATTCTTGGTGTATGGCAGGGTCACACATAGTGTTCAGTCTACGGGCTTCATGGCGCTTCGGAGACATGGGAACATCTGTTGGCATTCTTTCTTCTTGAGTAGTGCTAGAACGCAGAGAATGACCTTGACCTAAAAAAGATTAGCAAAAGAAATGTAAAAGTGCAACTTCTTAATTAACTCAAAAAGGAAAAATTGTAACATCTTCAATTTCAACATGAATTACATAAAATTAATATCTGAAGTCATTCAAATATGCAACAAAATAATTACAAAAAAAAAATTCAAACAAATTTAAAATTGAGATTTAGCTAATGGTGTGACTAACCAGAGAATGGCTTGCTGGTTGACTTGTTAGTACATTTGCTGGCAGGAAGTGCATTGCATGCATTTTTCTCAACATTATTTTCAATAGGAAAGTGCCCATACGGTTCCAAACAAAGTTCTAGCCTATCATCAAAACGATTGTACACAAATACCTGGCAAAAAGAAATATGTGGCCTGTTAAATTATCCAACATCAAATATTCATGAAGGCAATATTCAGAAATGGGTGTGCATTTTCTCATTGATTAAATACATACTGTGCTAGTTAGTAAACATCAATTACACAAATTTTCAATTTAAAGGACTTAATTTCTGATTCTTGTTGTCTAATGCTAATTTGATCCAATATTTGAATGAAATATTGAAGAATAAAACTATCAACTATATTTTTACCTTTTGGGGCAACAAGGGCAGCTGGCAGTGTTTGCCGTGCTCTAGGCCAACATCTCTCTCCACCTGCTTGTAAAACAAGCCATTCACTGAAAACAGGTGGGGTCTCATTTGAACGTACATCCAGAAGTCTTTGTTTTCCAGGGCTGCAGTCAGAGCCAAAGCTGACAGAGAATGGTCCAAGTTGTCGCCTCCTAGACATTTTTAAATTTTTGTAGTCAATATAAAACCCAGCATACTTATGGACTTGCTTGATAAACTAAAAGATCATTAATGAGTGTAATGAAGATTACAACTAACCACTGGACAGCAAGGGATCCATTAATCTCTGAAGCACTCTATCTGATACTTCATCCATGCCTCCTTCGGCAAATGAAGTCCAAGACATATCTTTGCTTCCTGAGTGCCGATGCATTTTGTTCTTATCTTTTACAACAACAAAGAAAACATCTACTTAGTTAACTTAGTCAAGGGGGAAAACTACTGCTGTTATATCTAGGCTCAAATATAAATTGACAACTATTTTTTTAAATAGATTTAAACAATTTCCAAATTAAATAATTTAGTTTGATATTTTATTAGTATATAGAAGTTGGGTAAGCAAAACAAAGACTTGAAACTGCATGAAAGTCAGATAAAACATTTTCATTAGAAATAAAGTGATGCTTGTCAGTCAGTTGCCTCTCAAACCTTAATGTTTTGCATAGTGGAGGACTGAAAGAAAGGGGAAAAGTATGCTGGTGGTTTTTCAACAATGACTATAAAAACCACACCAGATCTATCCTGAAACACATGGCTCTGGTGATGCTGCCACGGCTAATTACCCATTAGTGGATAAAAATTGATTACAGAAACCAGAGATGAACAATTATAAAAAATAAAATAATTCCTGAAGATTCCTCCTTGGAAAGGAACTTGACAAAGCTGGTGAAAGCCTTCCAGAGCCATCTAACCCAAACATATATTCCTAGTGAAGGAAAGAAAATAGCCCCAAATATTGGTTTGTTAGCAAATGTCATCTCAGACCAAGATTCATCAGGGGGTTAAAAGGAATATAAACATCTGATAGTTGTGACTGACTGACCTGGTGGCTGTGGCTGGCTTTCTGCAGGAGGGTGGATGATGTCTAACATCACTTTATCCCCTGACTGAATGGGAACTTTATAGTCTTCTTCTGCCCTGGCTGGGGGCTTGAGTTCCCTGGGAGGGAAACCATGCCTGATCCTCTGGTTGGTTGGAGGAACGTCAACAGCTATACCTATCAGTTTCTGTAGCTCAGTGAAAGAGCACTCAGATGGTATGTCTAAAGTTATCTGAGGGTTTGAATATTTCAAATAAAAATAGATTTTATAATCTATACACAATATCAAAGCACTGCAAAGTAAAAGTATACTAAAAAAAAATTATTTTTACTAACAAAATTAAAATCCCAAATTTAATTTCTAAGTTTAGTATAATTTATTTAATACAGCTAATTTCTGTATTACCTTATTATCAGCATACTAAATGAAAATGACTGTTTAATGCTATTTTAAAACCAGATAAATAATTTAAAATATGTTTTAATGCTATATGGAAGAAAAATGTAATTCATTTTCATGATTAATAAAAATATAACTTACATTTTTACCATCAGATGTGGACAATCTAATACGTTTGTTAGAATTGGTCGACTCTGTTGCAAGTGATGTGGGATTTGTGGTAATTTTAGTGGCAGGTGGTTGTGTTGGAACTGTGACAGGTGATGCTGGGGGGGATGGCTGCAACCTTCTTTCTGGAGTTTTCTACACAAAGCAAAACACAAAATGTTTCAATTATGATAATTGCAAAATAAACATGAATCGGCTTATATTTTGCAGCTTATCATTGCATTTTATAACTCTTAAACCTTACACGACTCCCTTGCTCCATTGTCCCAATGGTTGGTTTTCTTTCAGAGTCTGACAGTTTTCTTTGCTGTTTGGGAGCATTGGTCTCTATTTGCTGTTTCAGCTTGCGCTCAGCATTGCTCTTGTTGAGTTCCTCTTTATGAACACTCTGGCGCTGGTGGAATAATTTTTACTGTCAGCATTAACTTTTCACATTGTGATCACAATTTTATTTTTTAAACATTCTGAGGCTTTTAACAGTTTACACTAGTCCATTATTTCTTTTTCAATTTAATATAGACCTACAAATTTAACAATACTCCACTCTAAATCTAATTTACTTTATAAACAAAGCAGATAGTAATAAATATGAACTCAGAAGGTAACATTAATAATTATAGAACAACAAAATTTAATTCCCAAAAAATGAATGAATATGAATATTACCTGAAGACCAGTGATGATTGCTTTTGATGCTTTGTTAGGTGACCAGGTATCTGAAACTTCCAGTGGGTCTGAATCATGTGATGCAGATGCACCAGAGAGAGGCTCCACCTCCTTCTCCTGCTCAGGCTTGTTGGTCTGGTACAAGATCTGATCTACAACCTTCTGTACAAGTCTCTCACTGCCAAACTCACCTGTTGGAAAGTACAGTATTACTTTTACAGACATGCCTCTCCACTGTGACTAAAAGTAGGAAGTCTTAAAAAGAGGATTTTGAAGGAAAAAGAGGAACATGCTATTGCTATTTTTCTAAGCAGAAAAAAAAAATAATTAAAATATGAGAAAAGACATTATGAATAGGTTCCTATAATTTTCTAATATTTAGCTAGCATCTAGATCTATATACTACTTCTTAATTTCAGCTACCTTTTAAAAATGTGAACCCACACCCTCCATTTAACTATAATAAACCCACAACAATAGCTGTTTTAACATTATTGGTTAGATCCAACACTAGAGTAAGTTGTGCTACAGCAATCTGAAAATATTTTGGATTCTTTGGTTTGCTTTCCAAGCTCACATGTTCATGACTTGCTATGTAATGGACTTGTACTGGTAATTGGCTATATGAACAACAAACAAATACTAAAGCTCCTCATTAGAATGTAATAATAATTATTATATCCAGTAGTAATATTTTTAGTAAGTGCACATAGTGGGTTGAATGTAATCTATACTCCATAATTTATTCACTGTATAGTTTACAATGACGAATCCCAAAAAGAAAATTTGTTTTCGATTTAATTAATTTCTCAGAATATTACTAAAATATTGTTCATTTTTATAGTTCCCACAATCTTGGCAGTTGACATTACCCATATCATAAAAATGTACACTACCGCTTAAGTTGATCTAGACCTAAACATTGAAATAGAAAGGAATGACAAAGGAAAATTGCATTTTCCTTGCTCATTTTTTATTCCATTTATAAATATTTTTTAGACATTTGGCTTATTTTTTAAATGCAGAAGGAGGCGTGATTTACACTTTGGGTGGGACGGTAGGTACATCTGCTATTATACAATTAAATAGCTTTTCTTTATTTTCTTATTTTGTACTGCGCAAATAAATTTTTATTTTAATTACTAACTTCAGTATTAGGAAAAAATTAGTTTTAAAAAATTCAAGGGTAAAAAAAAAGTGTAAAGAATTAAAATGAAATAAATCAAAAGTTAAGAGGAAAGAAAGAGTTAAAAATGATAGTTAAAAAAGATGAGTATCTAAAAACAAACCAGGAAAGTGTGTTTGGACAAGGTCTTGGGCTATCTCATATGCATTACTGTTGAGGCTTGGATCCTCTTGATCTTGAAACCAAGGCACTTTCAATTTTACAGATTGTCCACCCCAGTCCATTAAAACATTAATACTGAAACAACCAACAAAACTAAACTACTGAAAAGGGTGGTTCAAGGATATTGGGTTTTTTTAAATTGCAATCAATTTATGACTGTTAAATAAAAGGTTTTTTTTTCTGTTCCATTACAATAAGGTGTTTTCTCACATAATCAAAACATGCTAAAAATAAAACTTGGGGAAAATATTTGTCAAAATATATTCAGGGAAAGGAAAGAAGTTAAAAAAGTTAATTATTGGCTTAAAAAAATGATAAAATAGCAAACAATAAATATATCCAGTAAAAACAATTTCTTTTTTTTTTCACAAGCTATTTGTATAAGTGATTTACTTACAACTTAGGTATACTGTCATATTCTTTGCCATTCCAATAATGTTTAAAGCCACATTTACATGTCTTGGATTTGCTCATGGTACGATCTCCATTTTCATACATGACAGAGTAATCTGTCTTCACTGGACGAAAATCCGTAGTTCTACTTTTTTTGGGAAGGCGTGGGAGAAAATATAAGAAAACTTGTTTACAAAAACAAACATTTCTTTCTTAACTAAGTAGAGAATTTAAAAGTGTCATTTAAAATATAACAACAAATTTATCTATAATTAACTAATACCTTGTACAATGAGAACATGATACAGGCATTTTGTTTCCCTCAAAGATCAACTTATTTAATGAGGCATCATATTTAGCCACTATACCTGCAAAATTTAGACAAATCAATGTAAACATTTTTAAGTATTAAGTTCCTATATATAAAATTATCATTCATTTTTTTACCATTGAGCATTAGAGGAAATCTTTATACAATAATAATTCAAAGTAACAAAACAAAAATTAATGGACTGCAAACCGAATTTTAAAAAGCATTCTATTAAATAATGAACTTATATGATGTGAAAATAAAGACTACTTTGAAAACAATTGTGTTTAAAGATGCAATATTAAAATCCTAAAAAATATAAATATCTAATCTTTACATAAAAATTAATCTTTACTTATCTATCTTAATTAAGAACCTATACATGAACTACTCAATTAACTATATCATGCAGGCGCTGTTAGTTTCCAGTAAAGCTTAAATACTATATATCAATAATGTATTAATTTAGACTAACCATGTAAAGGAAATGTGTATGTCTGATTATCTTTCAGCTTGCCATGACAGGAGACAGCCAGTTCAAACAACTCCCCTCCAGGGTAGAACAAGTCTTCATTGGGGGTGCTGACGAGGCTTAAGCTGTGGCAGGACAGGCAAATGAACAAACAACCCTCACTTATGCTGGCTTTTGTCTTGCTTATAATGGGTTCAAGGTTCATACCAAATACCATTCCTGTCAAAATAGTTTCAATGCTTTTTTTATTTCCTCCAAATGCTTATGCTAATTATATATCACAATAAACAAAAATTTTTGTTAACATAATTTATTTTGTTTTATTAAGGGGATAGGCTCCAGAAAAAACCAACTTCTTAATTAAAACATTTTTTATTTATTTGTGGATATCTAAGTTAGGGTTACTTAAAGGAAAATATTTGCAAGCATCAGGGACTCTTTTCAAAATATGACTGAAAAATAGAAATAAAACAGTATTTGATAATGCAAATACTAAAAATTAGTGATTTAAAAGCAAGGGCCTAGAAAAACACAAAGTTTTACCATTAGCTTTGAAAATTTGCTGGTACACATCTGCTATGAGAGATGGAGATACCCCATACTGCTGGTAGAAAATATCCGAGATGGATGTCACCAGGCGCTGGAAGTATCCAGTCTGCAAGTGTAATTTAGAAAAAAGATGTTAACTTCATCTCACAACACAAATGTTTTTTACAAGAAATTAAATCAGCCTTTTCTCATCATAAATAAAATAAGGTGAGGTAATACTAATGTTCCGGATTATTTACTTTTACAAAGAATTGCATAACTTTGTCAACTTTGAACAAAAGCTGTTAATTACAGGAAGATTTTTTTTAAATCATGTGGATTAACAAAATTTTTAAAATAGCAATATATGTCTTAAGTATTTTGAAAATGGATCCATCTAGCTCTTACCTGAATAACCTTCTCCCCTCCAACCTGACAAAAACCTTCAGCATCAAACACTACGTATTTATCAATCTCGGAGTCTGAAACTCCCCAAGCTCTTTGAATCACTTCTCTGTGCAACCGAGGACATTTTTTACCTGTTCAACAATGTGACTAGTTAAATAAAGTTAAAAGTACTGTTAGTCTGAGGACGGCAGGGCAAAATGTTAGAGCATTCGTCTATTTACCGAAACATCTCAAGTTTAGGTCCCTGGCTATAGCACGTGGGTAATTGTAAAAAAATCTTTTGATAAATAGATTTTTTCTTCAGAAAATGACTCAAGCTTTAATACTTTGTACAACTGAAGAGGACATACCTTTGATGCCTACTAAAGGTATGAAATGATTTCTACCAGAGCTGCTCCAGGCAATGCACACAGGCAGGTTAAGAACACCTTCCTTATTTTTACAGTCAGATGGCGGTGAGAAGCAAGGCAAAAATATAGCTATAGAATATTAAAAAGATTGTTAATTTACTAGTCACAAATCTTATTATTTCATAAATTCATCACTGAATTTTTTTATGTTTTAAGTAAGTATCTAGCTTATTGGTTCAGGATTTTTAAACTATCATTAGCTACAAATATAAAGCAATCTAACCTGAATAATCCCCAGAACTTCGGATACCCTCCAGTGAATCCAGCAATATTATAGGTCGTTTCAGCACATTAGCCAGTCCGAATATATGAATATTTCTTAAGCCAGTTGGTTCAGCACCAAGAGGTACAAAATCTGGATCACACTCTCTAATAATCAATTCCCATTCACTGTCATCAATAAAATCCTACAGAGAAAAATGTTAACTGGTAAAAAAATGTAATACTGACCTAAGGTTACAGCTATGTTCTATTGTAAATATCTATTTATCAATATTGAAAAAAATGTAAACACTGAAATTCTGTTCACATAGGTAATTTTTAACTAACATGCAAAACTACTGTTTAATTAGCTGAGTTTCTAGAGGATTAAATACCTGAAACTGCAACTGGTATTTATTAAAATTGTTTTTGAAATGCTCCATTAGATTAACTCTTAAAGGATGCCAAAACAGCTGCCACCCAACTAAAGCTCTAGATACTGCATGAACTAGACAATGACCATCTCCGTCTGCATGGACAGGAACCAGACGTTCTTCATTTTCATTGGCCTGCTGCAATTGTAATAAAATCTTGATTGTAATACTTAAATAGGGATTTCTAAAATAGATAGTTTCTTTAAATTCTTTTTAATCCTTTGCACTGTACAGCCCAGTTTAAAATTAAATTCGTAAAAAATAAATTGTCCAGATTTAACGCTTCAGGGGTTGTATTTTAAATATTTCTCAGATGTATGAATTCCAAAACCATGCTTTGATGCTCTAGTTTTTATACTTTTTTAACCCATTCCACAATACAATGTTTACTAGGACTTTGATTGTTTATTTCCAGCTCACATGTATAGTTATAAATCCATGGATATTTTTTTATATATTATACTTTTAAGTGTTGAAAGGTTAAAATATCTTTCACCAGTGTCAATGATACATTTTTTTACCCATAAAACTTCATAACACTGTCTACATATCAAAAGTTTGAAATTGATGGCTTGATTAAAGAAAAGATTATAAAGATTACTTTGATAAGATTAAGAGTCCCACTGAGGTAACTGTAGCTCCCACTTCTATCTCGTCCATAACCAGGTACTGTCAAATGTTCTGGTTCTATCAGGAAAGCTCTGTCTCCTAGCTGAGCACAGTCAAACGTAGGCGCCTTCCCCATCTCAGTTAATAGTTTGGCCCTAATTGATTTTAACAATGAAAATTTTTGTAATTTAATTTAAGGCAGAAAACAGTGGCTTCCAGAATAGATTTTTTATCTGCACAGCCAATAATCTTCATAACTAAACATGAGTAATAGTAAATGTATTCATACTAATGACTAGAACTATGTTTTCACAAGCTTTATTAGCAATAATTTTGTGTGACTCTTTTTTGCTGAAAATGTGTGCAATTTTGAAGACTATCTAGTATGTAACTAGCAGCAGTGACTTCATATATTAATGCAATGCTGCAATAAAGTAAGAGACCCAATATTTGTTTGCTGGGTGGGCTACATGTATAACTTTAGCAAGCCTAGTTTAGCATAGGCGAAATTAAGACATACCTCATAAACCTTAGCCTCTGGGTCTAATGTAACCAACCTGTTACAACTAGAATTTTAAGGACAATGCTGTACTTAAAATTCTAGTTATAACATATTGTTTAAATTGATTTATAGACCTATTGTTGTTAAATAATTTGTTCATTAGACCTTTTTTACTTTTTTATTTGATTGCTGTACACGATGTTCGCTAAGTTAAAATTAATTCATGTCCATACCATTACTTTCAAAATCATGACAGCTATATTAAATAATTGGTGACGATAATGTTGCCACTATAGTAGAATTTTGTAAATTGACATATTTTACAATTAATAATTTCTAGGTTTTAATGGTATGCAAATTATTAATATTGTTTTAAGCTGAAAGATCTAGAAAAAAAATATAGAAATAAAAAGCTAAAAATATGCTGTATTATGTAATTATTTTTACATAAATATACCAGTATGTAGGCAAATTTTGTGTTATATTGTGTATGCTCAAACATTTTTAGACTTAACCTCATAGGGAAGTGTATAACTATTTTTTTTTAGTTAAGTTGCTATAGTTGTGATACAGTTTATATACTTTTTGCTATTGTCTGGTGCTCTTAATTTGTTTTCAGTTTCTCGATTTTTAAGCAATAATTATATGTCAATATTTGTTACATTGAAAACTGACGAAATGTGTAACTGTAAATATAATTTTTATAACTGGATCTGTTTTCTACCATAACCTTATTTTGTCATCCCTTTAGATAGTGTACTTCACTAAAGTTTTAACATTCTCATTTTTATAAAATTTCAATTTTTTTTTTATCACTATTAATGAGTTAAGATTGGATATTTTTTTATATAGAAGTGGCATGTAGTGTGTTTTAAAAGACATCCATTTTACACAATTTTGTTCTTACTTTCCAGTAGCCTTGTCCATGCCATAGATGCTGAGTAGTGGGGAAAGCATTGCACAAAGATAATTGGACAATCCATTCACTTTCAATGATTCTTGATCAACAGCCTGTGGCTGGTCTGTAGCAGATTGTTTCAGTTGCAAGAACATTTCTAACATATCAGTAATTTTCTGCAGGGAGGGGGAGAGAGAAAACCAAAATGAACACACAGCAAGCATAACCTCCATACAAGGAATATAATTTAGGCTAATTAAGAATTTTAATGTTAATGTGCTTATGGAAATTGAAAAAGAATATATTGTAAATTCTAATTAATGTGACCTTTTTTCATGTAGGCTTCTTATTTGTTAGTGACAAAAAATGCTTTTTGTTGAACGTTCTTAAATTTAAACTTTTTGCCAAGACGGTAAAAAAAACCATATGGTTTAATAATATCACTGAAGAGTATGTTTCACAGTTTAACTATATTATTGGGAAAATTGTACATCATAAAATAAAACCTTTGAAATTCTTTCCAGGTTCAAAAGAACAGATTGCTCATGTCTCTGGCCGCATCCAGTGCATTCAACACTCAATTCGTGTTCTGGGAAAAACAATCTTCTCCGGCAATGGGTGTTAGGGCAAAAGCCGCTAAGAACACTTGTATTACTCCTCATAGTTGTAAAGTCATCCACATCAATTATATCTGTGAACATTTAAATAGGTTATTTAAGTTTCTAATGTTTTAAAGTTTTAAAGATCTAAATGTAATTTTCAGTCAATTAGGCAAAAATATCAGCGTAAGGGGTCATCCATAATTGACGTCACGCTTTTTTGATGATTTTTACCTCCCCCCTCCCCTCCGTCACACGTCACAAAAAGCCAGACCCCCCCTAAAATGATGTCACACCGCAGCCTATAACCCCCCTCAAAATTGCAGTTGAATTTTTTTAAACATCGATATTTTTCTAAAATCTTGTCTGAACTCTGTCAAAATAGAGTATTTTAATCAATTCCTATTACAATTTATTAAAACCATTTTCTAAAACGCGAAATAACGTCTAAAATTCATTTCCCAACATTGCTTTTTTACAATGCAAAAGAGTAACGTCGCACCATCTGAACCCCCCCCCCTCATCACACACCGTCACAAAATTACGGACCCCCCTCCCCGAGTGTGACGTCATTTATGGACGACCCCTAAGCAGTTAACTCTTTGTCCCTATTAAGACACCAGCTGGGTAAGATGAATGCATTCTCTACTTTTCAGATTAATATTAATAATCTTGTTACACTAATCTAGCTAGATCTAAAATATTTAAAACAATGTACCACAGTCTGTTAGACTACTCAAGATGGGTGTTGGTAAACACTAAATTGCAAGATGCTTAACAGTAGGCCTACTAAACACAAAATAAAATAGTGAAAATTGTCATAGTATAGTTAAGTTAAGTATAGAGATCTAGAATCTAGACCTAGATCTAGGATCTAGATCTAGATCTAGGATCTAGATCTAGATCTAGATCTAGATCTAGATCTAGTAGTTCATAGCTAAGAAGCAGTAAATAAAAGATCTAGATTTAGATCTAGATATACTAGATCTATATAGAATCTAGCCTAGATCTATAAAATTTATAAATTTATTCAGTACCTAGATCTAGATCTAGCTAGATCTATCTAGATCTAGATCTAGAGTCTATCAACACAACAGACTCCAAAAGATCAGTTTTTGAGTGTATGTCAGTCAGTTTTAACTACGGACACAAGACACAGATTCTATACAACACAATTATAATATTAGGCCTAAGTCGATTATTTCTTTTCATACAATAGAAATTAGCATATTGACTAGATCTAGAAGTCTAGATTATCTATATCTAGAAAATCTAGTATCTAGATCTAGATTCTAGATCTACCTCTGCATTTTGAGTAGCCTAGATGTTTTCAAGTTTTTGTTGTCTGGCGGATGGAATCTCGTGAGAGCTAAGTTTGTTGTTGACTCGCTCGCTATTGTGTGTAGGGATGGTGAAGGGGGGAAAACTGAATAAATCAAACACCAGTGTACTATCAAATAGGTGTTGTTTTTCTTCTACACAGAAGCAGTTATTACATATTTAACTTTAATCTAATGGAACGAACAAATTGAAATGACTGAAGTTAATTAAAATAATACACAAATATATTTTTAAATAAACATGTAATATTTTCAAAAGAAAACATTGACAAAGAATAGGCTTACTAGTAGAAGTGTGTGCTAGTTTGATTATAATAAACTGATGGTGTGAGAAGAGGGCTGAGTCTCGACGCATAATAAAAAAAAAATATTTTTGAAATGGGATAAAAACGAAGACTAGTGGACCTATTTTTAAAGAATGAGTAGTACTTTATTTGCGTTGTTGTTGATCTACTTACACGCAATTTCGGTGTATAAATGTGTGACATTTTATAAAGATAATCATTAACCAGGTTGATGTCATTTTAAAAATTCAACATATTTTATATTCCTCCCCCCCCCCCCCCCGCCCCACAATTTACTAATAAATTATCCTCAACTGTTGTTCAATTTTTCAGTTCAATACCCGTCTGTTTAACTCAAATCGATGTAATAAACGGTTGAGGGGGGGGGGGGGGGAGGGTGAGATAACAAGTAATAACAGAGGCAACCTATTTTAACGAGATGGGTTCGATCATTGTTTACAATAATAGTTCACATGGATAAAAAAAAAAAAGCCATGTATTTTTTTTTCATAAATGACGTCATACTCGCAGTGGGGAGGGGGGGGGGTCCGTAATTTTAAGATGGTGTGACGTCACACTTTTGCATTATAAAAAAAAGAAATGTTAGAAAACGAGTTTTAGACGTTATTTCGCGTTTTAGAAAACGGTTTTAATAAGTGTAATAGATTGAAATAATTGTGAGGTCAAGGGAACTCACTCTCCTGTATTAGTTATATTTATAATATTGTTATCTTGAGTGATGTCCCTTGTGTACTTCCGTCCGTCCTCTCTCTGTGTGTTACCATCGTGAAGTAGTTAGACCCATTAAATGTGTTATATACAACCACAGGCTTCTGTCGTCAATCTATTATAACTGGCGACGAAGGATAAACATCTACTAGAAAGAGCACCTACTTACGCAAAAAAGAGGTTTGCTAGAGCTTATTAGCTAATTATTTCTAGAATTATGGCGCTGTATGGCCAAATAAAAGAATTTGATGCGAATGATGAAATCATTCAAGATTACCTAGAGAGGTTAAGCTTTTACCTAGAAGCTAACGACGTGACGATAGAAGCCAAAAAGAGAGCTGTTTTGTTAACAGTCATAGGGCCTCAACAATTTAGGCTACTAAAAGACTTATGCACACCAGCTAGTCTAACTACCAAGAGCTTTAACGAGCTGAGCAAATTGCTAACAGACCACCATGCGCCTACCCCTTCAAAGTTTCTATGTCGAGCTAGATTTGACAGTAGGACTCGTCAACCAAACGAGTCAATATCAGAATATGTTGCTGCTTTACGTCATTTAAGTAGATTTTGTGAATTCGGCGATACGCTGTCTGACAGACTATGTGAAAAGTTTGTGACAGGTGTAAACAGCCCTGATATTCAAAGAAAGTTGCTGCTCGAGTCAGATCTAACATTAGAAAAAGCAATACAACTTGCAACTTCATACCAGCAGTCATCAGATGCGGCGAAATCTCTAACGCCTTCAGGGATCCATGCAGTAAACAGCAGGTTAGTCGATAAACATCAACCCCATCAGAGCATTCCAACTTATGCTAAACAGCCTGCTCGTTCAAATCCTAGATCTAAATCTAGTAATAATTATCAAAAATGTCATCGATGCAAAGGTCCCCATGCATCTCATCGGTGCAAGTTCAAGTCTGCAACTTGTTATAAGTGCGGTAAGCAAGGTCACATTGCCAAGGCCTGCTTTGCAAAGTCTTCGTCTGTTGCTAAATCTAGCCAGTCAAGACAGTACCGCAACCAAAAGCAGCACTATGTTAACTCTCACCAAGACTACCTAACCCAACCAATGAACCACTCTACCTGTGAAAATGCTCAAACTGATTCGCAGCCGGATTTCAGCCTGTTCTCTGTGAAATCAATAAGTCATGCTCCCATCAATGTACCAGTTAATATCAACGGTAAGAGCATCAGCTTCCAACTTGACACTGGAGCATCTCTAACAGTCATAACAAAGAAAGATTTTGACGCTGTCACAGGAGGATCAGTGCCTCTACAGCCATGTCACAAGTGTTTAACAACATACACTGGTGACAATGTTCCGGTAATAGGAGAGTGTATGGTTCATGTAAGTTATAATGGTCAAAGTGTTAAACTTCCTCTTCTTGTGGTTGAAGGAAATGGACCGCCATTACTAGGTAGGAACTGGTTAAGTGATCTTAAGTTAAATTGGGAGAGTATTTGTTCATTGAAGAATGTAAAAGAATCTAGTCTTACTTCACTAGATAAAGTAATATCTGAAAATAAATGTGTTTTTGGTAACTCTGGATTACTAAATGATAGAACAGTGAAGTTAAGCATTAAAGATACAAATCCAAGATACTGCAAAGCTAGAGTTCCACCTTATGCAATGAGGAATAAAATTGAAAATGAGCTAAGTAGATTGGAATCTAATGGCATTATAAAGAAGGTAGACTATTCCGATTGGGCGACACCCATTGTGCCAGTCAGTGGCGTAGCCAGGATCGTCTCAAGGGGGGGGTTCCAATTTTTACCCGGGGACAAACTTTCGATTTGCACCCCCCCCCCCTCAAACTTTCGATTTGCACCCCCCCCTCAAACTTTCGATTTGCACCCCCCCCCCTCAAACTTTCGATTTGCACCCCCCCTCAAACTTTCGATTTGCACCCCCCCTCATACTTTTTATATATACCGAGGGGTCTATGGGGGGGGTTATGACCCCCCCTAACCCCCCCCTGCCTACGCCACTGGTGCCAGTGTTAAAGAAGGATGGTTCTATAAGAATTTGTGGAGATTATAAAACTACACTGAATAAGCAAATAGAGCTAAATAGGTACCCTATACCTAACATTGAGGAAATTTCTTTGAATTTGGCAGGAGGAGACAAATTCACTGAATTAGACTTTAGTCATGCTTACACTCAACTAGAACTGCATCCAGATTCAAAAGTCTATACGACAATAAACACACATAAAGGACTCTACCAATATGAAAGACTATGTTTTGGCATATCATCTAGCCCTGGAATTTTCCAAGCTGTCATGGACAGTATTTTTAAGGATATTCCAAATGTTTGTGTGTACTTTGACAATGTGTACATAACTGGTAAGAATGACACTGAACATCTTAAAACACTTGATAAAGTATTGAAAATTGTTGGTGAAAAAGGTTTAAAGATAAACAAAGATAAATGTCAATTCATGTTGACAGAAATTAGTTTTCTTGGTTATATATTAAGCAAGCAAGGTATCAGACCTCAACCTGAGAAAACTAAAGCCATTAAAGAAGCACCCAAACCTGAAAATACCCAACAACTAAGAGCTTTTTTGGGCTTGATAAATTACTATGCAAAGTTCATAGGGAATCTGTCTGGTAAACTATCACCACTGTACAAGCTGCTACAGAAAAATGCAACTTGGCACTGGGGTAAACAACAAGAGTCAAGAAGCTGCTTTTAATACAGCAAAAGAGGCTTTGTCTTCTGACACCTTACTAACTCACTATGACCCAGGGAAAAGACTTGTATTGACATGTGATGCTTCACCAGATGGTGTAGGAGCAGTCTTGTCCCACATGGATGAGAAGGGTGACAGACCCATTGCTTTTGCCAGCAGATCTTTGAACCAGGCTGAGAAAAATTATTCTCAGTTAGATAGGCAAGGCTTAGGCATCATTTTTGGTGTTAAGAAATTTCATAAGTTTCTGTTTGGTAGGAAGTTCACCATCTTTACAGATCATAAACCATTGCTAGGTTTATTTGGAGAAAACAAAACCCTACCTGAGCATGCCTCACCAAGAATTCAAAGATGGGCTATCACACTAACTGCATACAATTATGAATTGAAATACAAACCTGGATCTGAGAATAGTGCAGATAGTCTTAGTAGATTACCTTTAAAAAACCAAAGCCTGAGCTATGTACCAGAAGATGTATTTGTTCTCTTCACTATCATGGATAACTCCAATATAAATGTGAATGATATTAAAAGAGAAACACAAAAAGATAAGTGCTTAATAAAAGTATATGAGTACTGTAAGAATGGTTGGCCTGAAGAGTCTGTGAATGATGACTTAAGGCCATATTAAATAAGAAATAAAACCCTTTGTGAAGATAATATAAAAGATGGAGAAGATGCAGTCCATTATCAGTCAGAGCTACCTAAACAAAGTATTTGTAACTTAATAAATGATTATGGTGATATGGCAATTTCAAATGTTTTAAAGAGAATACATTAGTAAGAAGGAATGTGATCATCAAACAACTTTGCTAACATCATTAGCACTTACAGAAACTAAAAGGGTAACATCAAAAGAAAAGAAAAAAGATTTTTGCCATTTAATACTTTCAGATGCCAATTCAAAAATAGTTCCATTAAATCATGACAACTCATCCATTGAAAGAGAATTTGGTGTTAATAAGAATGTGTATCTAAGAAATTATGGGAGAAAGGAAAAATGGATACCAGGTCAAATTGTTCAAGGTACAGGACCTGTGCCTTATAAAGTTAAAAATAACTTGTGCAGATAATAAGTGTGAATCTGCCAATCCCACCAAATCTGAACAGTTCACACCAACTCAGTTTGTTCTACAACCAAGTTCTGTTGATATGAGTGAACCAAGTTGTCTGGAGTCAGAAAATGTAAATTCTGGAGTTAATGATTTAAATCCTAGACCTCCTGAGATAGAGAATCCAGATGGTCAGAATCTTGAGTCACCAAATCAAAGGCCACTGAGAAGGTCAAACAGGACAATCAAAGTCCCAAATAAGTTAGACCTATGATTTTAAGGGTCAAAAGGACTTTGACATCATTGTTTTGTATTTTGATTATGTTGTAGCATATTGTGCATTGTTTGTAAGGATGTAATCTACCATAGTGTTCATGTTACAATATAATTGGTGATTTTAGGATACTATCAATTGTTCTATTGAGAGATGTGTTATTGTGTTCTAAGGGTAAAGGGATGTAATAGATTGAAATAATTGTGAGGTCAAGGGAACTCACTCTCCTGTATTAGTTATATTTATAATATTGTTATCTTGAGTGATGTCCCTTGTGTACTTCCGTCCGTCCTCTCTCTGTGTGTTACCATCGTGAAGTAGTTAGACCCATTAAATGTGTTATATACAACCACAGGCTTCTGTCGTCAATCTATTATAATAAGCTGTAATAGGAATTGATCAAAATACTCTCATGTGTTGACAGAGCTCTGAGAAGATTTTGGAAAAATATCAATGTTTTAAGAAAAATTCAACAGCAATTATGAGGAGGGGGGGTTGTACAGAGTTTCTTCCAGGCATCTCATTTTTTTTACCCCCCCCCCCCCCCCCCCCCCCCCGAACGAAATGAAATTTATATAATTTATATAGAAAATATATACTTTTAACAGTGTCCGCCCCCCCCCCCCCCCGAAAATTTCAAGTGCCCCCCAGCGGAGAAAAAAGTCTAGAAGAAACACTGGGGTTGTAGGCTGAGGTTTGACGTCATTTTATGGGCGGTCTGGCTTTTTGTGACGACGTGTGGCTGAGGGGAGGGGGAGGTAAAAATCTTCAAAACTACATAATATGAACATTTCTGTTCATCAAGCCAAAACATCTACTAAATTATGAACTGAAATTTCCGTTTTCATGACAAACTTTGACTTAACACACATCATGGTTACATCATGGTTTCAATGCCACTCAGCACTACAATGTAATTTTAATAGCAGCTCCAGTAAAAAACCGTGCACACAAGTTGCAACGCACAAAGTAAGGGATAGTCAAACAATTGTTCATAACGTGTAAAGCAATGTTATACATCACCCAAATGTATTTTCTGTTCCCAATCCCATATGGCTGAATGTCTGCTTTGAGAAAGTTTGGATGAGCAGCTTAACCCATTAAAAAGCATATAGATGAGGTTGTAAAATTGTTTGAACGTAAAAGTGTTCAGAAAACAAATGTAACTTGTTAATAATGATTTTAACACTTTGAATAGTTTTAGGCCTGTAAAGATTTCTAAGATGCACTTTTAGTTTGTAACATGCCATTTATCTATTTGGTGTTACCCTTTTCCTACTTATACGCAATCGCATTTCCTTTACTAAATTGCTGTTGAATTTTCTAACTTAAATAAGCATAGTAAAATACGAATAGTTCGTCTTAATGTCACCCCCCCCCCCCCCCCCCGTTTCAAATGTTGCCAATGTAAGCTTCATTACCTAATCGGATTTTATCAGCCTGTGAAGCCTACGTAAAAAAAGCTTAGCTACCTCAGTGAAGTAAGGTGAACGATTTATCTCTTTCGAATATCTGTTTAATGATACATTTTCTATAGCAATTCATTAATGCAAAGGAATAACACTTTTTTCTTTGAAATTACGGCATTTTTTCGTTTTGGTGTACCCAACCCCCCCCCCTTCTCCCCTCAACGGTTTCATCTGGTGTGGCCCGCCCGTTGTACCGCCTTGGGTTAGGTGTACTGTTTGACTCAACTTTCAAACCGCAGCGGCAAGGTGATATTGAACACCCCGGGCTCCCGTGTTAGCACTTTGGCACCTACATTCGTTTTAAAGAGCACCCTACACTAGAGGCGTAGCGAGGGCGGGGGGGGATGCGGACCGGGAGACACCATTTAGGGGGTGACACCAATGCAAAAAAATGCAAAATGTACAGAAGAAAAATGCTTTTTTAATGATTAATTAAAGTTAAACAGTCTTTTAAGTAAAAATCGACAATTATTACAAGAGTTGGGATTGACACCAAGACATAAACGTGCCAACAATACTACATCCAGCTGCATTATTAACAGACCAAGATATAAACATCGTTACTCGTAAGTCTGCAGTGATTAAAGCTTACACACACACGCATATATATATATATATATATATATATATATATATATATATATATATATATATATATGACACCACTGCCCTACATTCAATTGCTCAATCAAACCAGGAGTAGTGGTGAAAATATGGTGGTAGTAATTGATTATTGAATGTTATCATAACGCGTGTCCTTGAACACCAGAGAGTTTCTTCCAGGCTGAGCCCCCCCCCCCCCCGTAAAAGTCTACCGTCCCCCCCCCTCCCGTGAACGAAATGGAATTTTGGGATTTATATAGAAAATATATACTTTTAACAGTGTACGCCCACACCCCCCGATAATTTTAGACACTACCCCCCCCCCCCCCCCCCGATAATTTCAAGTGCCCCCCCCCCTTCCAGAGAAAAAAAAAGGCTGGAAAAAACACTGAGTAGCACGCGCAATGGTACGCGAGTATAGGCTTTTACAGTTGTGTTAGATCAGTTTAAATATATATCTATATGTTATGATTAATCATAAGTACAGATAAAACTTGTGGGGAAAAGAAAAACAAATGTTACTATGTTTTCGGAGTTCTAATATTTCTTTTACACCGCCTCATTACCGGAAGCAACTTTACCGGAAGTTAACAAAATTTGTTGTGCTTAGCAACCCAATACAGGCATCAGCTATTACATTACACTAGTTTATAAAAATAAGATGTCCATTTAAATGCATTAGATGCAGACTTTATTTGTAAGATTAAACTTTCTTACATGGTTCTGTGGATTATTTAGTCTCCTTTAAGGTTCTTAATATCAGTTATATTTACATTTAAAAGTTAAAAATGCACCAAGAAGTAAAATATTCAAACAGACAAGATGCCAAAAATTGGCAGCTCACAAGCACGGGTGTTGGTCATCACTACAGACCCGGGTACTTTTTCCCAGATTCTGACTTCAAGGTATGCCCAATTAAAGTAATATAAATAAATGATGAAAATGTAATAAAGCTGTTTAAAAATTGTACATCACTTGCAATGGTGACTAATGACTCCACCAATGAGTCTTTATAATAGAATACTAATTATGATAAATAATTGCACCTGCAGGTTACAACAAACACAACAGCATTTTTAAGTCATGAAAATAAAAATGCACATCAAACACTTGTGATTTTTTGATGACTGTAATACACCCCTCCTATATTGAAGTAGACTTATGGAACTGATGTTCTACAAAGAAATTTTAGTAGCGTTCTCTATTTTTGCGACAGTCATGGAATGTTTAATTATAAAATGAATTGCTTAGTTAACATGTGACTAGATACAACCATATTTTACTTAGCTCCATAGATGTCTGTTACCCATTATGTATGTGTACTATTTCATGTGTCTAGTCTAAAGATCAGTTAAAAGTGCAGCAATTTAAATTAAAAACATCAGATGAAGTTATTAAAACCTACAATAGTTAAAGCCTACAATTTTATTATTTAACAAAAAGGCATCTATAGGTCAAGAATTTAATTATTAAACATTCTTTCTGAAAATGTATTTTTAGACCTTGCTTAGGGAACCTCTTCCTCCTACTCTGGCAAAAGAAGATGAGGTGACAAAAGATAAGCCATTTTTAACCACAAATGAGTACTTCTTTGACCGCAAATATCCTGGACTTCTGTACAAAGATCCAGAACATAAAAAAGCACCTGGTCACTGGAATGTAACATATATGAAAGATCTGACTGAAAAGGTATTTTACAGAGAGATTAATTTCATAATGAGAATTTTACTTATTTTTTTATGTGACATATTTTCTTTTTTTGCTGTCACCAATGTATTGTAAATTAGCCTTGACAAGCTATTTCATTCATTGTACCAGCTTCTGAAGACTGAATTTGAGAATTTTCTCAGTTAGGGCAAGGTGGGTGGCGACGTCCATTAACTATGGGAAATCAACTTAGTGAAATGAAAGATCAGTATCAAGCAAAACAACCCGAAGTCAAAGATAAATACAAATTTGAAGAAGTATACTATCCACAAAATTTTATACTACAAGACCACCACAAAGAAGGACCGTCTAAGGTACTTTTTTAATTATTAATAGATTTAGTCTTAATATTTCAGTGCAGTTGATCCAATGTTGATAAAGAATCTTTTTATGAAACTCTAAATCACAAAAAAAGTATTTGTACTAAATTATAAGCAATGTCTTAATATAAGTGAGTTGGAATGCTTTAGTTTTGTTGCAAGATTTATGCTGCATGTATTATGGTTTGGTGTGTGTCATTGATGAAACTGATCCAACTAGATGAATATATTTTGTTTAGGTTGGCGCTGCCAGTACACAGAACCCTAAGCTGCAAGGAAAACCATTTTATGTTAAGGACAAGGGAATACTAAATATTTTGGACCCGTACCTGTCCACAACTCAGCGAGATCACAGGATGTTTACACCTGCTGAGTTAAATGACTATTCAAAGAAGGATATCCCTACTTATTGGGAGTGTGAGAATTATCCTAAGGCTTGGGGTCATGGATTGCACCACAAGTAAGCTTTTTGATCGGCAACTCTTTTCTATTTTATCCAGAATTGGTTGTCTTGCATTAAAAATAAATAAAATGTAACAGTGTATTCATTTTAACATGTTTATAAAACGTTGCAATTTATTTAAAACAAATATTTTTGTTCATGAGTCTTCTTGTTGCTTTCTGCTTAATGTTTTCTTTTTAAATTTTCCCATTTAGTCCATTACCTAAAGATAATGTTCCAAGAGATAAACTACCTATGAGAGATGAAATGATATTTCCAACTGCTACAAGAATCCCTCGTATACCAAAATCAGCCATACCTGTTCCACACGGGTAAGTATTATTATTGATATCAATTTTCACCTTTTTTCTTTTGGAGATTTTTATTGATTTATTAATCATATTAATATAATAACATTAAAATGCAAAGATAGTTGTTTTGTATTTACTAGAATATGACATGTTACCACATAATGTATTCTTATCAAGATCAATGTCTAATGGATTTTTAATAATTTTCTTTGTTTTCAGTGGACTTAAAACTCTGTATGATGATTCATACCAATTCCCATCACATGTCAACATGAAAGAGAATTATTATTGCCCTGTGGATACGCCATTCAAGTTACCAGCACCTGGAACAAAGTCTATATATACAGCACCTAAAATGTATGACACAGAATATCAAAATATTGGAAGTAGAAGGCCTATAACTGTGTCAAAATGATTTTAAATGTTTTACCATGTTGTCTTGTCAGCTAGGTGTGGGCCTTTAGTTTATTATTTGTTTTATCAGGTTTTATATTGCTGTTTTCAAAATTTAAGTTTTTATTTAATTACATTACAAAATATTCTTTTATTCACACCACAACATCATTTTTCTGATAATTAAGGTAATGAGTTTAAGATTTGTAAAAACACATTAAAGAACTTTGTGTGGTTAAAGAAATTTTTTAAATAATCAACAAATTTGAATTTTTTAAGATTATACACTTTGTTAAATATGTACGTGTCACAGTATTATATAATATACACTTTTGTACATATGTATGTGATATTTTGTTTATACAAACATACTAACTGCTGAGATAAGCTATTACAATTATCACAGTTTAAAGGGTTGTTTTTTTTTTTCTTTTTGCTAATAAATAAATTAGTAAAACTTATTTTGAAAGAATGAATTTTTATTTGAATAAAATGTTTTATGAATAATTGAACATTTTCTTTCACTGCTTTTTTCCAAAAATAAAAAATATTATTTTTTGAAAAAGTGATTTTAATAAATTATTGAGATATGCAAATACATTAGCATACAAATGTATCACAGATTAAATGCTAAATAAATTCATTTTCTAAAAATAACAGGCCATTTTTTTTTTTATTACATGCATGGGAAAGTGTTCAAAGTTGTTGATGTGCTGTTTTGATTACAAATGACAGGTGGATGTAGTTGAAGGTCTTGTATCCTGCAAGTTATTAGCCAGTGGTCAACTTTACTCTTGACATCATCATCAGTATGCATTTTAAAACAGATTTCTTGATCAGCTATCTCACTAAGATATCTGTGAACAAAATATTAACTTTCAGTTGTAATAATGGCAATGTTAAGTATAGGCAGTCAAGATTATAATTTTAGTAAAATTTTAGTGATTTTATCCTTTATAGCAAGATTTTTTCAGTATATGCTAAAGGAATATTATGGTAAGCCTAATTATTTCCATATGATTAAAAATCTAAATGGGAAATAGTATATTTATAATAGTGGTAAAATTATTGATAAGATTAGGGTAAAGTATCAAGTATCAGGAGATTTATGGCCACAGGGTACAAATACAAGGAAGTAGAATTGTTAGCACAGTGCTTTGCCTCATTACTCAGATTATCATTTTTATTAAACCAGTAGTTAATCCACCTTTTCACTAAATCTAACCTTTCTACAAGGGCAAAGTAATCAGAGTAATTATATAAGCCTTGACGAACATCAAGCAATTCTTTTCTCTCTATAGAATCACAATCTCTGAACACCTTCAGTGTGTGGAATGAAACCATATCTCTGAAAAGCAAAAGAATAGTAAACTTAAGTAAATTAACAAACAAATTTTAAAATCAATAAAACATTATTATATAAAGAAATAGAAAAGATTTTTAAAAAAAAGTATTTGTTAATTTTTTAATTATTATAATCTTTTTACATCTATTAACAGAAATATTTTTTAAAAAATCCCATACTTTTTAAAATAAAAACTTCTCTCTGTGCTAACATAAACTTACCTTGCATTTTGTAACAGCCTAAGTGCAATGTAGCCTAACTTATTAAGTTTTGGTGTCAGCTTTTGCAACTCTTTATTGCTTTCTTTCCATTTCTGAAGCTGCTTTAAGCCTGTGTTACCCTGTGCCTCTTTCATATATTTATCAAAGCAGGATCTAGTAGTATGTAAAGAAGGGATAGTGAAATAAACATTATTTGAAAAATAAGTATTTTAAAAATTATGGAAATCTTTGTTCAGATGATTTTTTTTTATTGATTTGCATTTAGTTTGATATTCTTTAATACATATTCATTTTATCAAAAATTAGAACTAAGAAAAAATATTTATAAGTTTAATTTAGAACTTTAAAGACATAATTTTAAATAGTTGAGTTTACCTTGTAAGAAAAAGTTGTCTAAAGGTGCAGAGATTTTTCCATTCTTCTGAAGCCACAACTAGTGTTTCTGTATTCACTAAAAACAATGTTTCAATGCACCTTGGATCCCCAGAAGCCAATAGTTCACAATATCGTTGAATTTCAAGAACAGTATAATCCATGCTTTCTTTCTCGCTGTTCTAAATATAAAATGTAATTTACAACTAATCTTAAACAAAAACTAACTAGCATCGATTTTCCTGGAGTATTTTTTTAAAATCCAGATTTTTAATATAATTACATATTTAAAATTTGGGGCGCCATGATTGGAGGGTAGAGCACTCAACCAAAAGTCTCAATTTGATCACAGACTTGAGTATGCAGAATGTCCCTTATAGGTTCATAGGGAAGTAAAGGCATATATGGACATAGTGCTAACCAAACTTTGCCTTCATAGAGGTCACAGAAGCAGAAATTTCATCTACTTAAAGGACCACCAGGTTAAAAAATGTCTCATCTTTATATGAAATATTTACACTGAAGTAAAACAAATTTAATATATATTGTCTAAGTAACCTTGATAAATTTTAGAATAAAAGAAACAAATATATAAATTTTATGTTTTAAATATATTGTATTACAAACTCCATATATATATTCAATAAATTTTTAACATTCGCATTTATCATTAAACTAACCTTAATAGTCTGCCTTGGTGGACTTAAGCTTAAAACCTGAGTAGTTTTAGCTTGGTAAACAATAAAAACATCACTATCACTCCCTTGAACACTGCAATTATATCTGAGCCGAAGTACAAAATATTTTAATGAATGCACATTCATCTATTTCAAGAAGTTTACTTAGTTTAGTTTTATAGTACATTAAATACAACCAGTCAAGTAAAAACAAACTTAACACAAATCTAAAGTTATCAACATAGTTATAGTGTCACTTAAATGATGGTTTTACTTTCAAAACAGAAACCTAACTGAAAAATGACATTATTTACATGGTAGCAGGATGCATTTAAGGCTACTCATTTGCAAGTATAGCTACCAGTTCTTTAACCTGAAACCTGGTTCTAATCTTATTCATAACCTACTTTGTAAGATATTTCTTCAAGAACATAAAAAGTTATAGCTAACCTTTGACTTCCAAAGGGACAAACCAGATGCAATTTGCCAAGTTCAGCTTGCACTTTTTCAATGACAGAAGCCCAGTGCCCATTAATGCTAACATCATTTTCTTCATCTTTGAAAAATGATGGTTTCTTTTTAGCTTCTTCCTTCAATTGTCTATCCATGTGAAGTTTATTCAAACGTTGATCTATCAAATTACAAAGTTCACGCCCAACACTTTCACTTAACTGTTGCCAGTTTCTAGCATTATTTACTGAGTTGCCCTCCTTCAGTAATAAATGATGTGTTGATTCAAAACTCAAGCAAGCTTGCTTTGAAATAGACAGAAAGTGTTTTAACCACTTCACATGAAAATAATGCCATTTTTTAGTAATATTTACTGATGGTTCTAAGTGCTGTATATCTAATGGATTTGTGCTATCTTCTTGTTTGCATATATAGGAATCATCTTGCTCTGATTCTGGTGAACACTTGTTAAGCTTTGAATCAAACAAACTTTCAGAGTACCCATGCCAACCACGTTGATTGTTAACACTAAAGATGATTATAACAGGGCCATTTTGATGTGCAGAAATCAGTAAATCTAAAGGATGTGGTGGATTATTTCTCTCCTGGCATGCCCAAATTCCTGAATGTATGCACTTGTGCAAACTCTCTAAATTCATACACTTGGCAATAAAATAACTGTATTTTTCAGGACTGGCCATTGGTATTGAAATCTAAAAAATAGATATATATTTAACAATTATACAATACATTTTGAGTAGGATTCTTTACAAAATAGTATTTTTTTCAACGGCACAGACAAAAAACTTGTGATATAACAAAAGCTTGACCCTCCAAGACCTAAACCATACTCCTGCCATCAACAGCTCTCCAGATTCCTTTGCACTTAACCATTGATTCCAGCAGCAGCAGGTTTTGAATATATGTATATATATATATATATGTATATATATATATATATATATATATATATATATATATATATATATATATATATATATATATTATTGTATATATATATACACTTTAACTTCTTAACACCAGATTTTTTTGTGACAGTCTTATGTCAACGTGTAATTGGGGTTCAACTTTAGTGTCTGGCTGGTGATGTTGGTTGCCAGTTTATACAATATGTCACTCTTTGTCATAAAAACTACCCACAAATAACATGTTAATGATGTACATATCAATATTATTTGGTCTGGGTATGTTGTTTCCAGTCCAAGAGTACTATTTTTTTTAGGATGCATAGATAATTTTAATAGGCCAATAAAATCAATGTATGGAAATTCAATTAAAAATTATCTCCTTTTCTCAAAGTTTTTACTTTCTTTGCTATATGGTGGGGGATTCTAGTTTAGTTATAAGTAACGAGGCGGCCCGCGGCATAACATACGCCGCTATTTAGTTGTTTTTTCTCTTTTCATAATTTGTGAATTTGACGGTACCAACGCTGCCACTGAAAATATTTCTTTAAAACACTATAAGTAGCACGTTAAGGACCAACCCCCCTTCCTCCCCCCCCTACGTTTAAAATAGTTTCAAACTAAATTATCTGCCCCTAATAGTCGTCACTAAACCCGGCTCTGCTTGTAAACATTTAGAGTGAACACAGCTCACTAAGACCATGTAGGGGTGGGGGTGGTAGGGAGCGCATTTACAGCTTGTTTTCTAGCGTCTCCCAGAAGAGAATTATATATATAGATAATACATATAAAACAATAGTTTAAATATTCTATCCCTCTGTTGTTCTGGAATTCTGTGAAATGTAAAAGTTACCCTTTTTAACCTGGGTAGATGAAGGAGAGTTCACCCCCACCCCTTCCCCCTCAAAATTGCTCTTGGTAAAAATAGAGTGTATTAATCAATTTCTATTACAATTTACAAACTGTTACAAGCAGTTTTCTAAAACATAAGATGGCTAAAATTCAGTCTATAACATTACTTTTTTAAAATGCAAAATTGTGACGTCACACTGAATCCTCTCCCCCTAATCACACAACATAACAAGCGCTTCCTCTATGAGTCAGGTTGGCCTCCGCCTAGACATACTACAAATTAAGTCAGAAGTCTGAACTCAAGACTTCCAGGTTGGCAGTCAAGCACTCCACCCCCTGGCCACAAGTCCAATGAGTTGGAATGTAAACTTGAAAGTGTTAAAGCAGTGTAACAACATATTGTTGTTTTTTAAACATTTTAAATAAATGTCAACTAGCTTTATATTTCATTTTGTTACAAACTAAAATGATGAAAAATAAGTTTAGTTGAATTATTTTAATAGGATAATTATTTTATTTTATTATCTGAGTTGTGGATAGGATGAAAATTGAAGAGAGATATGCCATTGGAAAATTGAGATATAATTTTAACTTTATAATATTATATTGAGGGTAAAGATAAAATGTAATGAAATTGCATGATCATTGGTGATCCTTTTAATTAATTCAAAACAATTATGCCCTACTGTAGTACTATTACTACTATGCATGAATTAAATCATATTAATTTTTTATTAGTAAATAATAAATTTAAATAGGCCTTAATCAGTAGGCCCTAATAAATGTCATTGATTATTAAATTGAAATTATTAGTTCTACTCTTAAAAATAATTATTTTTTAACATTTAGACTAGTAGAGAACTAAGTTTGTATTATGAATTATGGAGCAAACAACAGGTGCTGTTTTTATAATAATTTATATAACTTATATTTTATGGGCCCTGCCTAGCACTTCAATATTATATTGAATAAAGAGTCAGAGGTGTAGCGACCCTTCCCAGCGCCCAAGGACAAACTTTCAATTTGGCGCCCCCCTCGGGAGCAAATTTTCAAATTGTAACCCCTTTTCAAACTTTCAATTTGTATCCCCCCCCCCTTCAAACTTTCTATTTTCACCCCCAACTGTTTTTAATGCAAAAATGCAGCTAAAATGACATTTTAATTTGTTTTTACAACCAACTTTGGCGCCCACTAAGGTCGGCGCCCGAAGACATATGTAACCCCCTGCCCCCCCATCGCTACTCCTCTGTAAAGAGTAGATCTACTAGATAGTAGATCTAGTCTAGATTCTAGATATAGGCCTAGATCTAGATCTAGATTATTTTTAGATCATTAACTTACTATTAACTTACTATTAAGAATCCGAATTTTAGATCCTACTAGACTACCCGTCACCCGTTGGATAACTGGGTTTCGGGGGTCATCCATCCAAAAACATCACGTCTGTCACTCAGAGGCGTAGCGACCCTTTTCTGCGCCCGGGGACAAACTTTTAGATTTGAACCCCCCCCCGGCAAGATTTTGATATGCACCCCCTCAAACTTTCGATGTGCACCACCCCCCCCCCCCCCATCTCAAGATTTCTATTTGCACCCCCCCCCCACCTCAAACTTTCGATTTGCACCCCCTCAACCTTTCATTTTATTTTTCCAACCCATTTTGGCGCCCCCTAAGGTCGGCGCCCGGGCGACATGTCCCCCCCCCCCGCCCCACCCTCCTCGCTACGCTACTGCAGTGTCACTTATCGTCACAAAAACAGACCCCACATTCAAACATATGTTTTTTATCTTTTAAAAACACCGAAAACAACGATTTCGGACTATCCCTTCATATACTGACGTCACAGGTGACCTACTCAACTCTACTTCACCTGCCCAGTGTCCCGCCAAGTCTCAGACATGTTTTTATCGTTTAAAAAAAACGATTCCAGCCGAGCATGTCTCTGACCACACTATCCCTTCATATGCTTAGGACAAACAAACAGGTGAACTCTACTTCACCTGCCCTGTGCCCCGCGAGGTCCTGATAGTCAACCTTATCATTCACATGTAGGCCTTAGGAAAAATAATTGAAAACATTGTTGTAAAAAGAAAATATATCTTTTTACTATTACTACAGTCATTGTTCTAAACTTTTATATACAATGTGGTTAATCTACCCATGAATATATCAATAAATTAATTAACGGCTTTAAATTAGTTTGTAATTAACAGTGTGTTTAAGAAGGATCAATATTTACCACTCAAAATACCATTTCGCAGCTCTACACATAATGAAGATTCTCCCCAATAACAAATCAAAAAACAAACAAACTAAAAAATGAGTTATCAAACATCACTATTCAGTCAAAGTTAAGCCATGGTTCTAAAACTTTAAAACAATTGTGGTTAATCTACATATGAATAAATCAATAAATTAATTAATGTCTTTAAAAAAATGTGTGATTAACAGTCTGTCTGCAATCAAAAATTATTCTCTACCTACATACTATTTTACAGCCCCCCATATACAGCAGTTTCCTTACAGTAAGAAATCAGACAAACAAATAAATATTCAAACATGTAAACAAAGTTGAGTTTTAGTATTATTAGATGTTTCTAGATTCAGAAACATCTGGATATCTAGAACAACGTTGGTTCTAGATCTAGATCATAGATCTAAAATAAATAGTAACTTTAGATCTAAATCAGTAAATCTAGGTTCTACCAATCACCCATAATCAACAATGGAGGCGAGCGAGTTGACGAGATTCCTTCCATAATATTAATAATAATATTGTTGACATGGAATAAAAACGTGCTTTTTAGATTTAGACTGTAAAAAAAAATAAAAAATAAAAACTTAAGCCTAAAATTAATTTAGAAATTTTATATTCTTAGAATAAATGCTATAAAAGTTACAAATCTAGAGAATTTGAAAATAATTTGTTGAGTTTAAGGCTACATTTCTATTTATTTTCATCAAGCCTAAGTTATAACCGGATGTTTCACTTTCGTAAGACAAATATTGATTGGCTGTACAGTAACTTAGTTTACAAAACTTTGCAGATCAAGTTTTTAAAAAACAATGCAAATTTAACCCTATCCCTACAACCCTATTTCACTGTATTCGACTACAAGGCGGGTCATTTTGACCCGTATACTTTTTATATAAGAAACTATTATTACATATGTAAATTTTTTATAGCATAACTATTATTTTAATGATAAATGGACACTAAAATTATAGTGTATACATTTCTACACTAAATTTTAGTTTTAGGTATTATATTATTATACTTTTTAGGCATAAATAAAACTAGACGTTACTAAATATAAAAACTTGTACCTTTACTATCGATTTATTTTTCATATGCAAGAAAACTTAATCACAATTATTATCAGTTTGCACAGTAAAGCTATATAGACTAGAGATAGAATCTATATATTTGACAAATAGTTATTTTACCATCTAACATGTTATCGTATCTCGCATGACTTTTGTTTGGATGACGCTATTGGGCCCAACACTCAGTGAGTGGTTCAGAAGGCTTCTTTTTGTCTACTATTTGATCTAATGTGAATTGCAGTAGCTTGGACATAGTACTCTGTGCTCAATGCTCACAACTTGGGGCAGAACAAACTCTTTTGACAATATACACATTTTGTAAATCTGCTGCTGTCTATTTGTAATAGCTGTCGCTTTATATTTCACCTTATTGGGGACATTAGTTGCAAATTGAAAAATATGGTCATTAGCTACCACTTAGTTTGCCCATTGGGGCATATTGCTAGAGCCATACATGGATGATTTCATGCAGTCTTTCCATTTTGATGTCATCATTTTGGCATCAATATGCTTGCTTGACACAGTTTAGTAGCCAAAAACTTAGTTCAATGTAAAGTTCAAAGTTATCAGAGATTGATACATAAGTCATCTCTATTTCAATATCCATTGATTTATCAAAATATGGTTCCATGTGCTTCAAAGCTGTAGTCAAGGAGTTGGTCCTATTTTACCCAACTATGGTTGGACTGTCTGAGGTGACATGGTCTAACACCCACGGACCATAAAACTTAACTCATCAGATGGCTTTTGTCGCAAAAGACTGCATAGATACAAATCAATATTTGCTTCCTGCTGTATCTTTATTATATCAAAGCCTATTACACAACATTCTAAATACTTTATTGACAGTATGGCCCTAATTTCCAAATTCAGCAACAAAAATAAGTTCAGGTCTGATTTATCGCTTTCAAATTGATACTGTATCCAATGAACCCATGCAGTCATCAGTTGGTATGTCTTTGTATCTCCTTACAATACAACTTCTCTATGTGTAGGCCCAAACCTAACAATCCACAACAGTTTCATTTGTAACAAGAAGGTTGAGTCTAAAAACATGCTATCAACATCATTGAACAAATTATTGTTGTGCTTCGGCGCTGAAATAAATGTTTCTAATTGGTGTCTTTGGTAAGGCAGGAAGGGATACAAACTTATGAGCCCAAAAGGTCTACCCCCAAGGGAAGTTGTTTGAAACTTCTATAGATTTATACCACTTTCCCCTACACTAGTAGAATTTTTCTCTATATAAATGTATATGGGTCAATTTGACCCATGTTAGTAGGGAGAGGAATAGTGAACCTAAACCTGCTCACCCTCATGCACACGTGCAAAATCAAACATTCATTTTTATGTTGAAATAAAGCAATGTATGTGTAGGAAGCATATCTAGAAGCTCAAAACAATTGGTCCAGTGGTTGACCAGTAATTAACTAAAATGTAGCATTGTCGGGTCAATTTGACCCGCCTTGTAGGGATAGGGTTAAAACCCCATGACCTAGTTTTCTATTTTTAGCTTACAATGTGTACAATAAATATATGACGGCCTATCCAATAGCAGGATGCCATTGTTTATGTCGCCATTACACGTGAAAAGCAAATTGTTTTTGCTTTTTTTTTTAATTTTTATTTAGTTACCGAAAATATTATAAACATCAAATACATCCAATCTTTAGTAAAGTCCGAAAAAAAACAGACAGGCAGGATTTTATAACCATATTAATTGTAACTACGCTGTGCATGATTTTTAAATGAATTTATACACCTCTCAAATACCTTTGAGACTTTTCTCGCTGGGGCCAGGCCAGGCATAGTCTCATACTTAATTATAATAGTTAACTTAACAATAGATCTAATAATTATTATTAATAACTGATTTTTTTTTAAAGTATTTTAATCATGAATTTTATCAAATCCAAGTAAATGATCATTTTATTCAGAAATGTAGGCCTTTATCTAGGTTCATCATTTATTATTAATAACTGATTACCATATTTTTTTTTTTTTTTTATTTTTTTTTTGATTTTTAAAAATTATTATTTATTAATTTAATAGATTTAGATGTTTTTAGATTGCAGCCTAAAATATTTACATTCCTATCATTCACAATAGAAATTACAAATTTGTTCTATTCTAGATGTGGTCATCAGTCCATCGCATCAACACATTTTTACAATCTGATAACATAGAAATTAACAACTTAAATAAAATTGTGGATGAAGGTAAACTACAGACGTTTTTTCCAAATAATGGATGAAAGAGTTATTACTATTGTAGTTTTATCAGTTTAAAATTTGTGCAAGGATTTGTTATGTAGCATTGACCGACATTATAATGTTATATTGTTCCTGTGTACATGTATTATTACTGTGGTAGTGATCATGGGTTAATTGTAGTGAATCATTTAGTAATTGCACTTTTTAGCTATTATTCTTCTTGATTTAACTCAAGACTCCAATAATTGTCCTCAGAATTAGACGTAAAAATAGAAGATGCAAGCTTTTCCTGGTCTGCTTCTGGAGAAGCTGTTCTTAAAAATTCAACCAGGCACGCTTGTTGCAGTTATAGGTGAGGTGGGTTGCGGAAAGTCTTCACTGTTATCTGCAATCATGGGGGAGATGAACACTCTTGCTGGTACTGTTTGATGATCCATTGGGTGCAGTGGACAGCCTTGTGGGACAACACATCTTCCAAAATGTTATCAGCAACACTGGACTTTTAAACAGGAAGGTTGATCAGTGGTTTATTTTTTAACTTGGCCTAACTGATTACCATAAAAGTCGAACCATATTATTACTAGTAAGAAAGTACCATAAAAGTCGAACCAATCGAAAATATCCTGAAATAAGATTCTAACTTTCAACGGTGTTTGAGACAAATTTTAAATTATTAATAGATCTAGTATAGAAACTAGATTTAGGCTTAAGTAATAAGGAAATAAGGCCATTGTATTAAAAATATAGTCTAGTTCTAGATTCTCTAGTATAAATAGAATCTTAAGTAATAGGTATTCGTAGGATGAAGGAAAAAGTTGACATTGCAAATTTACAGTAGTTTCCCTTGAAAACATCACTATCAAGTATCAGTTCAAGTAAAACTAAAACTCAGTCTACTGTTATATATAGTCTAAGGGGAATAAACGTGAAATCTTCCCATTGAAAAAGTTCAACCGAGCTCACCTCCCTTTAATGTAAACTTTTTTTCGTAAAAAACGTTTTGCTAACAAGCTTTTATATATAAAAGTAGAAAATAAATTATACACTTTAGTGTCTATTGGATACCTTTACTAATATTTAGGAAAAGACCCACGCTTTTCTGTATAGTAATTTATTAAATAGTAGTGTATAATTTATTTTCTACTTTTTAGTGCATTACATAAAATCTTGTTATTAAAACGTTTTTTTATGAAATTGTTTTTTAGTACTTCACATGTTTTTATTTACAATAGTTACATGACTAAAAACCATTGCGCACCTATTGAACGTGATGACGCGTGTGGAGTAGTTGGATAGAACTGCCTACTAATTTGGTCAAATTTTTAATGAATTAATAAAAAATTAATCTGGCGACCAATTAAGTCAAATTGAATGTCATGATGCATTGTCTTCATGTCTTGACCCACGTTCCAACTACGAACCATATCTTTCAGATAGAAGTGCCTGCAATTTAGCTCGGGCGTTACGATGTAGACAGACTGACAAGTAAGTGAGTTAAAAAAAAAACTTGTAAAAAAATAAAAAAAAAACAGCTCGCATTTTCGTACCCTTTAAAAATAATTACAATAAATAACATTGTAAATTCAAAATTAGTTGGGAAGTCCAATGTTTACACACTTTTTTATGCAGTGATATAACTATACTAGCTGCATACCCATGCTCCGCCACGGTGAATCTTTTTTACATGTACCAACTTGGGAACAGAACAAAACAAAACACAAACGCTTATACCCCTGCTTCGCCACATTTCTTTAAAAAGGAAGTTAAGGAAGGGGTGTAGCAGAAATTGAGAGAAGTCTGTGACATGTTAATGAAAACGCATATTTATCATTCTTTATTCAAGTGCAAGACAGCTTGACTTGCAATATGATTCCAGTTTTTACTTTGACATTTGCTTAATTTTAAAGAGTTTTTAGCAAATTCCACTCACTTTTATCCCCATTAATTCAATGATAAATGCTTTTGTTAAGTTGATAATTGTTGATTTTTGTTTAGTTGTCCCACCAGACCAAACATCTTGTGTTTGTGTAATCTGCTGAGTGGAAGAATTCATCCAGCTTCTTTAGAATAACAGCTGCCTGGATACTGGACACACATGGCCAAATTTAAGCATTCAGACTAAAACATAATGCATTAATTAAGAAATTAATCCCAAACATACCATCAGTATCAAAGCAAAAAAAAAATCTTTTTATTTTAGTTAACTGTCTAATATTTGTTTAGATCTTCTACTCTTCTTTGGAGAAATGTCTTTTTCTTTTTTCACAATACTGATATCTGCTGCACATTTTTTATGTCTTTTAGGAATCGGACTTAAAGGTTCTGTTTTAATATCTTTTAATGATACTTCTTGTTTTAGATCAGTAAAAGAGTTATTTTCTTTAACAAACAGCTGTATTGTTTCTGCCTTTGGTTTCTGGTCTATAGCAGACATGTCACAAATTTTGTCACTTTTCACTGAGTCATGATTTTCCTCATGTGCACTTTTGAACTTTTTACAAGGTGAAGGTGTTTTCAATTCAGAAGCAAGCAGTGCTGTTTCTGCCTTTAGTTGCTGATCTATGTCAGATAACAAGCTGTCATCTTGTATTGAGTTACGGTTATCCTCTTCTTCAGGTGCTTTTCTTGATTCTTTGTAAGGTGAAACTGTTTTCACTTGTGGTGTAACACTAAGATATACACAAAAATGTATAGTATAGTATGTTAAAATGTAATTAATGTTAAACTATCACTAGAACACATTAACACACAAATAGTCATGGGTTCATTACTGAGCTAATTGATGATAACTGGAGTTTTGTAAAATGATACTGGAAAAGCAACAAGCTAAATTTAATTGCACAGCTTGCTACAAGTAAAGTAGAAGTTTAAACATTTCCTAAGATTTAGAGAACTTTAATGTAAAACTGCTTGATGCTTATTAAATCTCAAACTGAAAAAAAAGAGTGTAACACTAACAATCTCATTATTATTGAGACTGTTTTTTAAACAAATTTGATAGTTTTTAAAAATAAAAAATAAAGTTTTTTTTTACCTCTGTAAAGTACCCCTCATAAATAAAATCTCCCCATCAACAATAACCTCAGTGACAAGAAAAGTACACAAGTCTCCAAGATCAGGTTCAAGATGAGCACTGCCAGACTTTGTCAAAGAAGCATTGAAAGTATCCAATACTAGACACCCAATGTGGCTTTTACTACACTGTGGAGATAATTCATGAACAGCATTTTATTATGTCACTAAAGGAAACTTGATAGAGCTTTTTTTTTTCTCCATTGAATATATTTAAATGTAGATGTAATATCTATTAACTTTTATTTACAAGCAACTACAATTACTCCATGGACAAATGGTATTATTAAATACAAATATCAACAAACCTTGTTGATAAATCCTTCCAAAACTTGTCCTGGTTTAGGACTAAATACATGAAAATCAGCTATGACTTCCATACTAAGATAGCCATCCACAATTAAGTGACTGTCACCAATAACTTTCAAATTATTTACATCCAATAAAGCTCCTTCTAATCTGTAATACAGAAAAATTTTAACATTTTGCCAGTGTGTTTTTTGCTAAAACTATTTAAATTGAATTAGTACAACTTTCTAGGGTGTTCACAAAACATCTGAACTAGGTATGTTTTTTTTTTTACTTGGCCTTTATTCTATGGTTGTGCCAAACAACAAAAACTTACTTGTCTGAGTATTTGTTTTTATTGTTTAGAAGAGTAGATTTGACAGCCCAGAACAACTTTTTCTTATTACTAGGGTGCAAAAATATATGTTTTTTTAGTGTTCTAACAAAAGTAGCCTCCTCCATTATCACTGAAATATTTAAAGTGAAATTCACAAAGTTATAAATAAATAAAAATTAAATTCTATAAGTTAGCATGAAAAAGTTTGGTGGACATGCAAAATGTAGGTTAATCACGCTCACTCAATATATTAAATATAATAATTTCTAAGAATAAAAACGACCACTTATTTTAAGTAGGCTATGTAAAATAAAATCATCCGAGGCTAGAAACGTAAAAGAAAGGTGACTCATTAGCCTAAATTTTTGTAACAACTTCACACTTTTACAAGGATTTGTAATTAAATTTTAAAATTAACAGTTAAGACAATTGTTTCACGTAGCCTACATGTTTTTAATAAATTTTATTAAAACTTTTCAGTATTAAATAAAGATAAGCAAAGTTTTTATCAGATGTAACCAAGCTTGTTTACTTTAGCAGCCATCTTGTTCAAGTTTTTTTGGTCAAATTATAATTAGAGATTCAGAGGAAACCACTCTAATTTACAGACGGCTGCAATTTAATATCATGGCCTCCAGTTTAAAGTTAATTTCTGGCCTATATTTTAGTTGATTATTAAATTAAATGATCATATTTGACATCACAAAAATATCACAATATACTTGTAGTGAAGCCATATTAATGTGTCACCTTCTTTTCACACTTCTAGCCTCAGCTGATTGTACATACCTAAAACAAATGGGTAATCTATCTTTTTAAGTAAGTAAAAATCGTCCAAAGCTAATTGTGATGGAAGCATGGTCGAGTCGGCAAAGCTTATGGTTGATAAATTCGAAAAAAAAAAGTCCCGAGTTCAAACCCTCTGTGGCAGATAAGGCTCGATCCCTTCTAACACTAAAAATTAAGAACGAAGAAGAAGTCCGAAGCTAGTAATGTGAAAGAAAAGTGACTTTTATTAATTATTTCACATTTTTAGATTTTAGGAGGATTAATGTTTTAAAAGTTACAAAATGTTTCATGATGTAGATCTACCTGTTTTCGAACAATTTTATTAACATTTTTCAGTGGGCCAAATAGTAATAAATAAAGATTAGTGATTTTTTTCATCAGATGCAACCAAACTTGTTTACTTTAACAGCTATCTTGTTTAAGTTCATTTTTTGTTAACTCATTGTTAGAGATTCAGGGGAAACCACTCTAATTTACAGATGGTCGCTGTTTATATTGCAAATCTTGCTCTCAAATACTATTGTTTTATCAATGAGTCACTTTTCTTTCATATTACTAGCCTCGATCAATTTTACGTACCTAAACCGATAGTGTACCAACATTAAAAAATGATTAGGCCTGGGCTATGTTATTTTATTATTTCTTTTATAATATTCCAACCCCCCCCCCCCCCACTAGATTATTTAAACTTAGTAACTATTTATTTAGAATTTAGGGCCTACTATTATTTTTAATTTTTAGTAATTTTAGTTTAGTAGGCCTGATTCATTTTATTATTTCATTCATTTACTTCCTTAATTTAACACTAACAGACTTTAAACTTTAAGTTTAAGCACTTATAATTAAACTAGCCATCAGTACCAGTTTCACATGAATTATAGGCCTATATATTTTTAAATGTTGTACTTGTTTGAGAAAAAAAAACTATAAAATAGTTAGGCCTATTGGTCAAAACGCAATGTGCTTTACTACACGCTGAACGATATTAGTGACAAAGCAAAGAAATAACTAATTCAATTAGCTAAAAATCAGACACATTTAACATAACACAGGCACACACTGATTAAGTGACTTAAATGATTCCGCAAAAAACTCCACTATTCAACAAAAATCCGTATCAAGTTCTCCATGATGATAAATCGCTGAAAATTCTGATGGGATATCCGTCGAAAATAGTTTGCGGACAGAGAGAGAGAAGTGCGCACATGGGCTTTTATATATTATTAGGATTAATTTAGCCGATTTTATTTTGGCCTATTTATTAATATTTATTATTTAGCCAACAAAGTCATCCTCATCCTGCTCTGAGTCAACTCAGTCGACTCAACTGGGTATGACAGTATGACTGACAACTTGTTGTTAACTTGTTAGAATTAGATCTAGAATTTCAATCTAGATCTAGATCTAGATATTAACGTAAAGAGACCCACTTTTTATAGTAATATTATTTTGAGCGTTCCAGAAAAAAAGAAAACTAAGGGTGTATGAACAAATAAAAGCGCATTAATTAAGGATCTGTATTCTGTGACTGTACTGCTAGATCTCTAAATCTAAATCTCCATGTGTAAAGTCAATCTATTATTCCGGAAGTTGGCAACTTTCTCTTTATTTTTATTACTTTACATTAAAAAGAGCTGGCAGACATAAGATTTAAACCAATCCATCTCAAGAAGATTTTATTTTGGCCTATTTATTAATATTTATTATTTAGCCAACAAAGTCATCCTCATCCTGCTCTGAGTCAACTCAGTCGACTCAACTGGGTATGACAGTATGACTGACAACTTGTTGTTAACTTGTTAGAATTAGATCTAGAATTTCAATCTAGATCTAGATCTAGATATTAACGTAAAGAGACCCACTTTTTATAGTAATATTATTTTGAGCGTTCCAGAAAAAAAGAAAACTAAGGGTGTATGAACAAATAAAAGCGCATTAATTAAGGATCTGTATTCTGTGACTGTACTGCTAGATCTCTAAATCTAAATCTCCATGTGTAAAGTCAATCTATTATTCCGGAAGTTGGCAACTTTCTCTTTATTTTTATTACTTTACATTAAAAAGAGCTGGCAGACATAAGATTTAAACCAATCCATCTCAAGAAGATTAGTAGCACCGAAGCTTGTTATGTTTCCAATCAAGCTTTGACAAGCAATCGGAAAATAAAATTACTAGACTATAGTTACGCCGGTAAGATTAGCTTTCAAGCTATTAAAATGGGTTGCATATTTTCTTGCTTTAAAAAGAGTAATGGACAAATGCCATTAGAAGAAACCGCAGATGAACCAAAAGTGTATTCATGGTACGTATGATTAGTAGTATGATCTAAATTCTAAATTAAAATTAAATTCATTGATTAGTGATGATTAGGCCTACTACTTACTTCTTAGACTGACTTAGATCTAGTAATTATTAGTTAGTACTAGCCCTACTAATTTACTACTACTAGACTTGTAGTACTAGATCTACTTGTAGTGACTTGTACTTATTAATGACAATAATGTACTAGTTGACAAGTTGAGAGTAGATCTAGTACTAGGCTTAGTTTCTTAGACATCTTAATCTTATTTGTTAAATGTTAGGCATAAATCTTAGATGTTGAAGTAGAAGTAGTTAGAATTAAGTTAAGGCCTGAGGCTACTAATTTAATATTTTAATTTAATAATTAAATTACTTTTAGAAATCTAGATCTCTGAAGATTGAGGTTAGCCTACAGTGCGACTACAGGCCTACAGTCGTAACAGTGAGACTACAGTCTACTCTAGATCTAGTAGATCTAGTAGTAGAGTACTAAACTTAGATCTAGTACTACTGATTCACTGATCAAAATTAAAAATACTGAATAGATTGCGAACTCAACTACACTTATTTCTATAGGCTACTTTGTAGATTTTCTCACTAAATCTAAAATGTACGCAATTTTCAATTTAAACATAACCACTGAATAATAGACATCCATATATAATCCATTAGGCACTAATTTTCGATTAAATACAATAATTATCTCATTACTTGGCTAGGGGAGGGAGGGTGGGTGGGGCAGCCACCTCTGGTGCAGACCCAAAGGGGGCGTCAAACGTGGTAGATAATAATATAAAAAGCTCATTACTGAATTATATAGGCCTACTGTCGAAATAAAGAATGGTGACTGCAACTTGGCAGGACAGGCTTATTTAATTGTTTTCTACATCAATTCTGAGACAACAAAATAAAAAGGCAAAGTGACGTAAAAAGCACCCCGACCTTTCCACACAAGGTATATAACTAAATATAAGCCTAATTTGAGGAGGGAGCTCAAAATTGATAGTTCATCCTGGGCACCGAAATAGATTGCCACACCTTATTTTATTACACTGTCTATAGTAAATAATCAATAGTAGCATTAGAAGAAGTTTGAATTACTTTTAATAAGTAGCCAAGGATGGCTAATCAATAAATAGCAACAGAAGCTAGGTGAGATATACTGAAACCAAAGAATAGACAAGTGCCTTATTTGCTGATCTGAACAGTACTGAACCTACTGTTTGAAAAAATGTATTTGTTGTTTACTTTCATTTGTTTTTAAGTAAAAATTGAAGTCATATTGTTCTAAATATTACTGTTTCTGTTTCCTCTTTTACTTCTTCTTTTTTTTTTTTTACTTTCCATTGCCCATAGTTCTACCTTTCAACAATATTATCAGTTTTCAATAGAATAAGCTTGACAGATCTTCCAAGCTGAATGTTATAACTGGGTTCTAATGTGTACCACAGTTATGCAGTGAGAGGGTAGAACTACTTGATCCAATATTATATTCCAATACCACTACCATTTCATTATGTCTAGCCATGCAATAGTGCATCTTTAGACACGACGACATCAACGCATTCAAATGATTTGACAGAATAACATTGTTTACTAGTTCTATTTATTGCACTATAAGAAATAGACATTGGACAACTTGAACAAACGATACTAAGACTGGACAACCTAACCCTAACATAACACGAACAAGACTAATTCAAGCTTCTTCCCCGGTAACAACGAATTCCCACCAAAACGTCACTTTCTTGCGTACAGCGTCACACTTTCACTCGTTCAATATTATCGCTTCGCACCAGCATTCATGCGCACCAATTTGTCTAGTCAAACATACATCATAACACTGAAAGCATGAAGAAATCAAATTATTTATTACATTCCTTTTATTAACTAACTGCTCAGGCAGTCACAGAAATTTTCTCAATTTTTTTGTCTGCCCAAATAACATAAAAAGGAAAACAAATTATTTTAAAAATACCAATGAATTACTGGGTTTTTAACTGAATTAGTTTAGGCACTGAATAATTTTGAGCATTTAATATGGTGTCTAGATTACTAAGCTAACCTAAGGGGCTATTTATAATGAAGAGTTTTAATAGCGGTTGTTGGGTCTGCATAATGGGATCTTGGTCTGTGTTGGATATTGCAGCCGACAGTTTGTTTTCAAATGGAAATAAATGAATAAAACCCATTTCCCCATATTAAAATTTATGATAACATTTCAATGAGAATTTAAATTAAATGTTATCATAATGTGTGTCATTGAATTTCCTTTCTTCTGAGATCGCAGCAACTTGCAATGGGAATAATTATTTCCTTAATATTCATTTGATATTTCAAAGGATCTAATTGATGAAATACTTCAACAAATAAACAAAATGTTCTAGTGATTTCTGCTTTTTTAATACTCTGTTAAATTCAATAAAGAATATTAATGATAACTTTTTTTTTTATTACGCAAATTAAAATTAAAAGGGAGTTTTATACTAAAAATGTTAAACTCAGCTTTAAATTAATCTTTATTAAATTTTAATAATTTAATACAGCTACTGACCATTTTCATTTAATATTTGAAACATTTGGTTTCTTTATTTCAGGGATAAAAGAGACAGGTCCAATGTCAATGATTTTATTATAGATGGCAAAAAAGGAGAAACTGTGGTAAAAAAAGCTGGTGATGTCAATGGCGAACAAATAGTTATACAGAACTGCCAGGTTAGTCACTCATTAGCTTTCATTAATAAAGTAAAAATTTATAACTGCCAGTAATTACTGTCTTTTATAATGTATATAACACAGATTTGAGATTTTGACACTTTTTCAACTTTTAGCTTCAGTTGAAATACATTGATTAATTTAACATCCATTATTCTTTATAATATTTATACACTAATATTATTGTTTTTATCAATTATTTGATTTGTATTCTTCAAATAGTTGATAGAAATTAGCCTGAAAAGTGGGGCTATTATTTCAATATTTTTTTTTTGAAATCTAAAGTAAAGGGCTTAGTTAGTTTAAAAGCTATTCTGCTATTTCCTTACATTTGCACTATGCAGTCAACACTTATTATTTCTTTCTAGGACTCAAATATTTATGTGTTTGATCATATAGCAACTGTAAGCGTTGATGATTGTATCAACTGTAATATATTCCTGGGACCAATCAAAGCAAGGTAATAATGATTTTCAGCTCAATCCCACACAAGTTACATACACCCATTTATAAAACTCGTATCATGGTAATAAAATTTTGTGACAATGAAACTGAGTCACCATTTAATAAAATGTTTGGGAAAGTTTCTGCATTGCCAGTTTGTCATACAGTAGTTATGGAGGAATTCATTGTACCAGATAGATGATAAAGTGTGCACATTTTGGAGATTGTTCTCAGCTCAAAAGATCTCAATTGTCAGAAAAATGGGACAACTTGAAAAGTTCACACAGCTGCTAATTTGAAAGGCAAAATTAATAATACAAATGAATTAAATTAAAAAATGTGTTAAAAATTATGCTAAAAAATTTGGGGAAAAAAGATTGTTTAAAGAAAAAATTTGTCATTGTTTAAAAAAAAACGTAAAATTATTAAGTTATTAGGTTTTATTATTGTTGTTTTTTTTTTAAATTTATTAAATGCATTTAATATGTGAGTAATATTTGTAAACAACCCTTTATATCTCACATGATTATTTTTTAATGTAAACAGCTAAAACTTCTTCCAAAACTGTCTTTTTATTTGTTTTTAGTGTTTTTATCAGAGATTGCAAGCAGTGTAAAATAGTGGTGGCCTGTCAGCAATATCGTACTCGTGACTGTTTTCAGATAGAAACATACCTGTTGTGTGGTACACAACCTATCATTGAGTCTTCTAGTCGTATGAAGTTTGCATGTTTCATGTTCTATTACACACAGCTAGAAAGTAAGATTTTTCTTCCATTCCTCGTTAATTTTCCCTTCTAATTTTACCAGCTTTTATTTAACTTGATTTCTCGTTCTTTTGTTGTGTTTAGTGCTTAAGGGTTGAAACTGGCAAGCCAAATTTCATCTAGTTTCTTTTAAACTTAGCACAGGGGTCAAGACCCAGTGACAGTGCAATGTGACATAAAATAAATATGACTTATTGGATTTTAAATTAATGTTTTTTAAAATTAATTAAGCTTCCAAGATAAAGGAATACTTTCCTTGCCATTTTAAACACATTATTTGTGTTAGTGTGATTGGTTTTAGTCATGCATTAAAATTATTCAAACATTTTTTATTAATTTTTGTTTGTCTCATCTAGTGCTTACTGTTTTGATAATGATTTAATTTTCAAGGCCTTAATATTGTGTGGGGCAGTTAGACTTGTGGAATCTTAACTATATTTCACTTCTATATGAAAATGAATTGCTTTCTTTTATTATTTAATGAACTAAAATTCTGTCCATTTTCTTTATTAATATTTTAAAACATGTTCACAGGTCAGTTCAAGTCTGCTGGCCTCAGCATTTTTAACAATAATTGGTCAAACATCCATGACTTCACACCTGTGCCTGGGGAGGAGAGTAATTTCTCTTACACTGTGAGTCACTATTGGCACAAATATTCAACAGATTTGTTTAAATCATGCGTCTAAAAAAATTTGGAAGTAACTTTTTAAAATCTTGTGTAAAATATGCTACTATAAAGAGATGGATGATGTATTTTAATCTGTTGTGGAATGGCATAAGAAAAAAATGTAAGAAAATAATAAAGTTGATGCAAGTCAATTTTTTATAGGAAAATTAAGAGGGAATATTTTTTTTATCTATATCGATTGGTTTTTTTCATTATTGTTCTTCCCACTTCAATATTGTTCTTTCTTTATATACTGATTGAATTTTATTTCAAAATAGATATTTAATGGTGAATTGTTACCTCTTGTCATGTAGGATGCAAAACTTGCAGACTTTTTCCCTGTGCCAAAGGGGGAAGACTATGATGCTATGCAGATAAGCTTAGATGAGGACAAGAGTGTGATACCCATCACTTGGGGAAAACGAAGAAAAATTAGTAGTGAGGTCAGTCTGTTAGTGATAATAATCACAAATACTGTAGTGAATACAAACATATTTTTTTTCATTTCACTGATTTTTATTGTCTTTCTTCTAGTCTTGTTTGATTGTATTCTTCAATGATGGAGGATCTAATGACCGTGCAGTAAAGCTGATTCATACAGTAAAAACACATAATGTATGTTTATAATTTATTAACAAAACAAAGATCTGCTAATAATTGTGCCTTATAAATTGTATAATTATTTTAGTATTAAGCTTAAATAATTTGAAAAAGACTTCTAGCTTCTTAAGTCCTGAATGATGCTTTCATATCCCCATTAATTTAAACTTAATCCTTACCAAGTTTACCAGTTAGTTAAAATCTAATGGAATGACTGTTGCTTGCTTTTTTCTATTCAGCCCCATTGTATATTAGTGCAAACAAAGGAAGTAACAATGGGACCAGAAGATTCTAAAAGAGTGTTTGGCACTGAATCGTATGCCAAAGCTGTACAACAGGGTAAAATCTTTTCCTACATATTTTTTTATTTAAACAGTCACTTACCAGTCATATTCTTTATAAAAAGTTTTCTTCCTAAAGATTAAAATATAAAAACATCCTTACAAATAATGTTAAAAATATCTCTAGGTCATGTGATTGGTTTGGAAATCAATGGTGATGGCTGCGTTGCACTGTGTCAGTCAATAGTTACAGAACTAATGAAAGGAACAACTGGCCTTGTTTTTGTTAGTCAGTCTCCCAGTGTGGCGGAATCGCAAATAGAAAACTTTTACAACTTTGCAGATATGCAGATGGGGATCTAAAAATAATTCAGGTGTTGTTGATGAACTTGTTTCGTCAACTGTCTAATTACAAGTGATTTCCATAGTTTTTGATGGATGCTAGAGCTGTGTTTATGATTCCAATATGAATGAGGGTTGGGTTTTTTAAACAAAGGTTTCTTAATTATATATGTAGATCTGAAAAATACAAAATGTATTTCCCAAAAATCACAACAAACAAAAGTGCAATATTAAAAATGTCTATTATAAGTTTGTTTTTTATATAAGTATGTTATATGTAAGGTTTATTTTCAACAAGCCTAGATCAAACCAGTTACAAGCAACTGTAAAAAAATAATTTAGTTATTTGTATAGTTTAATTCCTTTTTTATTATTTCAAAAGACACCCTGGATCGTATTAACCTGACTGGTGGTTCAAATATATATATTCAGCCAGTGCATGATGATGTTTCTTGATTGTCTCATCAAGTAACTTTTGTTTCTCTCCACTCTGATAAAAACCTCCACTTGGTTATTATAAACAGGTTTTGTCAATATTTTGGTACATATACAAGTGTGACCAGTTAAACAAAACTCAAGTAATTTGAACATTTGTATGTCACCACTAACTGCTTTTTTTTTTTCAAATTAATTTTTTTAAACAGCATTCGGTGTTTTTGATTCATTTGCTCTTCCTACATATAGGCATTTTCCTCTAAATAATTTTGAAAAATATGTATAACTGTATATTTTTTCAATACTATATAATGTGTAACTTTCTCAGCTATAAATAACAACAACAAATTAAGTTTTAAATTGCTGAGCACTGACAATTTATCATTTAATGTATATTTGGTAAGTTAGAACGTCTGAATGTATTATTCTAAATTTGCATAATGTTTAAATCTAATTTTATTGGTGTAATGTATTATAGGTTTTTTCCTGTAAAAATTGAATATTTGCTAAATAAAAATTTCTTACTTTAGATCTTATTTTTGTATACACATTAATTTAAATGAACCATTTGTTATTTTCCACTCTTAAGTGGAAACTTTTATATATTTACCTCTATAATTGATCAAAAGCTTAAGTATCTTTTTTTTCTGTGATTTGTTTTTTGCTTGAGGATTTTTATAAAATATGTAATTATTAAGGAATTCGTATTCCCTCCCAGTTACTCAATTTCTTAATTGTGGTTAAAAGTTTATTTTTATTTATAGTTCATGTGTTATTGATTTTTTTGTTTGATCAATTTGTTAATTAAGTTCCTGTTTACATTGTTGGAGTACTTAATTGCTGCTCATTGGCCTGTATTTGATAGCAAATTTATACAAATAAGAAGTGGTAATGATGCTATAATTAGTGTTGTGAATAAAATATTTTTTGCAGTACAGAAAACAAATCTTGTTAACAGTCAATACATGTGTTGTTAATTCTTACGAGCCGACCCGCAGCGTATCATATGCCGCTATTTAGTTGTTTTATTTTCTACTTTTCATTAATTCATAATTTGTGAATTCAACAGTGCCAATGCTGCCACTGAAAATATTTGCTTTAAAACACTAACCCTCTCCCCTTTCCCCTAACCCCGACCCTACACCACCACCACCACCACCACCACCCCCCCCCCCCCCCCCCCCCGTGAAAGCAGCCTTCTCTTAGTTACCTCCTGTAAGTTTAAAATCGAACTAAATTATCTGCCCCAAATAGAAACCCGACTCTACAGCTCTACGATTTGTAAACATTTAGCTTTGTAAACATTTAGCGTGACCACAACTCACCAGACAATGTGGGGTGGGGTGGATTGGTAGTGATAGTGATAGAGAGAAAGAGAGGGGACTGCAAGGAGTTGCTTGCAGCTTGTTTTCTAACGGCTCCCAGAAGAGAATTATATATATAGCTAATTCAAAATGTAGATTTAATATAGAATTAATGATTTTTCACAACAAAAAGCTGATAAAAAATTGTTATATATAATATATTCTCTTAGTCTGATCTCTTTGTGTGATATCTGTTAGCAGCTTTTGATAGACACTAAATGTAAAAACTGCATTCTTTCAGATGTGCTCTTTGATGTCACAATGCGCACACAAATCAACACATTCCATTCTACTTATGACTTCAAATTATTTTTGTTCCTTCAAAGAAATGTCATGAAACTTACTTTAAAGGGCTTTACAGTTCCCTTTTATTTTGTATGATGCAAACATATCATTTTTATTTGTTCTTTAAAAAGTGATTTACTATGTTGTATTATTTATTTCTACCATTGCAATTTAAAAATTTAAATTATATCCTAATACCATTTCATCTTTCAAAAAAAAAAAGGTTATTTATAACCTAATTCTTGTCCTAGCATGTCAATCAAAACACTAACCAAAATATAATTTACAAGGATAATTTCAGTAGCAGCCAACCTAATTTTGCTGACTAATATTTTATAATTTATTAGAAATGCATATTAAATTTTACTTTTAGTTAAATGACTTTATGGAACAGTATTAACACTTTTTGCAGATATTTTTCTGTATTAGGAATAATAAGGTGATTTCAAATGATCTCACAGATATCTTATTTAGATAAAAATGTTTACCATTAATTAGTCCTTTTTATTACTTACAACTCAAATTAATTAAACTTTTCATTTGATATAAATGTTATGTTTATATATTTCAATTCTAAAAAATGTAAATCCTTTAATGTATTAAAAAATGAAAGTTTATTCATTTCTGATATTTTCTCTCTAATTTGTACACATTTCTTGAAATTTCTTAAATTAATTTTCACTGTATATTCAGTATGCTGTTTTTATATATTTAAAAAAATTAATTGTTGCAATGACCTAAACATTGTTATTTCAGTTATGTTGTATTTTTTCTCTATTCTTTTCTTTTGAAAAGTGCAATTACATTAAAATATGTCTACATTTTTATTTTTCCTATCTAGTAACCATTGAAATTATTGTTGCATAATGGAAGTAAACAAATATTTCACCCTCATTTCAACTTTTTTTTATAATCATCCCTCCAGATCTAGTCTCAAAGCTGAGGTTAATTCTGACCATAGCTCCACCTAAACAAGCTATTTATACAATTATTTCTTTTGTATCATCACACCATGGATGGTTAGTCTTCAATTCACTGTTCTAAGTAATTTTATTCTTACAAAAAAAATATAACTTTAATAATTAGATCTATATTGATTGGATGCAGAAAGGTCATTTAACTCAAGGTCAAACATTGAATAAATGTCATTTCTACCTAATCTAGATCTACTTATTTCTTTTAACTCTTCATCATGGTTTCTCATGTAGTAATTTAAATTATTATTGTAATTTTAAAAAATCTAATGTTAAAGAAATCTACAGAATAAAAACACTATTGGTGTTACTTTTTAATTTATCATCTCATAAATGTAAAGTTAAAAATAATACCATAAAAATTATTTTTTATAAATATGTGATGCTTACTTATAGCTGGAGGACAACCAAGGCATTCATTTTTCCTTCTATTTTGAGTGTTTGAACTGTAAGGGAATAAACCTAAGTTCTTATTCCAAGTCAGTTACTTTTTTAAATAAAACAATCATATTCAAAACGAGTTGGTGGTCTTATTCAAATACATATATATTTATATATGCAAATCTGTTTATATGTTGCACTAGATGATTTATATGGATATATACACATCAGAAGCTTATTTTCTTAATAGTAGCCAATTATCTTGAAATGTGTTTTGCAGTTTTATCATCTAATTACTACTTATTTTTATATTATTACTAGAATATGAAAAATTTGTTTGCTTTAATAGTTTTTCCTTAACTGATCAAATAGGTGGTTACTTATTTAACTGATATATTTGTACATTTTTGCTGAAGTACATAATATGAATATCAAAGACAAACTTTTCATTTTGAAGTTATATTGTGCCATATTTTTGTCCAAATTATGTTTGTAACCTAAAGCTAAATAAAGAGTTTTTTGAAAGGTCTGTTTTGTTTTTCATCGCAAGTTTTTTAAAAATTGTCTGGTCATTTCAGGTAATGTATTTTTGTTTTCTCACTTATTTCCATGAATAAAGCAACCTGAATATAAATATTTATATTTAATTAACATGTGCACACAGACTACTTTTGCTGTTTGCAAATGGTAGTTTATTCAGTAAGAAACATATAAATATGTTAAATTTTTTTTAAATGAAAAGAACAATGACAACAACATTTAAAAATTACATCAACTAACGTTAGACCAAATGAAACATAATTGTTTCAATAACAAAATTCTAATTGTTAAACTTATTGCAATAAAATTGGATATTTCATTCCACTTTAATTTAGTTAGCATCCTATCCAGTAATAACAGTGATTTTCCATTCAAACAATTGCTTCCATGTCCAAGTGTTTGTTGTTCAGTTAACACACTAATCATCACACTGTATATTTCGCAAAGAGTACAAGAGACACAAAACCAAGCATTAAGTTCTTTCAGTGCAACAGTAGAATTAAACTTGTTCTCATGACTAGAGTTAAGCAGTTTTCTACACTGTGGGGCTCCTTCTGTTCTTTTAATAATCACAAACAAGCCAGAACTCACCAAATCATTCTGTCTTTATACTGAAGAACCATGTATGAAAAACCTTTGCACCCGCAATCTAAGAAAAGTGAAGATTTCAGAATAAGGATTTTGTGTTTTAAAACAGTATCTGCACAATCTTAGTTACTTGATTAATCATGTTTAAAATAATACTGACTTGATAAATTGTTACTTTGTGTCAGCTTCTTATATTTTGACAGAGAGGAAGCTTTTTTAATCAAAATTTTAAAATGTAGTTGCTTAATTAACAAAACTGAATATAAAACTTTAAAATATTAACCATTTCCAATCAAAAGCTTGAATTAGGACAGAAAAAAAAATTATACATTGCTGAGATCAACCATTAAAGAATCCCCCTGAGTCACATTACTGGTTCCAGAGCCATGGACATGACATTTTTCTTTATTAAACGACTTTGAAGGCAAAATGTTTTCATCAGCCGAAGTGCTCAGTAGATTCAATGTTTAGTGTATTTAAACCATGAAACAATTCAAAAACATATTTTACACTAACCTGTATGTCATGTTTGTAAATACAATTCTTATTTACAAAACTGTACTTTTTAAAAATACACTTTTAAACAAGACTCCTCAATATAAAAAACATTCTTAAGACCTACGCTAATTTAATCCAATGGTAATTTAAAACAAATCAATCAAGACAACTGACTTTTATACAATTTTATGTTATTTCTTTGACATGGGAGTCATTTCTTAGCAGAGCAAGAAATTTTGGAAAAAAATATACATACACTAAAAATGATATGTGGACACAAAAGGTCCAGAAATCCAACAACACAGCCCAGATATTATTCATGGACATACAACAATTGAAACTATGTACAAGCAATGTAACACCAAGATAACACCAAGATAGCGCCAAGGTACACACTATATACTGCTACACAGAGGAGAGAAGCACACACCTTTTTAACCAATTGTGCCAAGGTGAGCAGTAACCATCAATAGAAAAAACAGCATCAGCTAAATGCACAAAAATATATGCTAAGATTAAAAAAAACCTATATATCTCTAGCAGCCCTATTGCCAGTCTGAATAGGCAGAAACATTGCATTTTTAAGATAATTTTAGAAATGGCATATTTTTTTATCAGCAAGACTTGGACTGGTTTGAAAGCTTAACAGTTGAACAGAAAAAGTTCAAAGAACAAAAATATTCAATAAATGTAATATAAACTAATTTTTGCTTATAAAAAACCTTATCACATAGCCTATTTAAGATTTTAAAACCTTTTAAAATCTTGTAAAGAAGATACAGCAAAGTCTACAAAAATGCACAAGAATTACAATACTTTTCCAACAGAACATTCAAAAACTATAAATTACCATTCAGTAACTGAAGATAATGTCCTCTTCAATCGTCCAAGGTTAACAACAAAATTTTTTTAAAATATATCATCAAATAAAATATATAACTGACAGTGCTTTAAGTTCTATAAATTTATAGTGAAATCACAACCAATATAAAAATCAAATCTAATCTAATATGAAACAATGAGAAAAAAATAATAAAAAATTTCATCCAAGTAATGCAATTCATGCCTAGATAAGAAACATAGGATAGACATCGTTCTTCTAATGGTTGCAGGTTTTCTTAAATAATTTCTTTACCTTAATGATAAATAACAGGACATTGTGGTGTTGTGACTTAATTTTGCTATAGCGACTTTTTATTTTTGTAAATAAGGTGTGGCCCGACACATAAACTTATTGAAATACATTCCTGCAACATTGTAATTTTAAACCCTATACAGTCCAATTACTTTCAAAATTATATCCTAATAAGCCCATTGAGATTTATACACTTTTAAGGCATCCTTCTCAGCTTAAATAAATGCAAAAAAAATTAACCACAAATGTGAAAATAAAATTGATCAACTTAAAATTTTAATGCTGGAGATAGATGTCACTTGAAACCAAAAATTTTTTTTTCATTTCTGGCCCACTGGTCTGTAAAGGGTTAATTTAAATTACTTTTGTTTTTTTTACACAATAATAAAATTTTAAGATTTTTACCTTTCCCACTAGTTACTCTTTTGATTAGCTATTGTTAGCAAAGATTTTGATCAGTCTACATGACTTAAAATAAAAAGTCAAATTTTGATCTTAAGGAATGTTTTGAGTATCTGAGACTAAAATATTTTTGCCAGCAGTGCAGACACTAAATTTTACCAACAGTATGAAATCGTGTTCTAAATGCTGGCAGATTTTGTTTTATCCAACAGTAAATATTTAACTAATTACAGTGTTTTCGAAAATAGAAATAATAATAATAGACTTCTAAAGTCACAGGAAAACACCACTTTTTCATTAATTTATCTGGCTTCTTTGTAACCCTATTAAGAAACCTAATTAAACCAACAGCACATAAGATTTGTAACCAATATATTATGAAATGGTTGTTACTAATACAGCAGATCAATAAACCACAGTCTGACACTAATCTGATAGTATTGCTTACAGTATAAGACTACCCTTTTCTATTTCTTTTTAATTCAGCATAAACATATGCATTGACTCTTGCAGTTAAGAAATATGGACAATTTTCAGTTGAATATGTTCTTGATAAAGAAAAACAAATTAAAAAAAAAACAACCAAGCTTTTGAAAATAGAAATATAAATTGTGCAAATAAACAAAATATAAACCATTTTAAATATTTTGTTAAGACCATTTTTTTTCAAGAAACTATAAACTGGGTAACTCACCTAAATCTATGTATGCTACCCATGCCTGTTCAACAAATAGCGAAGGGAAAACAATGAATTTAAATAGTTATACCTAGACAAATGTAATCTCACTTAATAGTAACATTTTTTAAAATTTAGTTGGCGGTCTACCAAAATTAAGTATTATGTTTTCTTATTTTGTACATGCCCCTTAGTGTGAAAATTCTATTACACCAATATGTTTTTACACAAATTAATCATTTGACAATTTGAATTGGTTAACAGTTGATGCATAAATCAGTTATTGCCATTAAACATATTATAGGACTGCTGGCAATATGTCTGCAGTAGTATTTCATTGTCAACACTCACTAAAACAATGCTAATTTGATAAAGGTAACACAACAGGTGTACAAATCTTTAAAACAGGAATTTACAATAATTGAGATGATACAAATGATTTGTAAAGCTACACCTTAACACATGGATAACACAGAAGAACAGTGAATCTTTACAGATTTCCCATTAATAATTTTGAAATGTATATGAAACATTTATATATATATATATATATAATACTCCTTTCCAGATATACCATTAATACATTTGTACAACTTAAAATGCATATGTGACATACAGTAGCAAATTCCCAATGATTTGCAGACCAATTACTAATAGTTCATACTATTGTCATAAACCTCATAGGATATACACAATACAGATGACTGAAGTTTCTAAATACACCACCTAATCTCACCATGGAAAATCAAATAGGAATAAGACAAGTATGATGCAGGATGCACAATGCAATTCTTCAGAGTGCATATGTAGTTTTACATGTACATTTGTAACCATGTAATATCTTAGTTTTTTTTTTTTTGCAAAAAAAGTTGGTAAAAAGGTATTTTTTTTAAAGGATACAATTAAAAGTTAGCTACTTAAAGGGAATGACATGATTTGCATTCATATTAATTTTGAAATTTATCTGTTAATAAACAATTGGGAGGGAGGAGGTAGGGATTGACTTTTTGACGTCTAAGAGGAACAGTAAATCACCTTTTTGCAAACAAAAACAATATTCTAGTGCATAAATAGTCTCAATTAAATTTAAGAACTGCATGATGTCTGCTCATCAAGTTCTTGGCTTGCATTGTTTTCATTTTTATTTTCTTGAACACAGTCAGGCTCCTCACTATCTGAGGAACAAGTACCTTTAGGAGCTGCTGACCCTTGTTTTTGTTTCTCTGATGCTTGCTGAGGGTCCTCTTCTTCATCTTCATCTTCTGCCATTAACTTTTTAGCCAACTGGACAGCTGCAAATTCATTGTAATGTGCTTTGCGCTTGAGGAGAAAAACTTTTCTTTTTTCTGAGAAAGAGAGTGATATAATTGTCAAAATATAGAATCAATAGAGTGCTGATTAAGTTTTAAAATGTTCATTTGACTTGACGCCAATATGAATTATTTTCATTTTTTTTTAAACTTTTGATTCACAAGTTCAATATATAGCCAGTTCTTCAGTGGTGCCAAACAACTTACTGTTTTTGTAACAAACTTTAAGCAAAAACCATTTCCTCTTTAAGGGATGTGTGCAAAACCACATGCGATTGGTTAACAATTCCATAGACCAACTCCCTCTAATACATTAAAAAAATTTCCCTTATTTCTTTGACTCCCACCACAACACCACAAAAATATAAAATACTTATTACAGTTAATCACACTTTGTATTATTTAAAAGGAAAAAGGTATCATTTTCGCAATTTTATTTTTGGTGGGGGTAGTAAGGTAAGCATTCATTTTTTATGATACCCAGAAATTTAATTACTATCACTTCCTAAACCCCGTGTATACTCAATAATTCAACAAATCTAAATAACAAATATTTTTCAAAGATTAGAAGACTGAAAAAAATTAAAAGCCTCCCCCCTCAGCATTTTTTAAAATAATACCATATGCTAGATCCATAATAAAAATTGTCATTGTATTACCAAGTATTTATATAGGGTGTTGATGTATTTTATATAAATTGACATCATAGGCAATAGTTAAAGCAGAAAAGTACCAGACCGTGAAAAATGAGGAATTTTGGACCAGACTCATTGTATTTTTGGCAGCTCTAACATATAGTGCCATAAAGCGTTCTCACAATCATTGCACTAATTAATAGCTTAATATAGCTAATAACTCAAATACAAGAAATTTGTATTCTTCAAAATGAACAATGAAAGACTTGTTAACTGAACTTTCTTTTATAAACTGTTATAAAAATTTCACAAAAAGAAAATGGGAAAATTTGGGATTTTTTTTCCCCCAGCATTTAACTAATTTAAATTCTAAAGGTTCATTATCACTCGTTTGCAATTCTATAATTCATAATAGCTGAAATAGGAAGAAACTTGTTAATTATCTTAGTGAAATCATAATCAATTAATTAATGAGTAGCCAAACTTGGCCTATTAATATGTTCCTGTGTTTAAATAACATAACACACCTTACTCTTTTTGAATTTTAAATCTAAGATTCAGAATCAGGAAAGAGAAAAATAACCCAGAAAAGCAGCACACCTGCATAGAGTATAACTAGCAAAGCACAATGAAAACAGTGCATACCTCTTTCTTCTTCTGTTTCATTTTCATGATCTGACTCATCGCTAGGATCATCCGAGTAAAAATGTTTCTCCCCACTCGGTTCTCCTTTGCATGCCAGTCTGTAATACATAAAATAACTAACTTAGAAAAAAATTTTAAACATGCATATGCTAGCACCAGGTTGACAACTTTTTTAAAAATTAAGAGCCATTTTATAACCATTTCCATGAAAATATATTTTATGAGCATCAATGTAAGTAGTATATTATTTGTGATTATTTAACCTCTAGAAATATCTTTAAAACAATTGCTACTATTTTTTTTTACCCATTTTAACATGGCAAACAAGCTTTTATACTATTATTAGAGCCTCACATGACAAACATTTTTTTTTTATTGTCGCCTTGGTAATGATGTCTGCCTAAAAAGACCAGGCCTTGTTTTAACTTTTTTTTTTACAAAGTTTTGTGGTCATTTAAAAAATGTATACTTAAACAAGTTTTAATTTGGGTAATCTCTGCTTAATACTAACTTAGTTAAAATAATGTTAACTTGGTGTGTGTTGTGCACATGCAATGTATTGTTTATTTGGCACATATGTTGGGTATTCTAAAGCAGAAGAATTACATTTTAGTTTTATATAAAAAGTGTTGCGCAATGCTACTTTGAAAGATAATTCATTGATATATATATAACCAAATCAATATCCATCTACAACTGAACGCTACACAAAAATTCTTTCAGAATTTAACTAAAAGATGGACATCTAACCTGTCATAGTGTAGAAATATAGAATTAGACTAGACTAGTAAGTGTAAACTTGACGGTAGATGATTTGGTTCAAGAGTATGTGTGCGTGTTAAATAAAATATTTGTGGAGTGAGTGTAACGTGAGCGTGATGTGACAATGTTACGGATGACGTAGGAGTGAAGACAGTACAACATTGTAGGAAAAGGATGTGTTGTATATTTTTGTAGTGTAATTCTATCTCGTTTAGTATTAGTATTTGATAATAAAGTTAATTCTAATTTATGATCGAAGTTGTTGATATCGCTAACTTAGTATCGTCAAAAAATAAGAGTGTTCCCATCCTCATCACATGTTTATAGTTGGAGTTTTATTTATAGGAGAAGTCATCATATAGATTCATATAGCAACGTATGCATTTCCCCACATCAAATAACCCATACCCTACTGTCTGCCATGTGTTTGAATGGGGCGAACTGCAGCAGACAAACATTTTAAAATACAGTGAACTGGATAACAACACGAGAAAATTAACACAATTTAACAAAGTTCCAGTATGGTAGCCATTAAATAACAAACTCCTTTTTAAAAAAAAACATTTTCTATGCTGTTGATTAACTTGGATAAATGAATCTGGAATCAATTTAACTTAACAGTAAATAAACCTTAATTTTAACTGTTAAATCTTCTTAGACCATAATGAGGTTTAAAATCACAGGCAAGACCCTTGAAAAGAGATAATTGTGCTGAGATGCATATAACTCCAGAGCATGTGCAAATGAATGATGATATACTCATCAATTATTAAAATATAAATGTTAAAGAGAAGAGTACATGAACTAACTTTTTGGCCAACATTTCAGGATCAAGACCTGTAACTGAGCTTACGCTTCCTTTTCTTTCAGCACCTACTTCCTCTTCATTATCTGATGCAGCTCTGTTGTAGGGTGTGGGTGGCTCATCAACCTTCATAAAGCCGTAGTCTTTATCTGCAGGATGATATGTAGCAAGGATGTTCATTTCATCCCATTCTATTTCTTTTTTGCTTTTTTAAAGAAAAGAAAGAAAAAAAGATAAATTAACACCTTGTCACATCTAAAAATATTATTTATGAATTATGTTTAATATTTAGAATGGTTGATTACATTATATCACACATTTTTTGTTAAAAAATCAATTTTGCGGTAGTTGTCCACAGATGCACCTGGTGCAGTTTTACCTTTGAATCAAGTAGTAAACATAACCTGTATGCAGGACGCCCAATCAACCAATTAATATCAAATGCTAAGATAACTGCTCAGGAGCTCTGGGTGCCAAACCGCATATGATTTTTTTATACATTATATAGAGAAAAATTGCACACTGACGTGTATCAGCCCCTAAGAAATATAAATTTTCTTCTCAGCAGAATCCTTCCCAGAAGTATTCTTATCAACTCACCAAAGTTTCATTGCACTCTGATGGACAGTGTCAAACCGCATCCAACTTTTTTTTAATATACTATACCCTAGAGAATAGTTGCATCGCACCAAAATGTTAATTTTTTCTTTGCAGAAACCTTCAAGGGCGCGTTCTCATCAACTCCCCAAAGTTTCATGGCAATTGGATGAAAGGTGTAGTAATGCATGAACTGTGGTTAAGGGACGTCTAATAGGGCAGATGAAGTGGAGTACACCTGCTTATGTAACCTCAGCATCGGAACAGATAGTGTGTGGTCATTTTATGACCAGCTGCTTGTGCTTTCCTTCCCCAATTAGAATCAGGTACCCATAAGAGTGAGGAGAACTGAGGAACATCCTATAGACTCAAGTTTGGAACCAATTGAATGTGAGATTTGAGGATTAACACTTATGTAACCTAACATGCCATGGGGTGGTGGTTTGAGAACATTATATATCATTATGTTAGGAGGATGGGTAAGAAATCCCTATTTTTATGTAATAAATATAATTTTTGCAAATTTAAATGGATAAATAATAAAGTAAAACAATAAGTTATTGTAGTTAAATGACTTCTTTTTGTCATTGAATTTATGCCAGCACAAATAATATTTATTGTCAAGCATTTGAGCACTCATTTACTATGCAAAACAACTTAAAATAAAAATTCTGTTCTTAGAACACCTTGTAAGGTGTTTTGGAATACCTTCCTACAACTTAGTACATGACTTTCACATTTATAACAAGTATCTAACTACAGAAATGTTCAGAAATATTTTTCTTTGTGAAAAAACACCTAGATGATAGAATTGCCTTACCTCAATAACTTATGAGTTGATGGAGAAATAATTAATTGAATTAAACGAATTCAAAAGATATGACCCTGAGATGATAAATTACAGTGCAAATAAAGACCAACTTTTAAATTATGAAAATAGGTTACAGGAACAAGAAAAAATTGAATTACAAAAAACCCAAACGTTTTACCTATTGCGGTCTTTTCTACACGAACCAAAAAGACAACATCTTTCACTTTTACTCGAAGACGGCCTGTAAAATAGGTTACCACCTTGGAAGAAACCCAGTGAATTGATGCGAAAGATGCGTTTGTTCAGTACCTAATTTTATTTTTTTCCGCGTTAAAAAAGATTTTTAAAGTAAAAATCATACTGAATGATCATAAAGCTGTTGTCTATGAATGATGAGTTGATAAAAATCCTTAAATTTTTACTAAGAGTAAGCTTTTATCAACCCAAGAACAATATTAAGCTATATTTGTTTATGTGCTCATGAAATCTACATATTTTAGCAATGAAAGCATTTATGAAAGAAAGCAAATTAGTTGTACTATCTAATTTTCAGTGCATTTAAAATTATATTTGTTTTATTTCTACTTTTCAGCTATTCATAAATTTGACACTATCAATTCTGCAACTAAAAATATTTTGCTTATAAAACACTATCAGTAGCTCATGAAAGATGATTATCCTTTCTCCCCCCTCCCCATCCATTTCAATTATATCTTGATACCTCCCCTCAGTTTAAATAATTTAAAAATTCTATTATCTGCCCCTAATAGCCTTCACTCAACCTGGCTCTACGATTGTACATTCTCGTGAACCACAGCTAAGCAAACTCATAGGGTGAAAGTGTCTAGCCAGTTATCTCCCTTTCTGTTTTGGAATATAGGAATTTATCGAGTGCTCGCTAGCTTTTAATTTTGCCATCCTCCCTTAGTTTTGAAACCATTTAATTAATTTTTAATGACTAATTAAACATTTAATTCAAATGAAAATGGAATCATAAAAGTGGACCGTATCTGGAAAGTTTGAACTAAATCACTGCATTAGAAGTGAGTCAAAAATGAGTTACAAGATATGTCACAAACATATGTTGCAAACTAAATAAAAACATGTATAAAGAAACAAGTTGTGTCCCTCGATTTTTTCTGGAAACTTGAATAATAACTGATTACATATAGGCCTTACAGGGCATGCTGTTTTATTTGACATTTATTCCAAGTTAATTTAAAATGGTAGTTTGCAAGTGAATAGCTAGTGATGCAGAGCTATTAATTAAAAAACTATTAAAACTCTAATTAATTACTTTAGCTTTAAAGTGCATGATTAATCATTTTTGTAGCAGATATCAGATATGAACAAACTTTAACCATAATACTTTTTCTTATAAAATAATATAACGCAATAACACTTAAACAGTTTGCTCTTAATCTATACCTTATTCTTTAATCACGATAAAAATGCTATTGTGATTGGTTCCCAGAAAGAACCGCAACGGAAAAGAGCGCAACGGAAATAAGCGCACACGGAAAAAAGCGCAAAGGGAAAAAAGCGCAAAGAGAAAAAAGCGCAAACGGAAGAATAGTAGTTGAATAATTATTGACCAAGAAAATAATAGGCATTGTGTAAAGTGATTATCGCCTGTATCGTGGTGATGGGAATGCAGATGGTAGTGGTACGCTTTAAATGGTAGTAGATCACGTGATCAAACACGACACTCTCACAGCAGCCCTAACAGTCATGTATAAATGTGTCATCTAGTCCATATGGTCTTTGTGCTAAATTTCTCTTTTGCACATTTTTCGTTGTGTTTTTTCTGGTTGCGCATTTTTCTGTTTCTGTTTGCGCTTTTTTCCGTTTGCGCTTTTTACTGTTTGCGCTTTTTTCTGTGTGCGCTTTTTACTGTTTGCGCTTTTTTCTGTGTGCGCTTTTTTCCGTTTGCGCTTTTTTCTGTTTGCGCTTTTTTCTGTTTGCGCTTTTTTCTGTTTGCGCTTTTTTCTCTTTGCGCTTTTTTCTGTGTGCGCTTTTTTCCGTTTGCGCTTTTTTCTGTGTGCGCTTTTTCTCTTTGCGCTTTTTTCTGTGTGCGCTTTTTTCTCTTTGCGCTTTTTTCCGTGTGCGCTTATTTCCGTTGCGCTTTTTGATTTGCGCTTTTTTCCGTTGCGGTTCTTTCCGGCCACCATTGTGATTGTAAGATACTATTCCCAGTTGTAAATTATATGAAATGTTAGCCAACAGGGAATAGCCATATCGGAGCTATTCCTGGTCGCTGGAATATCCTAGGCCATTATGGCTAGTAATGGAGTAAACTAGTATATTTTGTTAAGTTAAATGCAAGTCAATTCAGCATTGCCGGCTATAGCATCATAATGGCGTAATACATGAATCTATTTAGGCCTACAGACTTATTTATTATAAGCCTAGAACTAATTATTTATAATATATTTGCAGGAAAGAGGAATTAACAGATGATAGACTTAATACAAATCTTTAAACTACTCATAGATGTAAACGCCCGCCAGGTGAGAGTGGGGAGAGAAGGGGGAGGTGTTAGAGGGGGAAAGAGAATGGGCATTGACAAGAAGTTCTCTCAAAAAAAAACCGGTATGTTAGGCTTTTTAACACGATTGAAAACCAATATAACAAGGCTCTAATATATTGTATGCCACGTCATTATTTTGTGTCAAAACCTAAGATGGCCTGATAACATTCACATGCTCACAATAAGATGAAAACGCTGTAGATTAACATTCCCCTTCTTCCCTTAAATGACGCAGTAATAAGTAAACACCACGCAGTGTAGAACTATGTGATCCTTCTCACATGGGAGAAAAAAGTAAACCCAGTAAAGACTTTTTATTAGCAGGAAAATACACACATTATGAAAAAGTTTTAGGCCTATTAAGATTCCAGACTTTTATTTAAACCCAACTTTTTGAGATCTTAAACTCAATTTTCTAAATTCTAGACTTTCCACATACTCTGGTATCAGCAAATTATGGTTTCATAAAATAGCTCTAGAAAAAAGAATCTAGATCTAGGTCTAGAAATTAAAAAAAAATTTGGTTAAACTGAAATATGTAGGCATATCAAAGAGAAAGATTTCGAATTTTCTTCAAAAATGTAGGCTACTTAAAACGATGGAAGATCGAGGCCATTTTTACAAGCACTTCCAAAAACAAGTGTGTATGAAAAATAAACGGACCAAATAAACAATTAAATCAGAACTCACGTCCTAACTAAAAAAAATTTCAAATTTGAGGTTTTGTTCATTTTTAGATTTAGGCACTAGTGCCACTAGATCTAGATATAGGCTTTTTGATGAGAATTACAGAATGATTTTTTAATTAAAAATGTATCAATAATAGCTAGCACACTAGTAAACTAAGCCAATTTAGCATGTTTTAACTTTCTGTGCAAAGTCATTATTACTGAAAAAAATTCCAACAGAATTTGCTTTTGTTTGTTTTTTATTTTTTAGTAAACATGTGCTTAATCTTACCCAATAAGTGATAAAAATTTGAAAATTAATTTTAATTACTGTTGTAAAGTGAGATAAACAGCTTAATAAACATGTGTTTTCTTGAGGGGGTGTGACCTGGGTGTGGCACATCGCAATTGCAACTTTATATTTCTGTGTTTCATGACTAGATACGTTTACAATCAGCATGCTATGCTTTTAAAATTGATAAAGGGTAAGTTTAACAAGTTACAAAATCTGCAATTTAACTAATAGTTTCATAAAAACGATCATCAACGAAGAAAGCGTAAACATTCTATTTTTAGGTGTGACATAAAAAAAGTCATAAATCAAGCCAAATGATTGGATTCTTGCGCAGCACACATTTTCCCGCGCCTCGTTTTCACTAAACAAGATTATAATAAAATGGCATTATTGAGGGTGATCGTTTGCCCACAAACATATCTCATTAACCCCATAAATTATTACCAGTTAATTGTAATGTGTGTTAAATTAATACTTTAAAGTTTATGAGCCACATAAGCTGGTTTAAGAGTCAAGCGATATCTCAGAGTTATTTGATTTAAAAGACAAGAATACATAGAGTTATTTTCACTTACGCGCCGCTTGCGAGACAATCAAAGAAATTAGGTCAAAAGTACATCTGGGAATTCTTAAATAACAGACTGAAATAGAAACGGATAGTTCCGATGTCTAAAATTAACGATGGCCTCGTAATTATTAGTTTGGTATCTATCGTTTTGGGTACGTAAAATCGCCCGCGGCTAGTAATGTACGAAAAAGTTACCTCATTGTCAAGGCTGTAATAGAAGTATATTTTGATATATTTGTGTCACATATTATAGATAAATGAATAAATAACCTAAATCAATAGCTAAATATATCAATATAGTCAAGAAATTAACTTTTAACAGCAGTGTTTGCGAGCAGGATTTCCTATATAAACAGCAGCCATTTGTAAAATAGAGTCGCCTTTCCCTGATCTCACGCTATAAGTTAACAAAGAAAGAACTTAAACAAGATGGCTGCTATAGTAAATGAGCATGGTTGCATCTGTTGGAAACATCGCTAGTATTCATTTATTATTGAAATTTTTTAATTCAATTGTTTGAAAACAGGTACATAAATGAAACAGAAACATTTTTGTATTTTTCAAAACACAAATCCTCCTCAAAATGTGAAATAATTATTAAAATTTAAGGAGTCACCTGTTTTTCACATTACTATTTGCGGGCGATTTTACGTACCCAAAACGATAGATTACCATTAGTTTTATCCTTCTACCGTTTAGTGAAAGCAAAACTGGTCGCCATTTTAGTAAGCGCATGAGCCGTGCGATGCCACAAAAATGACAAACCCGGGAGCATTGAACCGAACGGCCTACTAGATAGATCTAGAAATCTAGATCTCTTAATTAGGGACCACGATATCCGTCAAATCTCGGGCCGGAAACTGCGCTACCGCCGCCGTATCAAACTTGATTCTGGTTTCCGTCAGGCAAAACATAGCTCACTGTATAAAGCCAGATTCTCATTTAAAAATCATTCACTTCACTCAAATCGTCATGAATATCGACCTAGGAATAATCCACCTTTCTATTGATTAAAACTTGTTCTCTTCACCATCGACGTATCTTCGAGTAATTCACACTTCTCGGACAGGTATGTATAAATATTTAATTTATTTAATATCTAAGCCAGATAGTCGTTTTTTTTTTAAAGATACACCTAGATTTTTGTTTTAAGTTTCTTATAAAGTCTTTATTTTGTAAATTTAACCCTCGCATGAATTAGATAATGCCTCACGAAGTGAACATGGCCTTAAAATATCAGCCGACGATCGGCAAATGGGGATAGTTACCTATTATCGATAATGGCCGATTTGGTTAAGAACAATGATACCTATTATGTATCTATTGAAATCTCAACTAATTCAAGGCATCTGCAACTGATATTTATATTTTAACAATGTTCAATCATTATATTTTATTAAAAAGACAATATTTTTTTTTTCAAAATATTTAGTGTTGGACCAAAAATGAATTAGCATTTCGTTTTCTTGGAACAATATAGAAACTTGAGTGGACAAGTTAACATGTTACTTTCTAGTATCATATAATAAAAAAAAAAGAATGCATTCAAAGCTTTTATTTCTTCTTATTTCAGTAATTCAAATGGAGTGGCCTTCCAAATCTCTTCAGGACTTGGAGCTTCTTGTTAGTTCACAGAAGGACAGAATTCTGATGGCTTTGCGCTCTACATTTTTGCCAGTAACAAGAAAAATGCACAGAAGACAGCAGCATAGGTTTTGTAATTAGGAGAACAACTAAATTATAATGCTACAACTTGTTGTAAGTCATCTTCATGCCAGAATAACTTCAGGATAGGATGCTAGAGACAGGAAATTTTATCTACTTTTTTGTAGAATGGAGGGGGCGAGGATTAAACATAAGTGGAATGTTAAAGGGGGATCTGTTTTAGAAGTATAATAATTTTTTTAAGTTAAAGAAAAAAGTCAGCAGTAAAGTGTAGATTCACTTGGAGTAGCCTATTGGATTGCAAATAAAAGAGGAGTAGGATGACAATGTTAGCGCCTCTATTGACAGTACATTACTTATTAGTTATTAACTGATGTTGTTCAAGGCGATTTGTTATTTTGTTAGTGTTGTGGTCATAAATTACTATGTTAATTACTATGTAATTTATATTAAAATATGTTTTTATTATTACCATTAATGGAGTAATTCTTTTTTAACTAACTTAACTGTCTATTTATTTTTGTCTAGATTTATGTTTGGCGATATCCGAACCTTTACCGGTTGGAGAGAAATGAGTCTAAAATTACATTACAAAGCTCCAGGTTATGAGGTCCCTTAAAGTGACTCTTAACACATTCAGATTGTGGCATAATATTGATATTGATAACCTGTTAGATTTAGAATAATGATAAACTTGAAAAAAGTCAATTTACAGAATTAGGGGGGGTTGCATCACCTCAAGGCACACATTTTGTCATACCTTTCATATTTTTACAAATATGTTAAGTTTAATTGCCTCATAACATATTAATCTTGAAACTCTGAAAATTTGAATACAAATTTCCATGTAATAGAGATTTGGCATTGGTTTATAATATATGAAGAACACACAAAATTTGCCCGCGAAATTTACCACCAAATCCTGTAGTAACTTTTAATTCAGTAAAACAATCATAACTTTAAAACGGAATGTCCAATTTTGAAACAGTAAACTGTTTTGTCTTAATCTGATGTAGAGTAAAGTTCCGCGTGGATCACACATAGCGAAAAATTCCAAACTCCCGATTTTTATCGGGCGCTATTTTGTAACCGTTTCACACAGAAACAAACCGAAAGTACTTTATTACTCCACTGCCATTCTACTTTAATATGCATGAAGTATTTTGTATTCATACGCATAGTATTTGAGATATTCATGTTTTAGTGACGAACCTGCTTGGGATCAACTTTTCCCACTTTTTTTTTTGCTTGAGATCACCTGTCCCTGCTTGGGATCACTAGCGTATTTTTTACGTTTTGATCCAATTTTAACAATTGAATTAACATTTTACACATTTAAACGTGTTGTTGATTGTATAATTAATTAATAGATTGCAAAACTAAATAAAAAACATGTTAATTAAATTTATTAACTACACATTACGGATGACCCAGTGATGACTCAAGGGACGCAACTATAACAATCATAACAAAGGGACGTAACAATCACTAACATGACATAACTTAACATTTGCTTAACATATGATTGGATGAGAGATACAAACTAGATTTAGAAGAGGTAGATGATTGAAATAATTTAAAACAACAGAAAAAAATAGAAAGTATACAGATTCTAGGCTTAGCTTGAAATATAGAGCATCTAGATCTTGGCTAGTCTAGCTCAAGTCGTAGGTGTACCCAGCGAGGTTAAAACACAAAAATCGTTACCCCAGCTGGGATCACCCATATTTCACCTCCAAGATTGTTTTAATAGCCTTAAATACAGTATTTTCAGTGTCCCGCACATAAATAGAAGCTATTTATAGTTAACCTAGTTATAAAAGCTTTGATTGGTTGGTTTTATTCATCTCATCCGGGACCTAGTGCTTTTCATAGGGGGGAACTAGAATGGCCAACGACGTCATACCTCGAAACTTGAAAATTTAAAAACTAGTCTTCCAGAAGGAGGGAAACAAAAGAATTTGACCTGGATATATTTAGAAATGGACATGTTTACAGCAGATATTGGTAGTTTCGTATAAAACATCCAAACAAATATTATACGAAGCGATAAACAGGAATGTGATCCCACCGAGGTTTTGATCTCACGCGGAACTTTACTCTAGATTCTAGCTCTTTAAGATGATATGCTTTTATTTTTAACCTAGGTAACAGGTAAATCATTTTGAAAATTTTCTCAAAGTCCCTATCTTAATTTTATTTAGGGGCCTAAATAATATCTAGATCTAGTCTAGATCTGAATCTAGAGTTTGATGTAGAATCTAGATCTAATGAGTGTAGAGAGCTATCAGTAGTATCAGGGTAACCAGAACTAAGAAAGAGTAAATTACTCAGCCTGGTGGTGACAGTCTGTGTCTGAGTACTGTCTGTGTCCTGTGTTGTTGTCTGACTGAGTGTCTGGCTGATAAAGTTGATTGAACACAGAGGCAGGGAAATAATAAGATAAAAATGATTCAAATGAATTGCATGCTACTATAATACAGCTATTTTTACATTTTTCTACCCGAAAGTTGTTTCTTAATTATACCTGTGATCGATGCTTCCTGAATGTTTTAAAATGCCCTTTTTCGGCTTCTGAGATGTTGAAGCCATTTTGACAACAAATAAAAATAAATGTATCGTGGCATTTCATTGGACCTTGCAGAATAGTGCTGCACAAAATGAAATTTTTCTGTTCTCAAAAATAATTGGTCAAAAAACAAAGTTTAATTGTAATTTCTTTGCAAAAATGAATTATTTTGCGATAGTACATCAATCATTCATAAGGTCTATCTTAATACTATAGGTCTAAATATTTTAATATTTTCCAACCAACTAATTACAAGAATGAACCAATGACACTATAATAAAACGAAAATTTTTTTATTACGTTTGCCTTTCACTTTCAAAGTTAGGGGTCGTCTATATATGACGTCACTCTCCAAGGGATCATCCATAAATGACGTCACGCTTCTTTCGACGATTTTTACCTCCCCTCCCCTCCGTCACACATCGTCACAAAAAGCCAGACGCCCCCCCCCCCTATAATGACGTCACACCTCAGCCTACAACCCCCTAAAAATTGCAGTTGCATTTTTCTTAAAACCCAACGTTGTTTTCCAAAATCTTGTCTGAACTCTGTCAATATAGAGTATTTTAATCAATTCATATTACAATTTATTAAAAACAGTTTTCAAAACACGAAATAACCGCTAAAATTTGTTGTCTAATATTGCTTTTTTATAATGCAAAAGTGTGACGTTACACCATCTGATAAACCCACCCGCCCCCCCCCCACTCTCCATCATGACACCATCACAAAATTACTTACCCCCTCCAGTGTTTCTTCCAGACTTTTTTCTCCGGGGATGCACTTGAAATTTTCGGGGGTGCTGACAACAATTTTCGGGGGGGGGGGGGGGGCGGACACGGTCAAAAGTATATTTTTTTAATATAAATTCCATTTCGTTCGGGGGGGGGGGGTGGTAGACTTCCTTCTAGTGCGATTTCATTTATGGACGACCCCCTATAGAGGAGTGGGGTTCAGAATTTCGTGACGATGATATTTTGAGATAGTGGTGGGGAATGGTGTATTATAGGTTGAGGTGTGAAAAAGCATGATGTTATTTAAGGATGACCTCTTAGTTTCATAATGTATTTTAAGACATTAAGGTAATATACTTTGTTATATACATCATACGACATAGGATTTGAACATATGGGGGGGGGTGACACCCTATAGATTCCCCATACATTATATATAGGCCCTATAACGGATGGAGGAGGCGCGACCTAGTGTCGACATTGAGACTATAGAATCTACTGTACAAAAAAAAATAGTAATAACATATAGACCCTGATGGAAACGGGGGGGGGGGGCATGGATGGATTAAAAATGGGTAAAATAGAGCAGAGGGCGACCAAGTTTCTTATTCTTTACATATTTAAACTAGTACTTTAATGGAAATTTATGTTGTATGGGTTCCCAGACTAATACGCAACAGAAAAATGCGCATCAGTAAATGCACACAAAAAGCGCAAAGGAAAAGTGTGCATACAAAAAATTGCAAACACATAATAGAGCATCATAGAAAGTTGCTCGCAATGAAAATATGCAGAAAAAATATGCATACACAGAAATTGTGCAAATAAAATATTTGCTCATTAAAAACATTTCTTACATAGAATTCTTAGACACAACGTTAAGTGATGACAATTATCATAGTGTGTATGCGTATTTATGCTAGCGTGTTTCAGTTTATATCTATCAGCACGTCTATCATCCACATTTCTGGATAATTTTAGTAAAAGAATAATGGCGGCCTTATATGTGCTTTTTCCGTGTACGCATTTTTGTTTGCGCATTGCTCTGTATGTACCATTTTCAGAGACGCGTTTTTCAGTTGCGAATTTTCTGGTAACTCGTTTGGCAGTCTAAATCCCGCTATGAGTGTAAGAATACATTTTTTTAAAAAGTGAATATGTGCGTTGCTGGTGCAAGAGGCAGTTTATGAATGGCGTCGCAAAATTTAGGTAGCTTCTTATCCCACCACTTATCGTCACACATCGTGCGCTATCACAAACAGCAACAAGTCAGAAACCTCTTTGGAATAAAAGACGAAGGTCACTGATAACCATTCAAGCACTATTTGGCGGTTGTCTTAGTCAAGTTAGAAAGATACAGGAAAGAGAACATCAGTACTTGTGCACTTCGCTTCACATTTATAGATGTTTGTAAACAAAGTGGCTCGGGGTAATCCACCCAGAGTTTGATTACAACTGTTCTGTGTGTAAATGTAGCACGTGATTTTTTTATTTCACAAAATTTATTCCAAAAATCGCACTTTTAGTATCAAAATGTTGTGGTGGTTTGATGGATCTTAGAAATTGTTTATACATTGAACGATGCGTAGATTTTATTTGTGTAAGTGTTGTATAAGCTGAATATGGAATAAGATTGGATCACAACTGTTCCAGAGAGTGTTGTGTTGTATGTTCACGACGGCCAACGACTACACAACTGTAAAATTACTAAAGATCCTGCAATTTATATCGTCGTAGGACTCTCATCACTCATGTCCGGCCCTTATTTCTAGATAAATACATGAATAAGATAGACACCTGGTTTAAAAATAAAATAAAAAGAAAACAAAGCTTAATGACAAAATGTTGTTTATTGAACGTTGCAACAAACTAGAAACCTTTAGGTTTGCAGAAATACACAAGAATCTGTGGACGAAATGCATCAGACATATTGATTTGATCACCTTTAAAAATAATAGTCCAAAAAATTAAGGTGTATTCTTAGCTTGATAATAATGTAGTCAATGTCTGACAAAGAGCTAATTAAACACTTTATTAAACATCTCACAGAAGAGGGAAAAGTAAAATGTGATCGTGGTTTAGGCTCTTTTAGTACATTTTAATCTAAAAACTATATAGCCTGTATAGATCTACATGTTTATATTTAATGAAGATGTCTCGAGTGATTTACTTTAAAATTATCTGAATTAATTAGAATCCTGTATTTTCAACAGTGTCGTTAATGAAAAAAAATATACTGTAGCGGATATATATATACATGTATATATATATATATATATATATATATATATATATATATATATATATATATATATATATATATATATATATATATATTAGTATGTAAGATTGTCATATAAAAAAGACGTACATCATCCATATAGCCTGAAAAGTGTTTGAACTCAGTACCTCTACCGATCTGCAATGCACATTTGCTGGTTTTGATGTCTCCTTTAATTAAAAACAAATAAAAGCATAAATACATTCGAGGAAGTTTTAAAATATACTTTACAAACAAGAATTTAGCCAAAGATGTACAGGTAGTTATATATATATAATAACATCAACAGTAAATCACCTGTAAATAACGTTTGAAAGGAGACGCCATTTAAACTCCCAAGCAAATTAGAGTTTTCTACTGTAAGAATGGCTTCTTTCCAGCCGGTGCTCTAAATATAGGTAAATGATTCAAAAGCGATTGCAATAGAAATACTAAAAACATACAAATCAAATGAACTTTTCATACAAAGGAAAATATAATTAGCAGCCCTCTAATATCAGCGTTGTGGAAAACTAAATAGACAATCAAACAGAGCTAACTGCTTATTTTTTAAACCAACATTCAATTGGGTAGATGAAATATATTTCACCACATCTTTAGTTCTTTATGCCTATAGTGTGAAAAGTAGATCTATACGCGTCATTTATTCGTGTCAGGTACCTATCAAAATTGGGTGGACCCAATGAAGGTTTACAGACCCGAGTATGGGAAACTAGCCTGTGACTTCCGGGTTAGCAATAGGGCTGGTAAGTAGGTCACCAACCAGTTCTATGGCTCATGCAGGTTTTATTGAGCCGTAGAGCTAGTTGGTGACCTACTTACCAGCCCTATTACAACACAACTATGCTGTCCCGATAACAGTAACAAGTGATTAAAAACAAAACTCTACGTAGTATTGAAAGTCTCCACTTACGGTGCTGGGTATCGACACACTCACATTCTCCCCAACCTGTGTCTGCAGACCCATATTGACCTGACCTTGACCTGTAACAATGTACAGGGAACTCGGCTTGTTGCAGTCACCGTTGGCAATAAGAGCTTGGTGTTGGCCTGGCCCGGAACCACTGCCCTCTTCCTTGTACCTTAGGAAAGTTAACAAAGCTTACTCATCAAATGTTATACTCCATCATCAATTTGTATTGTAAAATGTATGTAAATCATAACATTCTGACTATTTTATAGTAGATACAATTACCAATGATTTTAATTTAAAAAAAAAAACATGGTAGCTTATGTTGGCATATATATATATATATATATATATATATATATATATATATATATATACCCTATTTGACAGCTTACTCTTATTCTAAATTTACTTATTAAGCCTGGTACAACAAATTTAGCTCTCACAATAATATTGTATTGATCTTATTAGGCTAGTTTATTAAATTGTCATCTGTTAGGAAATTAGCTAACGAAAGCAAAGGAATGAAGTCACACCTCAGTTTAATGATAAGCGTGTCACCATATTCCATGTTTGAGAAGCGCGGGACCCGGATCAAACTTTTACCGTCAAAATAGCCAGCGCCATCTACCACTTGCACCCCGTCCACCTGCAGGAAGTTGTTGTTGCCAGACTCGTCCTTGATGTCCCCGTTAAAGGGGAGGTACAGCTCAGGCTCGCAGTCTGCGAACAGTAAATGTACAGATAAAATGGTCATCCGTTGGAAATGAAATCAATGTCCTTTATAACATGTTAGTCCAACAGTTATACTACTGCGTATAAATATCAGTGATACAGTATTATTGCTCGCTAACGTATTTCAGCAAAATGACGACGTCTGGTATTTCTATGCAAGTTAACTAGTTCCACTACCTGGTTACGTAAGCCAGTTAACTAGCTCTACTGTCTGCAGACTGCTTACATAAATCAGTTAACTAGTTCTACTGTCATCTTACATAAGCCAGTTAACGAGTTCTACTGTCTGCTTACATAAGCCAGTTAACTAGTTCTACCTCCTACTTACGTATGTCAGTATCGTTCAGTTGAAGACTCTCCAGACATTGACAGGCCTGCCTATTGAAAGCTGTCCCTGAAGCACAGGGTAACAGCACCCAGCCTTGACCATCCAGTTTCTGTTCAAACATCAGCGGCCTGCCCGGTACGGCCCGCTTGTCACAATTATCTTTGATGTTCAGATTTATAAGAATTTGAGATACTACAACATGAAAGGAAATGTATGCCACTGCCAATCATCATCACCTTTTCTCGCTATTGCCCAAGAGACATGGGGCAGACGAAGTAGAGTTAATCTAGATCAGAGATCAGAGATTTCGGGATATGAAGGGATAATGTTGTCAGCACTATGCCCAGCCGTCTTTGTTAAATACCCATCAGAGCTGGGTGAACTCAGGGACGAACCTGGATTTGAACTCAACACTTTCGGTCTAGCTCTCTACCGCTAGGCTACTGCCAATAAGACCTTAGTATTTACTTTTTTCATATTTATTATCTCAGCCATGACGTTAAATCCTTAAAAAAATATATAAACAAATTTAACCCCTCTCTTTGCTTTGTCTCATGTTTCATTCTACCTTACACAACCTCTGCATGGCACCAACGATATGACACTCTCTTTGGAACAGTCAACACATCTAACGTCTTGTTGTGGTGATTTAATGTTTTAGCACCAAAACCTACCGACTTCAACTGTAGCAGTCAACACATCTAAGGTCTTGTTGTGATGATTTCATGTTTTAGCACCAAAACATATAGACTTCACTTACAGCAGTCAACACATCTAAGGTCTTGTGATGATTTAATCTTTTAGCACAAAAACCTACCGACTTTACTTGTAGCTGTTAACAATCTAAAATCTTGCAGAGGCGTAGCGAGCGGGGGGGGGGGGGGGGGGGGGGGTTGACGGGGGTGCAAATCGAAAGCTTGAGGGGGGTGCAAATCGAAAAAGGGTCGCTACGCTTCTGAAGTCTTGTTTAATGTTTTAGCACCAAAACCTACCTGGTTGCACCCTGTCCCCGCACTCATCCAGACACTGATCGTCTGCTACACAGCCAAACACCGGGTCGTACACGTGCTGCGGTGGGCAGCAATATCCGGTGGAGTGGCCGTTCTCACATACCCAGTAACCACGGCAACTGATGGACGATGGGTACCGATCAAATCCATCCATTTTACATTTATCTGCAAGTGTGCACGGAAAATGCATTTTTAAATTTAGTTAATGTATTAATTTTTAATCGAAAAAAAAACAGAGATATTTTAGAGATAGTTTTGGCTAAGTGTTCGTGGTTAGAAAACTGTTATTCTGGTACCAAAGTCCGGTTCTGGAGCAGGGACTACAATGAATTATGAACTCAAAATGGCGACAATAGTTTGTGAGGGCCATAGACAGATAAGAAAACAGAGAACAGAGAAAAGGATGAGCTCGACGTCATCATGCCAATGGAAGTAAGTTCAGTGTTTCTTTCAGGCATCTCTTCGAGTGGGCATCCCTGCCCCTCCCACCCCGATACACGCCCACCCTCCATCCCCACCACCTTGAAAGAAATAGAATTTATATAGAAAATATATACTTTTGTCCGCCCACCCCCACCACAGAAAACAGTCCCTCCCCCCCCCCCTCCACCCCTTTCCCCCCACTGAAAGAAACACTGTATAGTTTCTAATCATCTTCTTCCACCCCCCCCCCCCACACACACACCCTTTCCGTATGTCCTATAATTGGATTCGTCATTTGCATAAATTATGCAAGAGACCTACCGTAGGGGCAGTCTGTTGAGTTGGCATGGTTACACGTCAACGACTTCTGGTCCCAGAAAGTGCCGTGACCGCAGGACTTTATGAAGACGTCAACAGAACCATCAGGCTGAAAGGAGCATTGGATGAACTTGGTGCAGTCTGACCAATGTGATTTGTAGCCAACCCCATTGACGAATTCGCTATCTTCACATACCTCTGGGAAATAAGTAAGTATGACTAGTGCTAAATTACATTTTAAATGACATTATAATTGAAATAGACATGTTACATTAAACAAAACCTTAATTATTCTGTGGATATAATACTATTTTTTTATGCTAGACATTTTTACTCTTTTAGATACGATTAAAAAGAACATATTCATTTAAGTTGAAATGGTATAATAAACCTAGAATCTATGTGATTACAATCAGAATAATAATTTTCAATCATATATGCATTTATTTCATTAATTAATTAAAGTCAAGAAGCAAATGTGTGTTATTTAGACCTAAACTGTTTATTAGTTCTTTAACTATTAAGATTTAAAATGGATAACCTACCCGGAATGTACGGTTTTGGAGTTGTACTCAAAGTAGTCGTGGTTGTCGATAGGGTTGTTGTTGTTGTTGTGGTGGTGGTGGTTGGTGATGGTGGCGCTGGAGTAGGTGGTGGTAGAGCTAGAATGTAATGCACAATTTTAGAATTAAATTTTCAAAACTTTTTTTTAAATGTGTCTTTCTTAAACAAGGTAGGCATGTATGATCTACTTCTGGATTTTAAAAACTGGCTAGAAATTACTAGAATATCGCTAATAGTTGACTGCCAGTGGGCCGTCAGGTTTGGAAGCAATAAAAACTATTGAAGAGGTTTAAAAATTCCTCTAGACAATTTTGATAACTAAGAGCACATTTACCTCCGAGAGGATACAAATGCTTAGCCAGCGATCTAGTGGATCTTAGGATCTTACCACCCGCCCTCCACCTTGCTGCATTTTATACTAATTCTAAAGCTTATAAGATATTTCGAATCAATTTGCTGGCCCTACATCAACATTAAAAATGCATAAATCTATGAAGTCATGAACTTGCTGAAAACAAAACTCTTGAAATAAAAAGAACTCTGAGATAGCATAAGAAGACATACACAGAAACAAGAAATTGTGGAGGACATTTGGAGACTTAAAGTAAAGAATCAGGATACACGTTGGCGAAACATGTTGTTGCCTTGGCAAAAGGGACCTAACCTAAGATATTATTATGTAATAACGTAATGTCGAAATTATCAGTCTCATACTTGTCGTAGGTGTAGTCGTTCTCCGGGAAGTGGTTGAGGGATGTGTTGTGGTTGTATTCCTGGGTGTGGTTGATGTCGTTGTAGGTGTAGTCCTCTTGGTAGTGGTTGATGGTGTTGCTGTAGGTGTAGTCCTCTTGGTAGTGGTTGGTGGTGTTGTTTCTGGTGTAGTCCTCTTGGTAGTGGTTGGTGGTGGTGTTTCTGGTGTAGTCTTCTTACTAGTGGTTGATTTAGTAGTCGCTGAAAATGTAAGAAACCTAATATACAGGAATTATTTTTTTTTAAACTTGATGTAGTGCTTTTTGATAGGAAAACAGGAAAGGAGAAATACAATGTAAGTTTATGTTTAGCTTAGGATACTATCATTTGATTTTCTTGAAGACTTGACAAAATTTTAATGATGATGTTGATGTTTTACTCCTGTTTCTAATTTACATAACGGTGCATATCTTATATCAATGAATGTATGGCAATAAAAATCGATTATCAAGTTTTATTACAAATAAGTGTACCAAATATGAAGAGTAGTTTAATTTTAATGCAATTTTCTTTAGACGTTTTTGCTGGTGTGATGCTGAACCTGGTGTTTTCTAAATCAGTTACCTGTATATTGCGATATCTTCGGTCGGTTTGTCCGGCTGATGGCAGGGAGGAGGAAGGGCCAAATTTTGAGAGCTTGGTTTTCGTTTTTATTTCGATTTGTATAAACATTTTACCAGAAAATTATGACGTAGAAGTTGGAGAGGGGGGGGGGTGGCAAAGCTGCCAGGAGGTGGGCTAGAGATTCTTACTGCTTTCTAATTTACAAAGGTATATAGTATTTTTTTTTTGTAATTTAAGCCTTTATATTTCATTTTAAAATAATTCTGCGAACTGATGTCATGTATTACAGTTAAACTTACATATTGAGACATGGTCACTATTTACACATTTTTGTAATAAAATATTTTAACTATTCTAAAAATATCTGTTATCGATTACATATAAATATAATTATGAAATATTGTTTTATAAAGCAGACAATAAGAAGATATCAGCTTAATAAAAAAAAGCAAAGCGAAGAAATAAAAAGCGTCAACACATACATGGCTGAGTGGTAGAAGGTGGTGGAGTCGACAGAGGCCTGTGCGGTGTGGGTTTGTATGTTGTTGTAGGCTTTTGGGTGGTGGTAGCTGGAGTGGTTGATCTGACTGGCGTGGTGGTTCTGGGTTTTTTGCTAGTGGCTTTTGTTGTGGTGCTAGTTGTTTTTCTCCGCTTTGTGGTTGTTGAAGGTTGTGATGTGGTGGACTTTGAGCTTGGTGGTGTGGTGGGTTTTGAGTTGGGTCGTGTGGTGGGTTTTAAGTTGGGTCGTGTGGTGGGTTTTGAGTTGGGTTGTGTGGGCTTAGATGTTGTGGAAACGCGATGTGGGGTTGTGGTTGGATTCGGCCTTCGACCTGCAAGAAAAGAAAAAAGTGACATTGAGAGATAATAATGTGGATATGGCTCAAGTCAGATGCGTTGTGTACATTGGATAAAGCCGTGCAGGTCATCCATAAATGACGTCACGCACTGGGACAGGAGAGGGGTTATTTTGTCAAGTGACTGAAATTTTGGACGATTACAAATGCCCTCTGAGGCAGCAGTAAGTTAAAATTCTGCCCAGGTCGTGACGTCACGACTGGATCCTTGTTTCATAGACCCACAGAAAAAAAAATATTACAATGTTTTACATGCATGCATGTTTATAACATATTTAAAAATAAAGACAAAACGAACATTCATTATTTCAATTGTTTTTAAATTACGTTTTTCTTGTTAATTGACTCATCCTTGAACAAAACATATAAGCCAACACATTACACCTAGATTATTAGAAATCCTTATGACTAATATGATCATAAACAAGAGACAACTGCCTATAGTAGCAGAGGAATAGTTCACGATGGTAATAAGTTTTGCACTTCACAAGGTGGGTATTCCCATCACAATGATTTATTAGAGATGACGTAACAATAGCTAGTAACGTGACACTACCTGGGCTGGGGCATAATGGCACAGGTAGAACATATGCTTTGTAAGACGGTGATATTTTACTAGTTCATCCGGGGAATCTCTCTGTGAGTTGGGAAGGGGTATGTCTGCCGTGTGTCTGTCAAGTGGTCAAAGTATGATACTGGCAGACATGTTGTTCCTATACAAATAGCTAAATCGCAAAACGCATACAAATATAAACTATGTTCTCGATGTATGTTATGTTGAGCTATGAGGGACTAACACACTGCCTGAACTTTCTTATGCTTATAACGCCATCTTGTCTGTAATAAGTTAATAACCAGACATGGACGCTGTGAACAATGGTTTCTTGTATCCGTTTGTGAAGTTTATCGTTGAGTCCTACTCTCCATAAGGAGTAAAGAGGATTAAGTCAAGTAAATCAGTTGCTATAGAGAGTTAACAGTAGCGTACGCAGGGGGGGAGCAGGGGGAGCGGCCGCTCCCCCTCTGGCCATTTTCAGCAAAGTGGCGCCTTTTTGGAAACTTTTTAAATTCAAAGTTTTAAACAATGATATTTGTTAAAAAAAATATTTTTGGTCGGCACATCTATGTAAATCACAAGATTTCTTTTCATGCAGCAATTAAGCATTATTGTACTAGTCTAGTAGTGTCTACTTTTACAACACGTATTACAGCTGCATCAGTTTGCCATTCTAAAAATAACCATTACGATGCATTGCAATGTTTAAAAAACCTCTACGGTAGTACCACTTGGCAAGAGGGGTGTTAAGTTTAAGGCAACTGTATAATGTATTTGCTTACGAATAATTGAATTAGAAAATGTCATACATAAAACTTCACACATAATTACTTTATATATACAGTTTGAATCGTGTGATTAATTAAAAAAAAATTACAATACAGAAACAGTTTGGGCGATAGTGATTACGATTACAAATTATATGAAACAGTTACAACCCACCTCCCCCATGGACCCCTCTGTAAAAAAAATGTCATCATACCACTGCTACTTATTTAAATCTATTTCTGTAAAATATATTTGTGTAATATATAATTGTGTAATATAAATGTATGTTTAGAACAGTCATCTAAAAACTGACGCTATGTTCACTCTGAGTTGGTTATCTCCCCCCTCCCCCCCCCCCCACACAAACACCTCACCACCACAATTGTGTAGAGCGACATTAATGTCACACCTAGGTATACACTGAGTTGGATAATTGACCTAAAGGGAACGGACAGTGGTGAGTGAAGTTGAACCCCACCCCCCCCCCCCCCCAACCCACCCAGAACTGATCTGTTAAGTACATGTAGAGAACGCGTAATGATGTACCAAAGTACCATGCCGCCAGAAAACTCTGTGAATATTGTTTTTGCAATTACCAGTAAAAAGGTGTGTGATCAATACAGTGATCTAACCCATACCTATCACTATGTTAAAAAAAAGATCTTTAAAGAACACAAAGAAGCAGTAGTTAATTAAAATATTTGATCTGAACTGAATGACCGATATTTAGCTATATGTAGGCTGTTATTCCGAATGTTTTTCTATTGTATCGAAAAGCGTGCTTTTATACCATCTCTGATTTTACAAACTTTCATTATGCTGTAATACTTTAGCATTTATGAAAAAGATATATTAAATTCTGATTATAGACAAAAACATTTTGTAATCACGAATAGTCTTAAATAATTTCATTATATTCTAAAGTAATTATTTATTTGTTTTGACATTTATAATTAAATGTGTAGATATATAGGCCTACATATTTATATTAAGACAGTGATTATTTCCCCTATTTCACTTGTCTTAAATAATTTCCCAGGAACTATTATGTAAGAAATTTTGCTTATGTATATATATATATATATATATATATATATATATATATATATATATATATATATAAAATACATATATATATAGAACGTGTTAAAAATTCGGCGCCTTTTTTTGCTCTTTTCGCTCCCCCTACAACGAAAACCTGGATACGCCTCTGAGAGTTAACTTATACAATGTGTCTAAAGTTTATATTTTCTGGGCGTGGTAGGGCTAGACATTGTACTAATACTGCTGGGCGTGTCAGGGCTAAACATTAACAGTAACTCTTAATCACCCAGGGAGGGGCTATAGTGTGAAGCCAGCCGACCGTCGTTTTTTTCTCTCTACCATGCATAACATGTATCTTTGAACGAGGCAGTGCAACGGAGAAAATAATCAAGGAAATTAGAACTGGTTTTGTGAGGTGTAAAGGCATGACGACGACTGGGGTTAGGGGAGGCGGGAGGGGGGATAAATCAGGCGTCATTGTGTCAATTTTGTTTTCTCGAACGATGCGTGGAAATGAAAGTAAATTAAAGTTTAAGAGCTGTCGACCGACCCGTCGGGTCAAAATGAGCAAGTCGTTAGGTAGAAAACCGGTTTGCCACTTCGCTGATAATTAGGTCAGTCATCTGTCAACCAGTAGCGTCTTTTGAATTGTTTCACTCGTTTTTTAATTCGCCCTTCTGCTCAATACCGAGCATGCATTACCGCGTTGTATAAAAATAAAAACGGTTTTAAATGCGACATAAGTTGAAGATTTTAAATCTTTATAAGAATTTAAATTTTTAAATAAGTTCTAAACAAATGTTACGACTACTTTCTTCATTTACGAAGTTCACAAGCATCATCATATAGGCACTAATTATCCTTGTTCGTTAAAAGCCTAACCTGGCCCAGAAAAGAGTTCAAGAGATTGCTACCTTAAACTACAGCACCGATTACTGAGCTTACTTTGCATGTTGATAGTACCTACTGTTGCGCGCATTATAAACGGTTTTTTTTTTTTAAATTTTAAATACATTGATTTTTTTTTCCACGGGGAGGGGGTGTGAGAAGAGGGAGGGTGCTTGATACTTCCGGGGGGGGGGGCTTGAAACTTTCGGAGGGGGGGAGGGCGGAATGAGGATGGTCACTGGTAAAAGTATATATTTTCTTTATAAATTCAGTTACGTTGGGGGGGGGGGGTAGACGTGCTTCGGGGGAGCACTCCCCTACCCCACCTCCGAAGAGGTGTTTTAAAGAATAAGCAAGCCCTGCGCCCTGTTCTTACAATTAAAATAGTTATAAAAATGACTAATCTCTCAACTGCAACTCTGACTTATCTAGCCAGTAAAAAAAAAACCACATGAAGTTGGCATAACTTACTCGTGCTTTTGTCTCTGTCTTCACTGCTCTCCTCGCTGTTTCCCCCCGTGGGCTTCTCCTCTGACGAATCGTTCCCAGCTGTATCGCTCTTCTTGTTCTTGTTCGCAGCGCCCTCTTTAGAGCCTCGGCTCCCAGCGCCCCCGGCAACCAATGTCTGAACAGTTTCTGCTTCTTGGCTGGAGTCGCCACCTAGTACCCCCATACCACCAGCGTTGCCAACACCCCCAAAACTCCCCTTTATACCTCCAGCGTGGCCAACACCCCCAAAACTCCCCTCCATACCAACACCCCCAAAACTCCCCTCCGAACTGGAGTCTCCGCCTGTGCTGCCTTGAGCTTTTCCCTGCCCTAACAAAAGATCCATAAACTTTGACCCGCCGAGATTTACATGAAACTCTCCACTACTGCTGCCGCCTAGAAAACTAAACGGGTTGACACCGGTATACACTGGCTTATTTGGCACGGCGGGGTTGTAATGTGTCACATGCACGGTATGTTTCGGTGGTTGGTTGTGGTTGTAAGGGTTGTAGCTCAGAGTGTTTTCGTACTGTTTAGGTTGATCCTGATTGATTTGACCGTAAGGGTTGTGACTTGCAACTCGTTGGCTGTCGTAGGTTTGTTGTTGTTGAAAAGATGTTTTAATTTGTCCATACGGGTTGTGTGCCGCCGGCTGTGTAGGAGTTAACAAACTGTTAACAACCTGTGGCTTTACAAATGGGTTGTTAAAATAGCCGGCGCCAGCACCGTCACCCAATCCTGTGTAACAATATAAGAAGGCATATTATTAACTCTTGACATGAAGGGTCAGTTTAAATGTCAAGTAAATATTGCAATTCGGCATTTGTTGTTTTTTTTTAAAGTTTTTATTTATTTTTATTTTTCATTATAAGCTTTTATTTAGTTCACAATGCCTTTTTTTTTTTTTTTAATGTGGACTGCGGCACATCTTGTGACTCAATTTCAATTCCAGATACACTTATCTCCGACGACAATGCAAGAATGCCGATTTTTTTAATCTAATTAGCAATTAGGTTGGTCTTTAAAATTTAGTTTGTAATTACTGGGGTCAATAATAAAAGGTGAGTTCATGATCGCACGATCAGCTCCAGTCGAGAGTGAACTGTTTGTCACGGCTGGTTGATTTCTCACCTGAGCATCAACCACGAACTACGAAGGAGCCGATAACAGTTATTAGAGATCGCAGGCTACTACTGATCGGGTTTTAACGCAAATATTATTAGTCGTAGCTTTGTAGTGTCAATTAACGATTTACTAAAAAGTGGAAAATAAAACTTTTTTTCATTAAATAGCTTTTGCGCGAACTGAAAATAAAATAAAACAAACTTGCTTTCTTTAATAAAAGCTTTTGTCGCTCATGAAATATCTTACATTAGCGACCATAACTTTTATCAAAGAAAACAAGTTTGTTTAATTTTCTCTTTTGAATAAGCATGCTTAATATGACGCCAATTGCATTAAAAGACCAACTTGCATTGTCCTGTTAAAAACAGAAATAGGTATATATTTTAATTGTTTTAATTGTAATACCAAGTGTGTTATTTATACTTGACAGGACCCATCAAACACGTGTTGTTAGTCAACACTTGACGTAACGTACCACCTTTATGTTAACCACCACTGGACTTACCTAGCGCGGGCCAACCCCAAAAAGACATCTCATCGCTGTCTCCAGCTGAAGTCGCTATAAATAGGACAAATGTCACTTGTGCTAGAATGTTCATGATTTTGAACTTTCACCTGGAATTATGCATCAGTATTAAATTATGTTAAATCAATATTTATGGTTATCTCCCTATAAGGCAGGGGTCTCCAAACTACGGCCCGCGGGCCGGATGTGGCCCGCGAAGTCCTCTCATCCGGCCCGCGGAGATCTTTTTGTCCAAGGAAAAATCGTCTGTTGGTGATGGCTGAGGAACTTTGCCCAGAAAAATCAAAGACATGCCTTGAAGAAACTGGCCCCCGAACTGAAATTTGATGGGTAATGCGGCCCTCGGACTGAAAAGTTTGGAGACCCCTGCTATAAGGCATAATCAATAGCGTTTACAAAATATTATGTAATTGTCTCCCTTTTAAGACTGATACATATTTATTTTTTGTTTGGACATCTAAAGCTCCCTTTTAATCTAACATACTTGCGCCCATAAAACTTGATAGAAATGCTTTATAAATAAAATTAACGTTGTTTTTTTTTTTTAAGTCGTGGTTAACAGAAAAACATAAATATTTAATTTTCATATTTTTAAAAACTAAGAAAATTATAAGCTTACCTTAAACTCCTTTATCGAATGGAAAAAAAATTTCAAAATAGGAAAAACTATGAAAAATATAGATCTCTGTATTTTTGTTTTAAATCTAAGAAATCTTTCTTCCTCTAAGAAACCACGTTATTTTAAAAGTTTCATTTAACGCGTTTATTTAAAAGTAAAATCTTGAATGAAAATGGATGTCGGTGTGTATAAAAAAAGTTGTCCTCTCCCGTCCAGCGGGGGGTAGCTGTCCTGTCGATTGACCGATATTGTCAGTCACGACTTCTTATAGACCTGTTCGAAACCGACAGGACTAGAATCGTCGAGGAATTCCCCGACCACGTGAGCTTGTCGTTGTCTGAATCTGTACTACCATCAGCTATCAGTAAATAGCGGAAAGTGTTTTAAAACATTTGAAGAGTTTTATTTATGGTTAGAATAACATTGTTTCGTTGTTTTACAACATGGGCTGCTTTAGATCTTCGTGGGCGAGGTTTTTAAGAGAGTAAAAGAAATGTGTATGACGTAACCGAGTTACACCAGACTTAAATTATTAGTAATTAATGGCTTTCTTCTGAAACAAAGGTTGTAGGTTAAGTTGTGACCCAAAGAAGCAGTGCGTCCTGAGTTTATTTTATCTATGGCTTCATCCAAAAATTACGTCACACTTCAGGGGTGGGGGGGACTTTTGTTATGATGTTTGGAGGAATTCGGGGAGGGAGGGAGTGAGCATTTTTTTTTTCAGGAACACTTCCAACCCACTTCCCAAACGCAATAGGGTTTTTTTTTTTTTTAAATTAAAAATCTTTAATTTAACCGGTGTCCCCTTCCCGGTAATTTAAATGTACCCTCCCCCTCCGAAATAAAATTTATTTTATACTAGAATACCCGTCATCCGTTGGATAACTGTGGGTTTCGGGGGTCATCCATCAAAAAACATCACGTCTGTCACTCAGAGGCATAGCGACCCTTCCCGGCGCCCGGGGACAAAGTTTTCGATTTGAACCCCCCCCCCCCCCCTCAAACTTTTGATGTGCACCCCCCCCACTCAAACTTTTGATTTGAACCCCCCTCAACCTATCAATTTATTTTTCCAAACCATTTTGGCGCCCCAACATATGTCCCCCCCCCTTCCCCCCTCGACCTCCCCACCCCCCCTTCCCCCCCCCCCCCCGCCTCCCCTCCCCACCCCCCGCCTCCCCTCCCCACCCCCCGCCTCCCCTCCCCACCCCCCGCCTCCCCTCCCCTACCGTCCCCCCCCCCCCTCCTCGGGACGCTACTGCAGTGTCACTTATCGTCACAAAAAACAGACCCCACATTCAAATATATGTTTTTTATCTTTTAAAAACACCGAAAACACCGATTTCGGACTATCCCTTCATAAACTGACGTCACAGGTGACCTACTCAACTCTACTTCACCTGCCCAGTGTCCTGCCAAGTCTCAGACAACATGTTTTTATCGTTTAAAAAACAATTCCAGCCGAGCATGTATCTGACCACACTATCCTTTCATATGCTTAGGACAAAGAAACAGATGAACTCTACTTCACCTGCCCTGTATCTTGCCAAGTTCAGATAGGCAACGTTATCATTCACATCTAAAAAAAAAAATTGAAAAAAAAAATTTCATTGACATATTGGTCTAGAACCCGTGCCTCCTGCATGAGAGCTGACTACGCTACCATTTTAGCTATTTACTCGTGACGTCACAAGTGAATTTTTATACTATACTATGTGTCTCCTTATGCAACTTGATTTACGCGTATAGATTCTAGATCTAGATCTAAAAATAAGTCTAGTAGTACTAACTTTCAAATTAAATTTTATCTTAAATAAGCCAAACAAAGATTTATATAAAATAATTAAGGCCTGAAATAGATTCTAGATGTAGAATTTACATTGAATCTAGTGACCTACATCTAGGCTAGATCTAGATCTAGGCTAGATTCATAAATTTCCTTCGATAGCTGATCTTTAGATCTAGAGAAATTTATCGTAAAACTAAATGAAAAAGACAGTTGAAAATTGATATAAGTGTTGGAACGTAATAAATACAGCAAACGGACGTATTGTTAAAGTTATGACCGACAGAGAATTAGATTTAGAACGCGTTAAACTTTTGAATGGGAACACAATTTTCTTCAATAGACGCCGCCATTTTATTGTACTAAAGAGTAAACAAAAACCTGTGACGTCACTATTCCCACAAAGTTTAGTCAAGGTTTTAACATTTAAAAAAAAAATGGGTTATTCTGCGTAGGAATAAATCAATAAATTAATTAACGTCTTTGAATAAATTGGTGATCAACAGTCTGTCTGCATTAAAAAATTATTCTCTACCTGCATACCATTTTACAGCTTTCCAGATAGAGTCGAACATATCACAATTTTCGATCAGGCAAACAAATAAATATTCAAACATGTAAACAAAGTTGAGTTTTAGTAGTATACTAGAATACCCGTCATCCCTTGGATAACTGTGGGTTTCGGGGGTCATCCATCAAAAAACATCACGTCTGTCACTCAGAGGCATAGCGAGCCTTCCCGGCGCCCGGGGACAAACTTTTCGATTTTAACCCCCCCCCCCCCCCCAAGATTTCGATTTTCAAACCCCCCCCCCTCAAACTTTTGATGTGCACCCCCTCCCCCCCCCCCCCCACTCAAACTTTCGATTTGAACCCCCCTCAACCTTTCAATTTATTTTTCCAAACCATTTTGGCGCCCCAACATACGTCCCCCCTCCCCCCCCCTTCACCTCCCCCCGCCTCCCCTCCCCCCCCCCCCGCCTCCCCTCCCCCCCCCCCCATCGCCTCCCCACCCGCCCCCCCCCCTCCTCGCTACGCTACTGCAGTGTCACTTATCGTCACAAAAACAGCCCACATTCAAAAATATGTTTCTTATCTTTTAAAAACACCGAAAACACCGATTTCGGACTATCCCTTCATATACTGACGTCACATGTGACCTACTCAACTCTACTTCACCTGCCCAGTGTCCCGCCAAGTCTCAGACAACATGTTTTTATCGTTTAAAAAACGATTCCAGCCGAGCATGTCTCTGACCACACTATCCTTTCATATGGTTAGGACAAAGAAACAGATGAACTCTACTTCACCTGCCCTGTATCCTGCCAAGTTCAGATAGGCAACTTTATCATTAACATCTAAAAAAAAAAAAATTGAAAAAAAAAATCATTTTTTATCATTAACATCTAAAAAAAAAAAAATTGAAAAAAAATATCATTGACATATTGGTCTAGAACCTGTACCACTCGCATGAGAGCGGACTACGCTACAAACTTAGCTATTTACTCCTGACGTCACAAATGAATTTTTATACTATACTTTGATGCAACTTGATTTCGAGCGTCTAGTCTAGAAGTAGTAACTTTCAAATTAAATTTTATCTTAAATTAGCCAAACAAAGATTTATATAAAATAATTAAGGCCTGAAATAGATTCTAGATGTATTAAGGCCTGAAATAGATTCTAGATGTAGAATTTACATTAAGTCTAGATTTAGAATTTACATTGAGTTTAGTGATCTAGATCGAGGCTAGATTCATAAATTTCCTTCGACAGCTGATCTTTAGATCTAGAGAAATTTATTGTAAAACTAAATGAAAAAAGACAGTTGAAAATTGATATAAGTGTTGGAACGTAATAAATACAGCAAACGGACGTATTGTTAAAGTTATGACCGACAGAAAATTAGATTTAGAACGCGTTAAACTTTGGAATGGGAACACAATTTTCTTCGATAGACGCCGCCATTTTATTGTACTAAAGAGTCAACAAAAAACTCTGACGTCACTATCAAGGGACGTCACTATCCCCACAAAGTTTATTCAAAGTATTAACATTTTTAAAAAAAATACGGTTAATTTAACAATGAATAAATCAATAAATTAATTAACGTCTTTAAATAAATTTGTGATTAACAGTCTGTCTGCATTAAAAAATTATTCTCTACCTACATACTATTTTACAGCTGTCCCGGTAGAGTCGAACATATCACAATAGTCAATCAGGCAAACAAACAAAAAAATAAATATTCAAACATGTAAACAAACTTGACTTTTAGTAGTATTAAGATAGATGTCTTAAAGAAACATTTGTGGTATTGGAGTGGGGCGGTTAAAAAGTGTGACGTTCCCGCTCGCATTTAAAAAAAGTGCTTCACTTGTTAGTTTGTATTCGCTGCTTATCTCTTTAGAAAATTTAATTTAATTCTTACATGTAGTGAAAATGTTTTTTATAATTATTATCTAATGTAATAATTCAATTCAGTTTGGGAGGAGGAGGGGGGGAAACAAACAAAAAACAACAACTCAAGACTCTTTAGTTACTCCTTGAGAGGAACGTCTTGTTGGGAAACCTGTAGGATTGGCTGTTCTGTTGCCGACATCACCTCGTGTCGTTTCAATCACAGGTGTTTACATCGACTTGACGGAGTTAGGGAAGGGGGATATCCAATGGGAGATAATCAAAAACCTTTTTTAAGGGGAGATAATTTAGTGGGAAATGAGGGGGGATTTCAATGCTATATTGTCATTACTATTGTCTTTATTATCAATTTCAAAGACTCGTGGATTTATTTCCCCCTGTATAAGATGGGTGTCGCACCAGTCGGTTTGAATACACCCCCCTCCCAGATTGTAGAAAGATCAACTTTTTAAAGACAAATCATTCACCATTAACTTCAAACTTCTGCTCAAGTTTATCATGATCTCGTGTTTTGACGAGTTGAACGTTTCGGACACTTCCATACAGTTGGCGATTGAACTTTGGACTTATTATTTCTAGAAAATTCTGCCTCTGATTTCATCCATTCGTCCCAGCACATAACAGATTTTGAAATTTTCAATTCATTTGTTGATGCTCGAATAAAATGCTGGGATGGTATTAGTAAACGATGGGGATTAGAATCTTAACCCACTTCTTACTTTCACCTACTGAGCAGGACCCAGCAGAATCCCCCCCCCCCCCCCCACACACACACTCACAGCATATGTAGCCCACAACTCATCGCATCAATGAGCACTGTACTTGTCACAGACTATCTCACGTTACAACACAACTCTATTTTTAGTCACAAATCTCTATTTTTAGTCTATCACTGCGAATCTGCTAAGGTATTTCCCCATAAAATACCATTCGAATTGCTTAGCAAACCTAACGAATAAGACGTAGCTGTATTGGGTTGCATTTCTCTGTCCCGTGCCACACCATCCGTGGGACGGCGCGGCCTAGAGGTAGAGCACAAGACTGCTAACCCGAAAGTCTCGAGTTCTAATCCGGGTTCAGATCAGTAGAACGTCTGATGGGCACCTAACTCACTTTTATGAAAGTGTAGGCAGCTGGACATAGTGCTGACCACAATATATCTGCATATGCCAAAGTCACAGAAACAGTTGAACTTGCCCCATGGACGGTCAGGTTCGAAAAGGGAACTTTACTTTTTACTACTTTTTTACCCACTAGAAATAAAAATAAAATAATCATTTTAAAATATTTCCTGAGTAACAAAAACCAATATTTACATTTACGTCTACATTTCTAGAGAATGACGCCACACTAATGCGTTTAAAGATGATTTTTTAAACTCATTCTAAATTTTTAAAGAAAGGAATTATTAGTTGCGTTTTTATAATGGTAATAAAAATGATCAAAGAATCCAATATTGATTCTGATTGGCTAAATGTTCTGTATTAAACATTGATAGTATGTTATCACCAACATCTCATAGCTCTCAGCAGCTTCGTACATTGATAATAAGTTTTTCATGTAAAGGGAAACTACTCATTTAATATTTGTTATAAAATAAACCTTACTTGGTTATATCCCATTAAACTAATTAAAGGGGAGTTTAAAGAGCTTGTGGATGGACTGAAGTGTTGCGAGATTCAATGATAGGCGATTGACTTTTTGTGACGATGTGTATGATGAAGATAGAAGAGAAGTAAATATAATCAAACTAAATGTGGCGTTATTGACGGGATGACCGCATAAATAACAACAACTGCACTTTTTCTACACTTTGAAGTAGGCATACTTCAGTTTTTTTTTTAATTGCACTTTGGGAGATGGCTCTAGGCTGAAGTGTGGCGTCAATTTATGGGGTGGGGCAGCGGGGGCTGTCTTTTTGCAATGGGATATGGACATGGGATATACCACAGAAATTAATTAAAATAGATAAAATAATGAATGCGAAACGAAAAATCTTTCCTAATTTCAACTTTTTTAAGATTGGAGTTAACCGGAAGTGTTAAGGTAAACAACATTAGGCATGATGTTTTTTTAAACACCATCTTCTTTCGTACTGGACTAGTCAGTCTTTTTTTTACTACTTTTTAGAGTACTCGATTAATTGATTTGCTCAACGGTTGGCTTATGTAGTTCAGATATCATTAATTGGTGTTTCAATAAAATGAATGAATTACAAGTTAGATCTAGATCTAAATCCAAAAGCCCCGATTCAATTGAATATCTTTTTGAAGATGTTGATGTGTTTTTTTCATTCTGTCAAACTCGAAAATTTTCCCAAGAAAAACTTGACATGATTATTGAAAAAGCATTGAAAAACGACCCAGATGCGCACAGTAAAGTTTTGAAAGAAGAAGATAAAAACAAAATACAACAGGCGAACTTGGAAAACAAACTTATGAATAAAAAAATTAAAAACAGCACAGGTGTGCTAGTTGTAGGACTGCTAGTTGTCTTCACAATTGGAATTGTATGTGCTGGTTGGGCTTTAAAAAACAGATCTATTTACGATTATGGCATAACTATTGAATCCAGAGTCAGTGCAAATGAGCTTTTTTTAGCAGGCCATGCCAATACATTTCTGTCTTGGATGCAATATATCTCAGAATACTGTGGTGTTTTTTATTGGTGGAGATTGCTTAAAAATGGTAAATAGAAGAAAATATTTCAGTAAAGTACTTGTTCCTGGTAAATCAGCATGTTATTTTCCCCCATATTACCAACTAATGTGTGCACCGTCAAAACGGCCCAGGACAAAACAGCCCCATCAATATGAATCAGTCAAATCAACCTCAGACAAAACGACCCACTCAAAATAGCCCCATCAAAAGGGCCCCAACATATTGGCTCCCGTCAAATGGACTGCTATCATATTGACTCGCGACATATAGGCTCCCGACATTTAGGCTCCCATCAAACGGTTTCCCCACAAATAGGCTCCCGACAAATAGGCTCAGGACATATTGGCTCCCGACAAAACGGCTCCTGACATAAGGGCTCGCAACATATGAGCTCCTGACATATCAGCTCCCGACAAATGGGCTCCGGACATATTGGCTCCCACAAAATGACTTCCGACATATCAGCTCCAGGTTTAATTTACAACAGTAAAAATCTGTTGCTTAAAAGTGAGCACAGAAATTTAAATGTATGATATACATGATGTTTACAGGACATTGGCATTTTGTTGTAATAACCTACAAGCATATTGCAGGTAGTAATGTACAGCTTGGACCTCTTTCCCCACTCACTAAGTTGGAGCAGCCCACAACCAACTTATTTGATGGAAGTCATACTTAGATGACCCTTAAATTTAAAACATTGTATTCATTATACTAGATAAAATAATACAAACATAAGGCTTGCTAAGCTAACTCTAAAGAGTATTGATGAAAGGGTCCCAGTGGCAGGTGTCATATTCAATGAGGATGTTTCGCCTGGATACTTAGTCTCTACGGAAACCGTATTGACAGGGGCCCTTTTGTCAGGAGCCTATTTGTTGGGAGTCGTAATGACAGGAGCTATTTTGTCTTGAGTCGTAATGACGGGGTTGTTTTGTCTGGGCCCAAAATGACGGGAGCCTATGTGATGGGGTCCATTTATCGCTGTCCCTTTTGTCTGGGCCATTTTGTCATTGGCCTATTTGACGCCACATGCACCTCATGTTATATGTATGTGTATAATTTTAATATAACATTTCTGATCAACATTTAGGCCTATTTATTTATGTATTTATGCATGATCACTTAAAGTTTTAAGCATGAACTAGAAAAAATACAGTTGTGAACATTTTATTTTTTAAATTGTATTCCAGGTGCTGATGAATGCACTGTCCCTAATCCTTTCTATTATTACACAAGATTTTACTATAGCTGTACGTCTTGTGAGAATATCACATCTGCACTAACACCTAAAGTTGGAATTGAGGCCCAACCAGTTTCCGTTAATATAGTTTTGGGGACTCAACCAATTATTTGTAAGGTATGAGCTTCTTACAGACATTACAACCTGCAAAATCCTAATATTATTTCTCATAAGAAATCTTTATTAAAATGTATCATATTTACATTTGCTTTTAAACCTCTATATCACTGTCATCAAATTGAATTTTTTAAATTTCTCTTTTATTTGTGACTTCTATCTTTTATTTTAGAAATGGGGAAGAAATGTCAGTCTTGAAGAGATGAGTGATGTCATTTCTCACAATCTGCATATTTTTAAGAGCAGCATTTACACCATGTCATGCAGTGCTAATTACATCACCAGAGTAGAAGATATAACAGATGAAAAGATAATGTCTAGAGTACAAGAGGACACACATATTCACTTATCTTGGTAGCTATATTTTTTTGTTATTATACAGATAACTGTAGCTAATTATATACTATAGTTTTTTAATGTATAAATATTAAATTGTTTAATTGTAACATTTATTTAGTCAGGGCTTTAAAAAATTATTATTTAAAGTTTAAAATTATTTATTTTAATACATTTTAAAAATATGTTTAAGGACCACAGATAGCTATATGTTGTCATATGTAATGCGACAGTTATTTCCTCGTCCTGCATTGATACCAAAAAGTGTAAACATTGGTCTAAAAAAAATACTGCTTATTGATGGAAAAAATGCTCCTTCCTATCCTCTGGTAAGTCATTCTTTTTGTTTCTGGTTGCACTAAACATTATTCCTAATGAAAAATCCACAATAGCAGTCTTTGATTAAAATAATTACAGTTCTGCTCTTAAGAAACAATGAACTATTGTTTTTAAAAAGATTTAAGCTCAGATAGAAAAGGTATGCTTGTGTGGTTTTAATAAACTTTTTAATTTGTTTTTATTAAGTTGTGGAATTAGTCAAATTTTAGCTGAAGTACTAATAATCAATACTAGAATTGATTTTAAAATAATTTATGATTACTTGTAAGTAGACAGGAAGCATAATTTCAATATTAAAGGTCAACAACATATATCTTGCATGTCTACTCACTAGCCTGTATACAAGCAAAACTCTATATGGTATGAACAAGGGGCTGGATCTAGAAAAATTGTAATTACTCCAAGAAAAGGTTGTATGCATATTTGCACTACTTTAACAGTGATTCTCAAGCCAAGTGATGTTAGTAAGTTACCAAGTTACTCTCCAGTAGTTATACTATTTTAATTCACCACATGCTGCAGTTGATAAACAGACAGATTTTTGGAAAATAGTAGTATTTAAGTAAAATCTTAACTTCACAAACATACTTTGATCTAAATTGGGAAAGGGTTAATTAATTTTCTTTTGCCACCAGTTGTTATCAATGTGGAAGTCTGGGATGTGCTTTCTTTACCTCATGGAAATCTTACAAGTTTAGCTTTTATTGGTCATTTTGATGATTCTCTATCATAAAACAAACAGGTGAAGCAATTTTAGTGATAATTTAAAATCAGTGCTCCTTTAAAGCTTACTCAGACTGGTTATAGTTATATTCTCCATATGAATGTTCAAAATTGGTTTCAAAAGTATAGAGGAATAAATAAATATATCATTAGCCCACCATTATTAAAATCAAATTATTGAATTTAACTTTAAAATTGGTTGAAATTTTTGTTTCCCACAGAAATGATGGTATCACAGTTTACAGAGATGAATCTGACATGATTGGAACTTGTCCTAAATTTCATTCCATGGAATTTGAAAGGATACAACTCTCACTAATTTCAATGAATTTAGGATGACTTAAAACAGAAATAAAAGCTCTTACAGCATCATTTACTGTAGTGATTATGGCATGTTTTTTGTTGCTTAATGCTTTGTTTAAAAAATGACCCATTTTCTAAAATTGTTCACTTAATTACACACTATACCAGTACATTGACTTTTTGGGAAAATTATAAAACATATTGCTTGTATACATTATCATATTAATAAGCAGAAATGTGTATTTTTCCAAAAATTGTACATTTTAAAAATAAATATAAAGAAGAAAGATGTAATTATAGCATTTATTGACAGAAAAAAATGGCTTTATAAATACAAACATAAAGAAACATAAATTTTATTTAAGTTTGGTAAATCTTTTCATTGCAACTGTAAGAACTGTCAGTCAGCACATTATCACATTCAAACAAGACATGTAAACAAAGTCTGGTGGTCACTGTTGGTAATGGATTGTTGTAGCTTTATTTGGTTTCTAATAATCAGTACACTTTCTCAGCTTTGAGTGTGGATTTTTTTAAGTTACATAATTTTAGGTTTCAAACCAGTGTCAGAAAATCTCACCCATGCATTTTACAAACATTTTCAATTTTTCTGGTCACTCAACATGTACAATATAATAGGTGGAACTTCAGTTCAAAGTTTTGTGTCAAAAATATAATCTGGATGAATATGTAACTAGACAATTAAGCAAATATACTATATTATATAGGTAGTTGCTTCCTCTCATTAATCACTTGCAACCAGTTGTATAATATTAGATAAAGGTCAGAGACTATGATTAAACTTGCAGACAAACATGAAGGTAAACTGGTGATAAGTTCATGTCAAGATTTACTTTAAAAACAAAAAAAAAAAAAAGGAAAACACAAATTTTCCTCTTTTCAAACTCAACAGTTTGTATGAAAACTTCATGAATAGAAGGCATGATAAAGAAATGACTTTACACAATGGAATATATTTCAACACCCACACACAGCGCACCAGTAAACATTAACTGTTTATGCTAGTATAAGTTTATATGGTACATCAAAATGTATACTTTACTATTTTATTTTTAAAAAATCTAAAAAGCTTATTAGATAGAAATGTCAATGAAACTAGTTAAGTAAATGTACACAGTAACTATTATCCCCCAAAATATTGCATTTACTAAACAATGATTTAAAAGTATGATTGGTTAAAAAAAGTGACAATTTCTTCAGTTTCTCTTAAATTTGATCATAGCTGTCACAAGCATGATCCAGTGTCTGTATATTTTTCTTGTGATGACACTCATTACATACAGCACAGATGTTTGGATAATAAATATGAGTCAATATTATTCACTGTTCATAAACATCACCATTTACACATATCTTATGAAAATAAAAATGCTATCACTTTAATACATTTATGTTTTATTAGCTTTAAAAATAGTTATTTTTATAAAGCATACATTTTTAAAAAGGCAATTATTTTATGCCTCTTCTAATGGTATCAAATAGCTTGTGGCACTGATGTAGTTGTTTTAAAGTCTATTAAGAGTATTTACCACTAGTGAAACAAAATGCATATTTAAATTAATTAAAGCAAACAAAATACTGATATTAAAAACTACTTGAAATATATTTTAATAAAACACTGCAAGAGATTCACAAAATAGAACAGTTAACCACATGATACCTTTTCTCAACAACTGAAATTATGCATCTTTTCTGAACTGATACACATACCCTATTTTAACAAATACATTGGGGAAGGAAATTTTTTTAGAAAGCCCAATGTGGCAGTCACAGCTTGAACGCTTACAGAATTCATTTGAGAAAGTGGTTTTGAAAACTGCAAAAATCACAAAGCATGGTTGAAACACACAGGTGACACCAACATAGGTAGCCTATCAAAACCATGTTCTCAAAGTTTAAAAATGTTTTTCGCATACTATCTTCAATCGAATTAAATTCCAGTTGGGTTATAATCATTTGAGACACCTTTCAAAGTAAACATTTCCTATATGACCACCTCTCATGGATTTGGCTACATTCTGTTCAAAAAGACGGCGGTTGGTCTGTAGGACTTCAGCTGCTTCTTTATTTAATGGGTCTTCTGGATTTGGCTCCTGAAAATAGAGTGTTTAATTTTATAAAACAGTTTTTATGACACAGAAAAAATCCCAACTGTTTGTATGTTTTCTATGACAAAACTAGGCCATTAATGATAACATATTCAACAAATGCTTTATGCAAATAAACCAAAATACATTAATAGTTTATAAACATGGAGTTTAAAATAAGATTAAAAGTGAACCAAGTTACATTAGAAACTTTTATTCTTCTTCATAAAGATTAAGTTACTCACCAAAAATAAATACTGCAAACCATAGACTATAGAATTAATTGTGAGAACAGGTTTCCAATCTTCCCTGGAAGAACAAATTTATTTAATATTAATTTTACTTCCAAAAATAAATTTAAAAAAACTGTAGTTTGCAAAATCAAAGTAATTTATAAATCAATGTTATTTGGTATTTAATAAATGCCTTTACCTGAGAATATTTAAACAAACATTGCCTTCAAGGTCAATGTTGGGATGATATACCATTGTTTCACATTTCACTTTGGGTGGATCATGGGGATAACCCTGACCTACTTTAAAACTAAATACAAAACGGCCACCTCTGTAGAACTCCTGAAAAAATAATGTCAATAAATAAAGGACACTCCCAGCAGTGCTCATAATCTTATGCAAAACTAAAACAACAAATCTGCTGTAGAAGTTACCTCATCGGGAGAAATGATAACTTTAAAGTTTAAAAGATCATCAGGGTCTGGGAAATCAACTTGACAAGTTTTGGGAAGATTAAGCTCATTGATATCTGAAAAGTAATCATGAAAGTTGAGTTTAAAGGGAATAAAATTTACCTTATGAATCTAAGTAGTTAAAGCTACTAATGTTGACAAGGCCTCTTTCTGTAATGTGAGGTAAAAAAAACTAAAAAATTTCTTCTGCCATTGACTGAAATTTTAAAACATCTGTCAGTGATGTATAAAATGTCTAAACAGGAGTTTCTGTAGCAAGCTTAGTAAATTTGTAGGCCTATATGGTTCATATTGATAAACTTAACATCAGGGCAGAGCAAACTTTAGGTTTCTGGTTGTTGTATTACCCATCTGTGAAAAATGTAGGCTATATGCTATTGTTAAAAGTTAGTATTAATAGTATTTAGAACCTACTAAAACATCTTAAGGATGTAAGCCCGATATATTCACTATTACTCATTTACTGTAGGTCTGTATATTTAAAAAAAGATATATTTTGGACACCACTATTATATATACCAAACTAACATCATACATTAATGTGTTAGGTCCAATATAAAAATTGTAAGTATGTTAGCAGCCTGCTACTTAAAACTCCACTAAAAAAACAAGTCTAAATCTGGTTCTTACAGGTGATGATAGATTTAATTTTATCCAACTATTAACCATTTTAGTACTTCTCACTAAATTTTCAGTTCCTGTTCAAATATGAGATGTAGGGCCTATAATATGTAGGCCTAGGTCTTACTTAGGCCTATATATTCACAGTTTATAATAGCCTAGCATATATTCACAGTTTTGGCCAGGTCTGAATAGACACAACCCTGATCTAATAGTCTAGAGAAGTCGACTCTAAGACTAGCTACAGTACAGGGCAGAGTATTAAATTAAGACAGTCGACAGTAGTATTCCCAGTCGACTGAGAAATAGTTACAACTAAGCTATTATTTATGGATGCATCTATTCGGACCCGGGTCCCAATAGCCTCGGCCGCTATTGGGACCAGCCAATAGAATTGTTAAGATTTAGTTAAACAAAAATTCTTTTAAGATACAGATTATATCTTTTCTGTTGTGATTTTTTCCTTGTAATTCTAAATGATATATTGAGATCTTGCTTTAAATACGCGATATCATTACTGACAAATGTTATGATGAGTGGGTGTCGTTAGGTCCATAATATAATTATGGCCTATGGTATAGCTTCTATGGCCGAGCGAATGTTGAGCGCGCATGTAAAAATTAGTTTTATTTTTTTCTTTTCTGTTAAACGTAATTTGATTTCATAGGATATATATATATATATATATATATATATATATATATATATATATATATATATATATAATTTGTATAAGATAGCTCATATAGGCTGCAGACTACAGCTCCCGGGCCCGTCTTCTTGAACACGAATATCTCGCATGCTTTGTAGTACGCTTTAATAGAAGCAATACGTAACATTTGAACTCACAATGCCCCCAAATCCGTTTTTCCCTCTTGCTGGGTTGGTAGGGGAGGGGGGGGGGGGGACTACGGCGACAACAAATCTCGATAAGCTAATGGTCTTGCTATGATGTATGCTTTACTATACGCCTACACTGTTCACATCTAAACCAATCTGAACTCAGTGACCCTGGCTAGACCGTGTCGGTATTTTTCTTGCGCTGACCAGAAAACGCGAGCGGGCGATCAATGGAGCAATGATGTTTTTATAGGGCCTAATTGGCGTGTTTAAAAACCTAAATCTAGAAAAAAAATATAATCTATTTTTAAAAAAAAACAATTACAAAAAGACACTTTTGCAAACAACTCAATGGAATGTTAGACTTAGATAAATACACTTTATTTCACGAAAAAACGAGAGCTTTGCTAGGTTCCGATCCCGTAACTGATCGAGAGGCGGGAGGTACGGCGTTCTCCACTCGACCACGACGTTTTACGATAATAGCTATATATTTAATGATTTTGTATATAGAACTAAATATAGGGTATTTAGTAATAGCAACACAAGAACTAACGCTAGATAATCCGCATAACTAATTATAATAAAAGACAACAAAATACGAGCAGATCCACAAGAAAAATCAAATAAACATAAAAGGTATAAATTTAATACAGGTTGTACAAGTGCTTAACGAACTTAATGCCGGGTCCCAATAGCGGCCGAGGCTATTAGGACCCGGGTCCCAATAGCGGCCGAGGCTATTAGGACCCGGGTCCCAATAGCCACTTTCATTATTTATTTGTATAACTTTAATTCCAGTTAAAAAAGAAAGCACATTAAAAAATATGTAAAATTGTTAGTTAAACCTACCAATTTTACATATTTTTACAGACTTAGGTTAGGTAAAACTCCATTTTAGCGTATTTCATTCGCCGCTTCACGTTCACCTCCGGTTGAGCGTATTTTATTATAAACACAACCAAAACACACAAAAGCGTTAGGAAAACATTGGGCTTATTTCTTTATCACACTTTATGAATTTTTGTTTTAGTTTTTGATAATTTATTTTACAGACTTAAACTTAATGACTAGGCTTTTTGATGAGAATTACAGAATGATTTTTTTTATTAAAAATGTATTAATAATAGCTAGAATACTAGTAAACTAAGCTAATTTAGCATATTTTAACTTTCTGTGCAAAGTCATTATTACTGAAAAAAATTCCAAAGTCAGGTCAGCCTGTGGCACCCTCCACTGAACTTGAAAGAAGGAAAAAAAACTTGACCCGTGACCTTCATTAAAACAGAATTTACTTATGTTTCTTTTTAACTATTAGTAAACATGTGCTTAATATTACCCAATAAGTAATAAAAATTTGACAATTAATTTTAATTACTGTTGTAAAGTGAGATAAACAGCTCAATAAACACGTGTTTTCTTGAGGGGGTGTGACCCGGGTGTGGCACATCGCATGTAACTTTTTATTTCTGTGTCTTATGACTATTTGTTCACAATCAGCATGCTATGCTTTTAAAATTGATAAAGGGTAAGTATACCAAGCTACAAAACCTAAAATCTAACTAATAATTCACACTTTCAGTTTAAAAAATAATAAAAACGATCATCAATGAAGAAAGCGTAAACATTCTATTTTTAGGTGTGACATAAAAAAACAGTCATAAACCTAGCCAAATGATTGGATTCTTGCGCGGCACACATTTTCCCGCGCCTCGTGTTCACCAAAAAAGATTATAATAAAATGGCATTATTACTTGCACGGACCACATCTCATTCCGACCATAAGTTATTACCAGTTAATTGTAATGTGTGTAAAATTGATACTTTCAAGTTTCATATACACATAGTTTGGTGTATTATACACGGGGTATTTTAGAGTTATTTGATTCGAAAGATGAGAATTATATAGAGCTACTTTCACTAAGGCGCCGCTTGCGAGACAAACAAAGAAATTAGGCCAAAAGTAGATCCGACAATTCTTAATTAATAGACTTAAATAGAAACGGATAGTTCCGATTTCTAAAATTAACGATGGCTTCGTAATCATTAGTTTTATCCCTCTACCCATTATTAGTGAAAGCGAAACTGGTCGCCATTTTTGGTAAGCGCATGAGCCGTGAGATGGCTTCAAAACAACAAACCCGGAAGCTGTGAATCGAACGGCCTACTTAATGACTTAACTAACTTATTCATGACAATTCATGTAGCATGATCATGTAGTTGTATTTGTAGGCCTAACTTGTTTTTCTTATTAAATAATTATTAATTAGGCCCTAACTGCTAGAATCTACTACTATCTACGTCATCTAGAATCTAGATCGATCTAGATTCTAGACTAGATCTAGAAATCTAAATCTACTGATCCAACGCCAACACTCACGGACCTTTCTGTATCCTCAACTGAGCAGCAGAAGCTCTCTTTCCTCGTTCGGGTGCATTTTCGCCGTCTTTCTTTTGTTGTTTAAGAGAAAACAGCTTAATCATTTTGATATATTATCAACACTGACAATAATGGTGGTGCTCTTTCAGTACTTTTTTTCACTGATGATTTAATATTCTTAGTGTTTAATATTAGGTATGACAGAAAACGGAAACAATGATCACTATCTTTTCCAATGACGGGGCTTGAAAAAAAAAAGAAGAAAATTTTACTAGAATAACTTCCGCCAACAAAGCTGTCAATGATGCTAGTTTCGAATACAGCAAGATGTAAACACCTGCTATAAATAGTAGGTGGCGCAGAGTCTAGTAATTTGTAAAACGATAGTTGTTTAGTATTTGGAGTTTATTATTCTTTATGAATATCTAGATGTATTATGATTCTATATTATTATGTTCAAAAACTGATTTCTTGTGTAGACCTTTTAGTCTGCGTTCTGATTTTTTTTAAAGAATTAGACATCTAGATTCTAGATCTATAGTCTAATCATGACTAAGGGTGAAAATATTAAAATAAGGAAAAGCTTTTTAAAAAGCCAGGCTTCCCCCTCCTCAATATGAAATAATACCTTGGCTACGACACTCATCCTCAAAAATGGAGTTTTTGTCTTTTAAACATCCATTTCTTTCTCGGGGGGGGGGGGGGGGGGGGGAATGGTGTCACACCTCTGTGGGGGGGGGGATATCTGTGACGAGGGGGAGGAGGCAGAAAGTGTGACGACATAATTTTGCACTTTAAAAAGTTTACTAAAACTTTTCTTAAGCCGTCCTTAAATAAGCCTGATCACAAGGTCTTGGTCTATGTCAACTATATTAATTGTATTACCTCTCGACCCACTGGGTTAATGGCATTAATCCTTAAAGTGGATGTGCGTAACAAGACTTGGAACAGGAGTATTAAATTGTCTTAGTTCAGTAGAATAAATAATGCTTGGATTAAATTATTGGCCAGGCTTTTCTCAGATAAATGGTAAACATGTCTATATAAAATAAGTAAAATATAATAAATGATAACTATTAGCTAAGATACATGTGAATGTCTCAATTTAAGGTGCATAATCTAAATCAACAACCAACCAGAATCTAGTGTTTTTCAGAATGTATTTGGACTTTCAGCTATTAACATTTATGTGAATAATTATATACACATGTATAAAAAAATTGTATTACAATTGCATATAATATATATGCAAGTTAGTTTTAAATGTATGCTAATTTAATGTGATAATGATAATACATTTTCACCTTTAGTCTACTGAGTTAAATATGAAAATATACAAAGTTATGAATAACATTAAATACAACTCAATGCTGCAAGTAAAATTTTCTCATTTATCAAAATTAATTAGATTTTTTTTTTAAGTTGGAAGATCATTAACATTAGTATAAAGAAGATATTGTTTTACAAAGTATTTCCACTTACTAGTAAATCAGAAGAGATTACTAGCATCATCAGAAATATTTGACATAAATTTCATGGCTTTTTTGTGTTCCCAAATATCTAAACATAACAAACATAATGATTGAAATTAAAAATACACAAAATATACAGAAAAATGATGAATTCATATAAATAAAACTCACATTTAAGACTAAAAGCAGTATACCATCAAAAACTTGTACAAATTCAACAAATAAAATACATAATCAGATAAAATAGTGTTTCATTTGATTTTCCCAGAAGAGCTCCAAGTCCTGACTTCTAATGAGCTTAATATTAGGCCTACTTTTGAGCTTGAGCCCTTTGGTCCCATCACTATAGTGATATTAAGCATCTGTTAAAACATCAAAGACCTGATTATAATATTAGTGTAAAGAGCATGAAAAAATAAAACCCCATAGTTGGTCATGTATTTAAAAACCTTTTCAGACACATAAAGTACAAATTATATTCCTCATTGAAAAATCAGGTGATAAATAAAAAATATCTTTTGTCTTTTTTTTTTTGGTAGATAAAAACACATTTGTAACAAGAATTAAAACAAAAAATAAGCAAACAAAGACTTCTAACTTATTTGTTATTCAACTCAAGTAAACCACAAGAAGTCATAAGTATGTACAAAAATCTTAAACTGTTAAGTATTTGTGTTAGCATATTCATATCAATCCTACACATTTAACTAAGCTACATACTTGTCTATAATTTTTTTAATGATTTTTTTTGTTCTATTGTGGGATTAAACAGTAAACGCAACCCTTTTTAGTCAGTCAGTATGAGTCATAAATTAATAAATTCAATCAGCAGTCACAACCTTACAGAACATTCTTATCATAGAAATAACTTTTTTCAACAAAATTATTACTCTAAACCAATTTTAAACCTTTTATCTTAATTTGCTTAAAAATTAAAAGAATAAGTTTACAGTGAATGAAACAAATTAAAATTGTTGTAATTAGATTTAGAAAAATGAGTTATTGATTTTTAGAATGTTTTAAAATTTTGAGGTAAAAATGTTCTTTTTAAGCAAATGCTTTGGGCCGAACTAAGAAATAACAATGTTATTAAATAAACATTGGAATATGAGAAAGAAAAATTAGCGCTGATTAAAATTTTTCTAATGGATTAAAAATTGTACATAAGAAAAATGTTCACAAGTTAAAAATGTCACCCATATATAAGTATTTTATGTCACAGACACCAGGACAAAACCAGTAAAAAGTTATTAGTGTAAAAATGTTCACCCAGTTCATCACAGATGAAAACATACAGCAAAACATTAAGATAATAAGTTACAACAATTTTAGCCTATTTTATGTGTGTGGCTATTGTGATCTGGAAGGCATCAGGGTTAAATCATTTTCACAAAATGTTTTAAATAGAATCAAAAGAACAAACTTTGAACACACAGATATTGTTTATCACACAATTTGCTTTGTTTTAAATATTAAATGCTTCTACGATTGAATAAATGTTTTCTTATTCAGATACCAATAATTTATTCAAATGAGTAAATTATTAAAGTCAAATATAACAGTAATTTGATAAAAGTACTACTTGATCCATTATTATCTTATAATGTGTAATCATCTAAAATAACATTTTAAACATTTCTGTATGAAAGACACCACTGCCTGTAAAATGAAAACTTATATACCTAATCAGAGTTTATCAAACATTGCTAATCTTATGGCAAGTGGTGAAAATGATAGTTAAAAGGTCTGTTTAAAAAAAATTAACCATGTTTGTTGAACAGAAAACAAAATGTAATGTAAATAAACTTTACATGTGAAACAGTGTACATTTTGCAACACCATTAGATTTGTTTAAAGACTGAAAATTGCAAAACCCAACACCTACAAATAAATAGGGTAACCTAAAATTGTTTAACAGACATGAATCAGGTTTTAGGAGATATGTTTTGAAATTCTCTAAATAATACTGTCAAAAAATATTCCTATCACAAACCATAATTTTTACTGAATAACTGCTAAACATTTACCCTGAAATTGTTTTCAAACACATATTTATTAGCAAAGAAAATTGTTTTCCTTATTAAAACAATAATTACATTACTGAACTTGTTTTCTGATATATAAAATTCTGAAAATTTCATTAGATTATTTATACTATTATCAGGCACAATTCAAATACATCACTAATGATAATCATACATTATTTTTTGTAATCATCACTTGCCAGAGGCTGCAACTGACATTTTAAGCAAAAAACTTGACTCAACACCACTGATCTAAACATTTATCTAAGATCATCTTATTGTTATAAAATATAATGCTAAGTGGGCATCTAATACCCTAATATGTATGTAAGTGTAAGGTAGATAGCAACACTTAAACATAACACAAATGCATTAATTGTTAAAATTTTAAAATGCTTAGTTAATTAAATAGACGTGTGTAACACATTAATAAAACTGGTTTTGTAGGAATATATTTTATACAGAGATTCTTAGCAAAGGTATGTTTAAAAATAATGAAAACTAAACTAATTGACTAATCCAATAATGGATGCTTCATTCAAGTCAATAAAACTTGATACAGTTAGTAAAAACAGTGGTAACAATACCAAAACAATCTTTCTGGACAGAAATGATACTGTGGGTGCAGTTAACGTCGTGGAGTATTACAAGAGGTTACCAGTAACATGACTAGGAATAAATTACTTAATCTCACATTAAAAGCAGTGTAAACTTAAAAGAAATATTACTTAAACAATTCTTAAAATGTTGAAGAACAACAACATATATTTAAAATAATAAAAGTAAAGACTTTTAGCTTGAATCAGACAGGGAACCTGGTAAGCCTCAAAACAGTGTAAGAAAATGTTATTCCACAGATAAATATTTTAATGCTCTGATTCCATATTTCTTGGAAAGATCTCTCTGGAATTCTCCTTTAAGCACCTTTAAACATCTGAAAATAGATATTTAAGTTGCACCCACTGATACATTTTTTCAATATGCTGAAATGTAACAACTAATAGCATTAACATTAAACATTTTATATCGAAGACTAATATTTTGGGAACAGTCAATCTACTTATCAATATTTGGAAAACATTTTCAAAATGTAGCCTTAAGTTACTTTGCAAAAAATACAGGCAACATCTTTATAGACTTTAAGAAGGCATTTGACAGCACATGGCATGCTACACTGTGGGCTACAATGCACAAATACAACAGACTTTGTAAAGAATTTGTACGAGAGAGCAACCAGCTCAGTAGTTTTCAACAACACAGGTGATTGGTTTAGAACTATGGTTAATGCTAAATAAGGCTGCTTGATCTCTCCCATACTTATCAACATCTTGATCTACAAGGTAAGGATTATGGCTGACACATTGGAATCATTGCAGACAGATTATTATCAATTTATTCTTTGCTGATGCCATTGTAGGCAGTGAAAGCAATTTGATAGAATTAGTAGACCAGTTAGAGGGAACAAATCATCTGGCATGAAAATCAGCATAGGGTCATGACAAACAACTAAAATGACAAATATACTGATAAGAAGGTCCATGTCTTCAAGTATCTTAGTGCCATCTTATCTTATGATGGAACCAAGCAAAAAGTGCTTGCAAGAATTGCCCAAATGACAATAGCACTTAGCAAGTTAAGGAGCATTTGGTGGACAGAAAGACTTCTCTTGGCCCTTATGTCAAACTTATGCATGAGTAACTAGTCATGTCCATCTACTTTTATGAATGCGAGATAAGGACATGTAATGCAGACCTCCAGAGGTGGATCCAGATCCTATAAATGAGCTGTTTGCACAGACTTTTAGGGATCTCAAGCACTCACACAGGTCATATAATTATAACAGATGAAGAGGTCAGAGGAAGAATCACACATTGATTCACTCAGTGATTGGTCCTTTGAGAACTTAACAATTATCATCAAAAGAAAGAAACAGTGACACCATCCACTGATCTATCAAAGCTAATTATACTGGGCACTGTGCTAGGGGAAGAAGATGGGGGATGGCGATATCAGGGAATTGACTGGCCTGCCTGTAGCAGAATTACTAAAAGTAGTAAAAGCAGAAGAGATGGCAAAAATCATTTAAAACTCAACAGTTGTACCCCAATGATTGGCTGATTGATCAGCTTTCAACAAAAGAGAAACAAATTGTAACAATTTGAATATTTTACTAGCAGTTTTAAAAAACTAGCTCACTTTTAATAAAAAGTTAAGTTACGTTTGGATATTAATTTTGCACTTGGTTTTTTAAAAAAAAAAAAACAGTTTTTTTTATTACTTACTTTCTATACAAAGAACTCGACCTAAATTTGGCAATGTCAAAACTTGGAGCATGAGGCATGTGAATGATAAATGCATTTGGTAACACAACAAATTCATATCTGCAATAAGAAACAATACACCTTACAGACTGCATATAAGTTGGCACTCATATTTTGGCTGACAAAATAAGGTTTTTATTTAACTTTAAAATTTGTATGCTAATACTATTGATACATTTTAAAAGAGGGAAACAAGATTAATGGAGTCAAATAAAACTAACCCTTGAGCATCCAGTTCCATAATGTGAGACACCTTATTCCAACCAAAGCCCAGGAACCTCTGATCATACATTGGAATGTCTTTTCTTACCACTACATATGGTTCAAAATCTTGTTTCCACGACACCTAAACAGATACAAATACAAACTTAATATAACAAAAAATGAATAACTTTTAAGAAAAGTGTGTAAATATGTAATAAAAACTGAAGTATAAACTTTTTGCTTACAGTGTAGGGTGTGGTAGCTGTTCTCCATTTAGCAAAATTGGTTGGTTCATGGCCTTTTGGCCAAACATGATACCTAAAACAGAAAGAAGTTGTAAGTTAGACTACATTACAAGTATGTTTTTATTTTATTTTAATAATCAAATAATTTTCTAAATCTATATGAACCTGAATGTAAACAAAGTCCCCATATCCAACATAGATAAAAGTTCAGTTTTGGACTTGGGAAACTGTAGGCGATAACGCTGTGTCTCAAAAGCTGGAATCACCAAGGCCTGGAGGAAAATTAAAAAATCAAAGTAATAACTAAACACTTTTTTTTAATATAATGTGTAAAAGCTTGACAAATTAAATTTGATAGCTTCAAATCTTAAATTTGAAATAAAAAATATGATGATAGTAAAATAAACAAACTTTGTTTAGACCCAAATTTAAAAAAAAAAATCACATCATCAGTCATCTTTTAGAATATTTTATACCTTTTTCTGAGAGTTAAGATCTGCCATAGGAATAGCTTTCTTCAAATACTCATACAGTCCATACATTGGTAAAAAGTCAATGTCAGAGAGAAACATGTACGGTGTTTTAACTTGTGACATGGCAACATTACGCAAATAATTCACAGGGTAGAATTGCTGAGGAAATATTCAATACAGATGCATTAGGTTATTCAATTTTCTTGGTAAAACATTGAATGGAAAAGAGCTATCCCTCCAGTAAACTAGGATATCGACTGTAAATCACGTTCCGTCTAGTAATCTTTCACAGAAATAACTGGAAAAATATCTTTAAAAAAACTCACTCCTTCTCTATAGACTATATGATAACCTATGTTCTTGCGTGACATTATAGTTTCTGAGCCCATGGCATAGCGTAGAAACTGTTGGGCTTCAGCATCTGACATATAGAGTGCAATAGCTATTGGCCCCTCCCAGTGTTTACAGATCATTTCAAGCATCTGAGGAAAATTATTTAATTGAAATAAAAAGGGCTAAAAGTAATAAGTTTGAAATATGTCCATTACAAAATACAGTACAAATTTCTAACAAATATTGAAATTGTAAACAAGTTTAAAATTTCAGGTTTTAAGAATTAATATTGTTTAGGGGGGGTATAGGCACCTGTAATCTATCCATAGAAAGTTGTAAAACTAGAGTGACATCATCCTCACTGATGCTGCTTGTCTCTTTGTAATCCAAGTAATAAAGATGGGTGCGATGAACCAGTTCCCGCTCTGATCGAAAGTCATAGCAGTCATCATCCTCAAGGCGATCACTTGACTTAAAATAAACAACAAAAAATAAAATCAATTTTGCCTCTACTACATTAACTTCTACATTAAAAGTATTACCTTGTTCCATGAGCTTAACTATATATAATGTATAATACTGAGTGGTTTAGTCATTTGTAAATTAGTAAATCTAAAAAATACTGTAATTCAATTATTAAAATACAATTTAAGTAGTCATGCTTAAGAATAAATTTTTAAACTGACCACAACATCCTGGGTCTGATTTGATGTACCATTTGAACAACCAAACAACTCTTTCCTCAGTAAATTCCCATCATATTCAAGGAATGTAAGGTACATGTTGCGGAAAAACTCCACATGTTTGTTTTTAACTTTTAATTTCATGGGTGAATTCCAGTGGATAATCTGATCACAAATAAGCAAAAGGTTTATAGTTTTAATATCTATAGTTTAAACCTACTTGATAGATTTGTAAGGATATAATCAACTGGAAAACAATGTGTCTGGAACACACAAAATAGAAAAATAAAATGAAATAGACTAAAAACTCACTTTAAGATCTGAAGCTTCACTGTAACACTGTTCACTCTGTGTGTTCATACTCAGCTGAACATTCCACTGACAAGGTAATCTATAAACTAAATAGTCATGTTGCTTGATAACTGCATTAAAAATATCCTAAAAAGATGAGAAATTTTTTTTTTTATTTATTTTTTTTTTTTTTACATATACAAACATTTATAAAAAATAAAAACATGTGATGTGAAACATTTTGCCAATTAGGGTACAGAATTATTAATACAAGTTTAAATGTAAATTTTAATCTTCAATTCATAGGAATAATTAATGTACACTATGGTTTGTTTGATTTTACAATCCAGACGAAAAAAATTTCAATTGAAATCCTATGTAAAATTGATTTTCTAAATGTGAGCTTAACCACAAGGTTGATTTAGATTTAGCTTAAATTATTGTACTACTCTATAAAAAAAATAGTGTTATATGCTCAGTGTTTCTTCCCGACCTTTTTCTCCGGGGGGAGGGGCACTTGAAATTTCCGGGGGGGGGGGGGGGGTAGACTTTCTTCAGGGGGGCGGACACTATTAAAAGTATATATTTTCTATATAAATTATATAAATTTCATTTCGTGGGGCTTTCTCTGTGTGCTAAAAGCTACCTGATCAGCTAGTGAAACTGAAAGTATGCTCATCAATTCTTTCTCTGCAATTAATCTCCACATCTGCATCCACCCTATCTCACGTAACATTTTCAAATCTAGAAGAATAACACCTGTGTTGAATCCTCTTCCCTAATACAATGGAAAAATGTTATCAAATATTAATGATCTTAATCTTTTGATATTATATACACAAAAGTATAACTTACAAATTAATAAGGAATAAAAAAGAATAATTATATCCAAATTTTTAACACAATAAATTAAGAGATACATGTAATTCATGTGCTTAATGGACAAAATAAAAACATGAACAGAATTCATTTAGATTTAAGAAAAAATTTTGATGTATAAAAAATCCTATTCAACACTCATTTTATAAGTAAATATATAATTTAAAATAATATAGCTTGCCAATGCTGGCCAAGGGCGATGATTTTTCCATAACTTTCCCAAGTACCAATCACTTTGATTTTCAACAAGACCAATTGCCTGTATTTGATAGAGTTAAATGAAAATTATTTAAAATATGAAAATAAATAGGTGTAAATAATATTAAACAACATAATTAAAAATAATATAAAAACATAGAAACTTTTATTTTCTTAAAATTATATAACCCAAATTCAAATAAAGTAAATCTGTTTACCACATATATCATTCAAAAGTTTATGCTATTCATTATTTTAAATAAAAGTAAGCAAAAACAACATTTGAGATGAGCAAAGTTGTGCACTAAATCCATTATGACTATTTAGAACAAATTTTATGCACACCTGTTTACCCCTGAGGACTCTAAATATCTTCCACAACTCAGCTATATCTGTGGCAAATGTAACATCAGTATCTAAAACTATGACCTGAAAGTATAAGCATTTGTCTTCGATAAGTTACTTGTTCCTTCTTAATAAAACATGATAAAAACATTCAAAAGAATGAAATGTTACATTACCTTTGAATTAAAAAAAACAACTTGTTCTTACCTTATTCATAGAAGCTGGCAAGGTTTTAGGGAGCGTGAGTTTCATAAGACCATAAACGCCAGAGTAGTGCCGGTTAGGTATCCAGGAAATGTCAGGCTTGAAAATTAAAATTTAAAACGTGAAATATAATTTGTTTGAAAAAGTAGTAGAAGTTAATAGTAAATGTAAATTTCCACCCTCAGATCAGTATCAGTTTATTTAATTAGGTAACCGTAATTATTTTTTGAAAAATAATTGATAGCAAAATAATTGAAGAATAAACTGCCTTTACCTTTACAGAGTCTGCAGGATAAAAACTCACTTGTACTGTGGATACAAATGGGTTTGTTTTATTTTGTTGATTTATATTTCACAGACAGAATCAAAGACAACTATTATGTTCAGGTTCAAGTTAAGTCTCACCTTCTGCAATACTCCATGTCTGAAATAATTTTCTTAGTATTATCTCAGCCACATCATCGGACAAAAAATGAAAATGTAATGGGTTCCTCCGATAAAATAAAACTGATTTAATTAAAGTCACAACATCTCTTGTTGAGTTATGGCCAGCACACACAATGGCCACATGAATAACCTGTATGAAAAAAATGGGGGAAAAAAGGAATTCAGAATTATATTATATATAAATTATAAATCTTTTTAAATGTATTTTGTTCTCTATTCAAAATTTTTTTAAAATTCTGAATGAAAAACATTACCTCACATTTAGGAACATCTGGTTCAGCATTGACACATTTAATTTTACCAGAATTTGTTGAATCATTTGTGGCAGCTAAAGTCATCTGAAGTCTGAGTAATTGATTTTGATTTTGGCTGAATAAAAAGCAAAATATAAATAAAATTGAAGAAAATATTGCACATATTATATTATAAGAAAGTCACTTTAATAATAACCCCGGAAAGCAAATTAAACAACAAAATATACCTCAACTGTTTACGTAGCATCACATTTTGTTCCTCTACCTCATGAACTCTTTCTAGAAATTTCATCTCTACTGGGCTAACAAGCAATTTTTCTCTGTATGATGATGAATATACATCTGGAGAAAATATTAGATCATGGACATATTTACTCAGTATTATTACCTTAAGAGTGGTATTTAAAAATTACAAAAATCATTATGGCAAACAATTTTCTATACAAAAATAATAAAAATGAAGTGATTGCTAAATCTATTGTCAGACGTAGCTAATATTTGGAACGAGCCGGCCCGCGGCACATCATACGCCGCTATTTAGTTGTTGTTTTTTCTACTTTTCAGTAATTCATAATTTGAGAATTTGACGGTACCAATGCTGCCACTGAAAATATTTCTTTAAAACACTATAAGTCGCACGTTAAGGACCATAACCCCCCCGTCCCGTCACCCCTCCCCCCTACGTTTAAAATCGCTTCAAACTAAATTATCTGCCCCTAATAGTCGTCACTAGACCCGACTCTGTTTATAAACATTTAGAGTGAACACAGCTCACTAAGACCATGTAGGGGTGGGGGTGGTAGGGAGCACGTTTACAGCTTGCTTTCTAGCGTCTCCCAGAAGAGAATTATATATATATAGATTTTTGTATTTTGTGACTTACTTTCTTCATTAGCCAGCATGTACAACATGAAGGTAACAGGAAACGCACCTAACACTAATATAGCTATAAGAACTTTCTTCCTTGGCCGAAACATCTGAAAAAGCATTTAAAGATTCAAAACCTTAGCTCTACATGTTTGATTCATAAGCTTTAAAGACTAAATATTTTTTTAAATTCTGAGGAGCTTACAGATGATTTACTCTGAAACTACAGTCTCCGCAAACATAAGCTATCCAATAGATTTATTGTTGAGAAGACAAAGCATACCTTTTGATTCATTGTTTTTCAGCTGTCAGTTAGGGACATCATTAAAATCTCAAAATTGCTCCAATTGAGAATATCCTTTGTTGTGAGTTCTATAAACATGAATAAGCTTACTATACAAGTAATATAGATTTAAAAAATTAAGTAATGTCATAAAAGAGTAAAAGAAAAATAGTAGTTTGGGTCAAGATCAGGCAGACAAATTATTTTAGTACAGCAATACCAGCAACATTTAAAACTGAATGTGTCATTTTAAAGCTAAGTAAATATTCTGATCCTAATCCTACCCTTGTAACTGCAATAGACTATCCCCCTGCCCTATAGGCCTATACTAACAGGCTGGACTAAGATTTGCTAAAACTTATGCATATTGCCATGCCCGATGCCTATAGGCCTAATTTAGTAATTACTAATTAGATCTAGATCTAGTATTAATTAATAATTACATTAGACATCAATTTTTAACTCACAGCAATAGGCTAGGTAGGTAAATAGGGTAATCTATCGTTTTGGGTACGTAAAATCGCCCGCGGCTAGTAATGTACGAAAAAGTTACCTCATTGTCAAGGCTTTTAAAAGTATATTTTCATATATTTGTGTCAAATATTATAGAAATGAATAATAAACCTAAATCAATAGCTAAGTATATCAATATAGGCAAGAAATTAACTTTTAACAGCAGTGTTTGTGAGCAGGATTTCCTATATACTATATAAACAGCAGCCATTTGTAAAATAGAGTTGCCTTCCCCTGAATCTCCCGCTATAAGTTAACGTAGAAAGAACTTAAACAAGATGGCTGCTATAGTAAATGAGCATGGTTGCATCTGTTGGAAACATCGCTCGTCTTCATTTATTACTGAAAAGTTTTAATTCAATTGTTTGAAAACAGGTACATAAATGAAACAAGGAAACATTTCTGTATTTTTCAAAACATAAATCCTCCTCAAAATGTGAAATAATTATTAAAATTTAAGGAGTCACCTGTTTTTCACATTACTAGTCGCGGGCGATTTTACGTACCTAAAACGATAGATTACCGTAAATAGTAACATTAGAGATTATTATCTTGAGATTTAAAAAAAAATGTCTGTTAGTGTTATATAATTTATAGTATAATATATATATATAGTGTTATTGCATCTGATGAAAACATTGCTAGTCTTTATTTTTTACTGAAAAGTGTTAGCCTAATAATAATTTGTAACTTTCAAAAATATAATTTATAAATCCTCCTAAAAATGTGAAGGGTGATCTATTTGGTTTTTGGTTAGATCCCTAGAAACTAGTCTAGATTTCTAGATCTAGATCTATATCTATTCCACAACCGATAGGCTTACCTTCGACAGCAGAAAACAGATAAGAACCAAGGTCTATAACTCAACATTACATTTAGAAGAGTTAAGAGTGACCTTTCTTAATTTTATTAAAGTTTCAGACTTTTGTTAAACCTACATTTAAATTTATAACAAAATCTTTACACGTGAATTTAATTTTAATAATAGGTCTAATTTGAAGCGATTGTAGGTGTATTATTATAATTATTTCTCATAATTTGAGCAAATATATAGATCTATAAACTATATAGATATAGATCTAGATCTAGGGCAATTCTAGGGCCTATAGAATATTGATACGGGTCTACTAGAAATCTTGGTAATCTATCGTTTTGGGTACGTAAAATCGTCCGCGATTTGTAATGTGAAAAACAGGTGACTCCTTAAATTTTAATAATTATTTCACATTTTGAGGAGGATTTATGTTTTAAAAAATTTAAAAATGTTTCCTTGATTCATTTATGTACCTGTTTTTAAACAATTGAATTAAAACTTTTCCGTAATAAATGAAGACTAGCGATGTTTCCAACAGATGCAACCATGCTCATTTACTATAGCAGCCATCTTGTCTAAGTTTTATTTTTATAAGCTTTTAGCGCCAGATTCAGGGGGAAGCCACTCTATTTTACAAATGGCTGCTGTTTATATAGCAAATCTTGCTCTCAGACACTGCTGTTTAAAGTTAATTTCTGGCATATATCGATATATTTAGCCATTGATTTAGGTTTATTATTCATTTATCTATAATATCTGACACAAAAGTATGACAATATACTTCTATTAAAGCCTTGACAATGAGGTAACGTTTTCGTACATAAATAGCCGCGGGCGATTTTACGTACCCAAAACGATAGATTACCGAAATCTTATGTATTGAAAAATACTTTTTCGTGTGCTAACATTTTTTTAGCCAATCGTTTTCTTAGAAAAGTAGATCTAGGGTAAGCTAGTTCATAGCCGTGGCCTATCTGCTATCTGGTGTATCACACTAAAATGACAGACATTCTACAAAACTTGTACCAAGAGTATAAAAATGCAATCAGCAATAACTATACTGCTATTGCCCAGTTTGAGTCAGCATTTCGACTGGTTTCTTATGTCATAGCAGGTAGCCTACATGATTTTACCTTAATACTAGTTAATAGTTAATGGTAATCTATCGTTTTGGGTACGTAAAATCGCCCGCGACTAGTAATGTGAAAAACAGGTGACTCCTTAAATTTTAATAATTATTTCACATTTTGAGGAGGATTTATGTTTTGAAAAATACAAAAATGTTTCCTTCTTTCATTTATGTACCTGTTTTTAAACAATTGAATTAAAACTTTTCAGTAATAAATGAAGACTAGCGATGTTTCCAACAGATGCAACCATGCTCATTTACTATAGCAGCCATCTTGTTTAAGTTTTTTTTATAGCGGATATAGCGCGAGACAGGCGGAAGTCACTCTATTTTACAAATGGCTGCTGTTTATATAGCAAATCTTGCTCGCAAACACTGCTGTTTAAGGATAGGCACCACGGATAAAAATTTTTTTTTTATTTAACACATTTCTGGATGTTTAATAAGTTCATATAATTATAGTTGTTAAACTATAGACAAAAATAATATATAGCCGTCAATAGCAGTACTGGTTGCCATGGAAACAGCGAAAAGGTGTGAAAACTAACACCTTTTCAAATCGCTAAGGCTTTGTTCCCATAAGAGATTTTTAAAAACGGATGAAAGATTTAGATTTCTCAAACCAAACTATACATTTCTACGTTTACTCATTGCGATAGCTTGTACTCAATTTTTTATACAAATTTTTACGTAAATTTATGTACAAAAATTAGGGGGTGGTGTTACAAAAATATCAATATTTCCTTAAGTATTGTAGTAAACTTAATGTACAAACGTAGTTTTGTAGATGGTATAATGCTGAACGCACGTGGAATGTTTTATTCTTGTATGACAAAGGGTTCCAAAGCCTTAGCGATTTGAATGTCGAATTTTGAGTAAAAATGCAAAGTTGAGAAAACGTGAAAAGAAGAGCGGGAAAAGGCGCGGTGCGTTTTCTCTTATAGAAAACAGAAAAAAATGTCTTGTTATGTGTGGAAGAACCATTTGTCTAATAAAATACGCTTTGATTTATGTTGTAAGCTTTAGATAGATTTTTTCTATGTAAGCAGAAAATATGTATACAACAGGTAATGAATGTATGACTATTAAGTATTACACATCCTATCAATCTAGCGGTATTCTCAGAACAGCTATCATCAAACCAGATAAAGTTTTGTTTGTTAGCCGGTCTTCTCACTTCAAAACAATGTCTTTCTCTACTCAAATTGTAGCTTACACAAGTTTATTTCCTTATGATAATAGCCTACAACACAACACTGGGTACAACGCTTGAGGCTAGACACGCCCCTCCACCCCATCCCACCGCTGGATAGTGCGTGAGGAACCGATGAGCCATAGATTACCAATGTTCATTCAACCGTGAATAACACATCTGTGTAGATAGGGTCAAGTACAGGGCCTAAGTGAATGCTTCCCAGCTATCCTATCTACTACTATCTAGTATTTACATTCGTTGCTAGCACACCCTATACGGAGAGATGGGCATACACATTAACACATGTGTCGTATACAGTCCGGTGTAAAGCCTGATGAACGCGTTCAAGCCTATCACAGCATGCCGTAACAAGATTATAAACCGGCCGTTGGTTGAATGGCGAGAAGGGAATGAAGGGGGTAAAGGGGATGGACAGTACATTCTTCAAACTGATAGTCATGTCCATGACGCATTGTTTTAGCTTAGTATAATTTTAAAGCGTACGCAACAGTGTTTAATATTGTTCCAGTGATAATCAACAGTACATTTCTAGGCAAAGTTTCAATTATTAAACTTAATGTTGTTGTATAACTTTAAAACAACAAATAGAAGAGTATACGCAAATGAGGTAAACAAACGAGACAGGCGATTGTTTTGTTTATCTAGAAACAAGATGGCTGCCTAGCACACGTGGTTAGTTGCAGCCTATCGTGAATTATTTTGATTTTCTGTACTATAATATGATTGGTCAAGCGTATCAATGAACCTCTTCCCATTCATAAATTTTACGCGCATGCCCTTATATGGAGTTTAATATAAAAATTTACTTTGTAGAAAACAACTTCTATCCTAATTATTTTTAGAACAAAAGAAAAGGTCACTACACCAGCGGGTACACGAGTGCTTGGCCCTTAGATTGATGTAAAGTTTATGGTGCCTCGCGGGCAATAAATGATGTAATACCCGCTCGAAGATAGCCGCTGTCCGCGTAGTAGTGTGAAAACTTGCCGGGGGGTACCATGTTTCACATCGCAATAAACGGATAACCGTAAGCTGTAGAAGTCCGAAATGTTCGGGTTAGATAGATAAAAGGTATTAGTATCGAATTAAGAAATAAAAATTTTGGGTAGCAAAATTAACATTTTATCGAAAACATGGGTATCTTGTTCCCTTAAAGTTAATTTCTGGCATATATTGATATATTTAGCCATTGATTTAGGTTTATTATTCATTTATCTATAATATTTGACACAAATATATCACAATATACTTCTACTAAAGCCTTGACAATGAGGTAACTTTTTCGTACATTAATAGCCGCGGGCGATTTTACGTACCCAAAACGATAGATTACCTAGTTAATACTTATTACTTTTCAGTACACGACAGCCTCTGCCCCCCCCCCCCCCCCCACTTTTTGCGATAACTTTTACTTTAGTGATTAATTAGGCCCTACTTAGTGTTTAACTGTCTAAAGTCTAAAGAAATCTAGACTAACTTTAGTTTCAGATCTAGATATCTTAATCCTAACACAGTAACAATTAAATAATATGTGAATATAGACTTAACAAAAAGGAGAGAGATAAGCCTACTGAATCACTACTGATAATCATACTTAACTAGATCTAGAATCTAGATCTACTATTCTAGTTCTAGAAATCTAGTACTACACTAGCTTAGACTACTAGATAGTAGAAGTACTACTCAACTAACTACTTACTTGAACTAAAACCAGTCCCCTAACAATCATGAATAAGTACTCTACAACTTATAAGTGGGCTGTGTGTAAGTTAATAGTTTACTCTTTAGATTTAGATGTAATTAGTATTCTAGTAATTAAATTAGATCTAGAATCTAGATTTCTAGACCCCAGATTAGATAAGTACTAATTAAGTTTCTAGTTAGTTATTAGAACTAGTAGCCTAACTGACTGTAACAACTAGATCACCTTTAGGCCCTGCCCTACCTACCCCAATTCTGTGTTTATTTTAATTTTATTTTAAAATTTTTGTGACATTGTATGCATTAATTAGGTGCATCCTATGTACTATGTATGCCTAGCCTATAAGATTTAAATGAGCCTTTAGTTGTTGGTTTCATTCATACCATCTATGCCAGGGGTCGGCAACCTGCGGCTCGCGAGCCGCATGCGGCTCTTTTGATATCAAGATGCGGCTCTCCAGCTCCTTGCACAAATACTGAGAATCTTAATAAAAAATAAAATATTTGAAATAAAAAAAATGTTAGTGGCTCTTTAAAACCAGGGAAATTTTGAAAATTGTAACTTTTGGCTCTTCCGCTTCAAAAGGTTGCCAACCCCTGATCTATGCCATTTCACTCTTAATTTTGACATAATTAATATATATTTTAGGTCGATTTGAAGATTCAACAATCCTCTCAGAACTTTTATATTCAGCTTCAAACCTTCTTATCTTATTTAATGATGCCATCATAAAGAAAGCTTCTGGTATACTTCCTAAAGTTGTAAGTCATAATCATTTGCTTTGTGAAAAGCTATTTACAAGAAACAATATTAACTTAGATTTTAAAAATTTCTTTTTGTGTGTGTGTGACTTGGATATTATAATAGTGTTGTTTTTTTAAATTACTTAGATCTAGATTTAGTGAGTGAAATGTTAAAATACACCCAGATTAAATTTCCTCACCAGTATTTTCTTTTATGTTGCAGTCAGCATCACAGGAGCGACTACAAAGTCTTGTGACAATCCTGGAATATGTTGGTGTATTTATTGAAATAACAGCCCAGAGATTGTATGGTGACATTGGCAAATGGGTAGCCATTACTGTCCTACAAATTGCAAAGTAATTATTTTATTGTCAAAAGTTTTTACCTTTTTTCTATTTATATAATACTCTTGCATGATAAATAAGAAAACTTTATTTTTCTCCTGGAATTAAGAAAGATTTTATGTTTCTCACTAGATCAGTATGCCGTTTTCTGTTGTTTGTTAAACATGAAGTAGGGATTCAAGCAGTGCCGCCTCTCTCGCCTATTGATAGAGAAGCTATTCTTAAAGAGGCTGTAGCGCAGAAACAGAATCAACCCACATTGGTAAATAGTTTATATTTTTAGTGTAAAATTGTACTGGGCTTAACCCTTTGAGCCCGCCAGGCCGGTAAACCGGCTTCAACATTAGGCATATATCTCAGAAAAGCCGGTTTTCCGGCCCGATGATCTAGCGTCATATTCCTAGCGGCCGGTATACCGTCTAATTAAATATAATTAGCGGAAGACTGACTAAAACTGCGCATATGTCTTTTGTGTGCGGGCGTATGATTTTAAAAATTGATTTTTAGGAAAAGTGAAAGTGAAAGTGTTTACATTTCGTAGCAATGCCGCCGAAACGAAAAGCTGAGCTACAGCCGTCGACTTCATCACATAAAGTTGGTGCAAAAGACCGAAATATCAACAAAAGAAGTAGAATGACTGCATCTCAGGCAATACAATTACTTATTGATTCTGATGAAGAAGATAATATTCCTGGTCTATATTGTGATGATAGTGACGGTGAATTTGAGACTGAACACAGTGACATTGAAATTGACTGTGACAATGAAACTGTTCAAGTACGTTCTGATGCACGTGGTGTCAAGGACAAAGACTTGCCGAAACGAAAAAAAAAAAAACATGCGAATTTTTTCTTTGCATCGGGTCCGGCAGTGATAACTGTTTTGAAAGTTATCACACAAAAGTGGACTTCTGGCGATGAACTAGTATGGCCAGGTATCAATAAAAACAAAACAATTACTAAATGTAAATTGATTTCTTCTATCTTTTATCAAAACAATAATTATGTGTTCGTTTTATATACACTGTTCTGTTCAAACATTGTAAAAAAAATAAAGTATTTCAGAATCTTGCTGCATTGTTGTTTGATCCTGAGTCTGGATACCAAATTTGGCTTGATTATCTCAAGCGGTTCAAAAGTTATAGGCAAAGTTAGAAGCAGATTAGTGAAAATCGGTTTGGGCCTGGGAGCTCAGGAAATAGGAGAAATTAGGTCAGGGAGGCCAGGGCTCAAAGGGTTAAACATAGCTGTATGCAAATAATGTAAAATATTTGTTGGATGTTTTTCATTTTTACGTATGTTATTACTGTAAAATTATTTGAGAAGAAAAGCACATAGCATTGCTATACTGTATTTAATTAATTAATTTCTAAAAGTAATTTATTATTTCTTGTTTCAAGGAAGATGAACCTGCCTTACAACAAACTAGTTCAGCAAAAAATGGCTCAGTTCCCTCTGTGACATTCACATTGAAAAGATCAGGAAAATATATGAGGTCATTGACAGCAGGTGTGTTGGTATTTTCTAATGTATTGCTGTGCTGATATGTGTTTCTATATATTCCAGATGTGATTGAATAAAACTGAAGAGGCATAAAACAAAATACTTGACCATACTTTACTTCAGAATATTCAGCTGAGCTTTAAATGAATTCTAATAATCCCAGTAAATTAAAATACTTAATGAGTAATGACAAAAATGAAATATGTTAAATTCATAGATTTAACTTGGAACATGTTATGTGTGATAGAAAAGTCATTGAATTTTTTTTTATGTAAGTAAATAACACTGCTGATTAAATTGTAAGAGATATTTATTTTCTTTTCTGTCAAAATATTTTTTGTTAGCACCTCCAATGAAATTACGAGATTGGAAATTACCAGAGCCTCCTCTTTGTACAACTAAAACCCTTAGAGAAAATCACAAGCCTACAAAGTTATCTCGTTCACAAGCATGGGGAGAATGCCTCTACATATTCAAACCACTTATTCATTGTATCCTTTACCATATCCAAATTAAATGTGTCAAAATCTTATAAATGCTGTTATTCAAGTCTAACAAACTTGTAACTCGTTTCTTGAGGTAAAACAATTCCACTTTTTCCATGTTTGTTCACTTAACACCTTGACCTATTATAGTAACAAGTTTATATCTCTGTGGGATTTCATCTTTCAAGCCATTGCTGCTCTCCTCTGGCCTTGATGTCACTAGGCAAGTTGATTACTCAGAGTATTTAATGCATTAATGTTTAATTTTAGTACAACATGTTTTCTTTTTCTTATATATATTCTTGATTAATGTGTGTTGATCAAATAAAATTTTTGACATATATAACTAAACAAAACGATAAAGTAATCATATTGTACTGTATAAATATATTTGTTCTAAAATTTATTTTGGATTATTCAACAGCTTATATTTGATAGGTGAATCTAGAGATCTTAATAAGCAGGAGCAGGCAGAGTTACGTAGGAGATCATTGATGCTAGTCATGTATTTACTGCGCTCACCTTTATATGACTGCTACACAAAGTAATTATTTAATATTTGAATAGCGCATTAATTTTTGTTGGTGTTAGGTCCTGTGATCTATGCATATACCTTAACTTAATGGATTAAAAATATCTTTTTTCAGAAAAAAACTATTGGGTTTGTTGAGAGGATTGGCCAACACAGTTCCTGGCATTTCCATCATTCTTGGTAAGTTAAACTGCTAGTAGCAAGATAATTATAACTTCTAAAAAACAGCAGTTTTTTTTTTTATTTCGATAATCATCAGAAAAAATATAGTACCTAGTTTCCTTCATTAATTGTACTCGTGGTTTACCTCTTTATTTGAAAATGTTATAATTTGTAGAATTGTTCTTCCCAATTATTTAATATGGTTGGATATTTGCACCCATCAGGGTTTTTTTTCCAGTATGGGTCATCCATTAATGACATCTACAAAATTCCACTTTAGTTGACACATGGGGAAGAGGGAGGGTTGTTTTGGGTCAGTGTGGTATATCTAACATCAAAATACTTATATGTTACAACACTTAAACACTTCTATGATTTACATTTTTTTAAAATTAGCACTGATTGTATTTATATAAATACAGTGAGTAGGTCTAAGTGATGAATGTAAGCATAAATAGAGGTTATGAACTCAATTTTGCCTTACAACATATTATAATGTGTGCTGCTTCATAAAATAATACTTTTGAAGCTTTCCTTTCCATGCAAAAATAAACAAGTTACATTCCAATATTTTGTGTAGATGTCATAAATGGATGCATTAACTTCCCCTGATTTTTAATCAAGTATTTTGCTGTAACATTTGAACTGACATAAAAATTACATTTGTAGTTTTCTTACTTTTAAACAAAAGATTGCTTAGTTTTATATCTTCATTTTAATTCAGTTCCACTGATGGAATATCTACCTGTATGGCAGAAGATCTACTTCTACACATGGTCAACATAACAGCATGCACTTTCAAAGTTTTAATTTTTTATTTTGAAATGAATGCACAAAGTTTTTAGGTATTTAATTAAGAACATAATTATGAAAACATAAATTAGGTTGGTTGGAAACATCTAATGCTTTGATTTTTATTGCATTTGTTAAATTCCAGTGAAAGTCCTTTACATTATATTAATGAATGTCTTGTTGGTGATATGTTTGTGATACCTTAAAGTGTTAAATTTATTTACATTTCATTTACTTACATTTATAAAATAAATATTTTCTTATTTTTTATAGCTATTAAAACCTCAGTACATCTCATCTATAACTAAAACAATAAATGTGCTATGAGATTCAGACATCTAAACTCTTTATGAAATGTAATATGTTTTTGTTTCTTAAACATTTTAAAAGATTTATGTTTCTTAAATATTTTGATCAATACTAATTCCAAAGCCATCTATAAAATTGATACTTTTGTCTTACAAATAATAATAATAAGGTTAATTACTTGGCTTGCAAAGTAATGAGTTTAACTTGTGTCTAAACTAGATAGGTTCAGTGATAAGAATTTTTTATTTATTTATGTGTTTGAATTATTTCTAAATTCTGATTTAAAATGATAAGTTTTTAACTTTGGAACAATCCACTAAATAAAATAGATTTAACTTTAAAAAGTTTGTATTCAGTGATGAAAAAAAAATAACTTTACAAAAACTTGAAATGTGTACATATTTTGTGCCTTTATGTTTTTGTCAGTGTCAAACCATGCTGCTTCAACTGTTGGATTCTGCTAAAGCATTTCAAGTAGAGATAACTGTTTCACTTAAATAAATCTCCATTTTTATGCATTGTAATTAGCTTTTTCTTCTGATATTCTTTCAAAACACTATTCAGAAAAAATTAATTTGTTTGTGTACATTTCTGTAATCATGTTACCATGTTATTTGAATAAAAGCAAATAAATTGTAATACATTTTAAATATGCATATATGTATTTGTGAAGTATATTTCATTTTTTATGTAAATGCAGCCGACTTAAAAAAATTATTTTATATGGAATAATAGTTTGTTTCTCATCCAACAGCACAAAAATTAATACAAAAATTGAATCAGGACTGCATAAAGTAATCACTATGAAATAACTGCTTGAAGAAACTCCAGATTCTCTGTTCGAACACTTGTTTGATAATCCTATTGTGCCACTCAACATTTGTATTTACTAAGTTAAGACTTATAAAACTATTTTATTTGTGAACTGAGTAAATCTAGCAATGGTTGATATAGCATTTACGCTCTTCCTTGTGAGTTACATCAGGGCCTGCTGCTAAATTTTACTACCTGTCACCATGACCCAATGTCACCAGCAGCCATGGGTCAGACTGCAGTTTGTAAACCATCCCTGCTCAGCAATTTAGTGTCCCTATGAGTACTTTGACACACTGCTCTTTTAGCTGAACTGTCAGTGCAGTAATTTCAGGGGAGATAACTGTCATTATCTGCTTTAGAGGAAATCTAAATTGAGGTGTTGTAGACACTGGCTTCATGTATTGTGATTGGAGTATAAAAATACAGTATAAAACTTTCACTATTAAACCATAAGATATATTTAGTGAGGCTTTAAATAGTTATGAAAAACAAACCACATTTAAAGGGTGCAAAAAAAAAACCTCTTGTTGTATTTCTGTTAGTAATAAATTGCTCTAACATTTATTAAAGTAAACCATGTTTTTCTCAAAGTGAGACTTAACACAGATCTAGATCTTTATATTAACTGTAGTATGAGAGCTTAAAATATTTACAGTGAAATTAGTTTTCAAAATGGATAGTAGGAAAATGTTTAGATAGGGCCTTCTCATCGTTACAAGTTTATAGGGTAATTTGATATCAATAAAAGTTGATGTTAAAACTTTGCTCGGATAACTTTCACAGTGATACCAGTACAATAAGATATCTTATATACAGATTACAAAGGAAAATTTTTAATGAATTTTTTCCAATTACCTAAAATGACTTTTAACCGACTTTTTGATTCTCCAAATAATCATTGTTCATGTCCATTTGAGCCTAGCATAGAGAAAAATCAACTTTCCACAATTACAAGGTAAAAAGATATCACTTAATTTTTTATTTATGTAACTAGTTAAAAAAAACAACTGCACATTAAAATCAATTTTATTTTGTAATCAGACAAATGTTTATACAATGCTATTTAATGACTCAAATTTCTTTGTACATATTTTACTATTTATTCAAATTGTTTACATGTTAATAATTAAAGATGATTGTTAATTTTAGTCTTAAACTGCTTAGTTTGACAAAACATCTAAGTTGACAGCAATTAAATGTTCAATGCAAAAATTTAATCAATTGATTTAAAAAATATAATAGTCTTGTTTATTTTGCTGTAGCATATTCATATAGAAAATGAAAGTTAAAATATACAAGAAATGTATACATAGAGCCAACAAAGATTAAATGGCCTCTAATAATAATTAAAGTAATCCTGTTTCATCTATAATTTTACCATAGAATAGCATCCTCACACGCATTTTACAAATTATTAAACATGTAATTATAAATCAACTTGTATCTAGGCACATGTTTTCAAAGCTAAAGAAATATTACTTTCTTTAAAAGGAATATAAACAATCTTTCTTACTATTACAATCCATCAGGATTTAAGAGGTGGAATGCATTCATTCTGGTATTCAGAAAAGTATAGAAAATTCTTACAACACACCCACATATTATATATATATACACATATGTATAGATCTATATATATGTATATATAGACATAAATATATATTTATATGAAAATATATTATAAAGCACAAGACACTATACACATATTTTTGTGGTATATTTAAAGTTGTGTATGTGCATTAAAACATACTTTTAAAAAAAAATTGTGGTCGGTCTCAGCTAAATTCTTTCCAAGCAGTGGCTGTATAAAGATTAATTTTCAACCATGCATATAAAATATAATGTGTATATGACTCCATTTTTGTCATAAACATTAAGTGTGTAGATTATTAGCTCTTTAAAAATATAATTTATAAAAAATACTGGTCCCTTAGAATATATATTTTAGTAACACTACAAAAGTACATGCATTTTAAGCAAAAGTGCATGTATGGCATATTTTAATTAAATAATTGTAATGCTACAAGTAGAATTAAGAACAATTTCCCATGGTAATTTTTGTATAACATTTCTTTACAAAGACAGTAGTAAACAAAGGCCAATAGCTAAAAATGGTTTTTATTAAATTAAGAAAAGATGAACTTACTATTTGAAAGACAATCCAGGCAGGTGGTAAAAATGATAGCTGCTAGGGTTTTTTTTTTTTAGATAGATTTTAAAATTTAAAAACAAAATACTTATTTTATAATTTTATGCTAACAATTGTTTTTTTCATCAAATAAATAAATGAAAACTGTTAAAAAGCATGATTTTTTTTTTCACCAAAAAAAATCACTACCTATCTAATTTTTAAAATAACTGTCATATAAAAAAAATGTTTAAGTTGTATTGCAGAAAATATTTAGCATTAAAATTTTCAGTATTTAATACTTGGCCTACATTTTTATTATGCAACATTACAATGAATTTTCAACAATAAGGCATTTGAGACATGAAGCAGCAAGTAAAAAAAACGTTTAGCATATTTGATTTAACATCAATGCAATGCTTTTGCAAACTATTAGATGTTGAAGTTGAATAAACAAAACATGTTTGGTCGATAAATAAAAATGTAAGCAATTTAAAAAAAAAATATTTTTAACAAAACCATGTTTACAAATATGTGGAAAAAAAACAATTCAGTATATTATAACAAAATTTGGGATACAAAAATGTTCTCAATTTTTTAAATTATTAAGTTTCAATTTTATATTATAAATGAAACCTAGCAACTATCTCAAATATCTTGTACAGCTGGCAAGTCACAAACAAGCCAATCCAGACTATAGATTAAATCTTGTAATGAATTAAATGACTATGATATGACTAGATATGGGTATGATACATTTCATTGGCAATAGTGAAGTTGATGAATAAATCACATAAAGATTAGCATCTCCAAACAAACAAAAAATAATTAACAACTCTTTTACTAAAACAATTATTTCCAATATTATTTCAATAAAACAAATATTTTTTTTAAAAAGCTACGTTTTGTATATTTTTTTAAATTAAAAAACATTATGAGGAATAAAACTAATGAAGAATTATGTATTAAATAAATAAAAAGATTAAAATTAGAGATAATATATTATGTTCTATGTTATAAAAACTTTGTAATACAGTTAGCCTCTATTTTAGCAAGTAAGCAGAAATTAAATAGTAATTAATAAATATTCACATTCAAACTTGTTTTGAAGAAAATAATGATTTGATAGCAATAATTTGTTTTGATTGACACAATGGAAGCACAGCAGATTTTTTTCTTCAAAATTAATAATTGATAATAATTACATGAACAAAATAAATTTTATGAAACTGTTCTAAATTAGTAAATTTACCACAACTAGAACCTAAGTCTTGCATATATAATTCATATGTTTGTTTTTATAAAGAAATTCTATTTGAAAGAAAATTCTTTGATTATGCAATAGAAGCACTATAACAACAAGCAAAACATCCGTATACCGAAATGGGACAAGCAATTTGATAATGGTTAATTACAAATGCAAACATTTTTTAAAATTCCTACTTGGTATTTTCTTTTCAAACACTGTCCTCATAGGGACCCTCAAGTTGTACACAGTTCAAACCAGTTGATAGTTGTATGAAATAAATGGTCTTATATGTTTTATGTGAGTTTTTTTGTTTAAATGATGATGTAGTGTATAATGTGATAAAAAGAAAGAAAAAGCTGAAGAAGGAACTGAGATTATAACACCACTGTATGCTACTAGCACTCTATGTCCTCATCTGTGTAAACAGGTCTTCTGTGCTGGCCCTTGTTATCACTTTTGCTATCATGGTTCTGGTCTGTCTGTTTGGGTAGTGAATTCAACAAGTCAGTTGTAAAAGATCCCTGGCTACTTGTAGAAACAGACCTGTTCGCATTTTGGGGGCTAGTGCCATTGGAATGACTATGAGGTGTCCCATTTCCATTGGCTTTGAAGCTTGGGGGAGTTAGGGGTGGTGACTGTGTAACTGCAGGTGTTGCAGGGGGTGTTTCCTCAGCAACATAACTCAGATTTGGGACAGTGGATTTTGCAGGCAGCAGCTTTTCTCTCACTGAACTGAATCCTTCATCATCTGTAGAGTCATCAATGTACTTGATTTTCTCTTTATGATTTTTCATAAGTGGCTCTGCATAAAAGATATTTGATAATTAAAATTTGCATAAGCATTTCAATTAAATTTTCAAAAATGAACATTTTAAAATTTTAAACGAGTTTTTGTAAACATGGAAGCAATTTAAAGAACATGAAATTGATTTCTAAATATAATTCACAGCAAGTGCATAAAAATGTAAGTTATACAAAAAGAATGATATTTAAAATACTTTACTTCATCTATGACTTTAAATTGTATGGACTTATTTGGTTTATTTAAAAATAAAAAATCTGTCTAGCTATATTTTAAAATTTCAATTATAATAAAATGGAAGATTTGTACTTTAGCCATAAGCTATTTTAGGAGGTCTATGATAGACAAAGAAAAGTATTTACATTTTACTCATCTGTCTTTAATTAAAAAATTATTAAGTTTTGTGCCAACAGGCTGTTGATTAGTCCTACTAAATATTCATCTAAACAATGTATAATCCAAACTTCAGATAATGTTCATAGCACAACTTAAAATTACTTAACAAGCTGTAAGAAAAAAATATTGGCCTTTACTATTTCCTAAAGCAAAACCTAAAAATGATGTATAAAAAAAATGCAAAAAAGGTGAAAAAGCTGATCTTGGCTTCCCAATCATTTTATTTAACACTCTCATAATATAGCTAAAACAAGTTCCTATTAACTAGATCTATATTTTTTCTTCTTTAGTTGTAGTTTGTTACCAATGTAAAAATGAATATATTATAATTGTAGTAAAAAATAAAACCCAACTAATCTGTCTGTTAGCTATAGAGAAATGCTATTCCAACCCCATAAAACACATAGATTGGGAACCCTGGAACGGAAGCTGATAATAAATGCAAACAGGGTCTGAGAATAAAACAAAAATTACACCATAGACCCAAACAATTAAAGACAGATCAGCATTAGGTCTACAAAATTAAAAAAGTATTATTGCAAACCTAAAAGTATGCACTTAAAACTTGGGGGCTTATATTTATTGTAACTAAACAATTGCAGATTAGGTGCAAGTAAATGTGAGACAGTGGATTAGGCAGGTTATAACACCAACAAAAAAAGAATGACATAAATTATATATATATATATATATCCCTATAAGTGACATTTTTTTGAAACCCAACCCCACCCCTCCATTTCATCCTGCCTATGCCACTGCTGTCAGTTAAAGCTAATGCAAGTGATGTATGCTGGAAATGTCTGATTATTGTGATGATTTGGTCTTAAAAATAGGTTGTTATCAGTGGTATCTCTTTGGGGTTGCACTAGAACCATATAGAAAATATATAGGCCTACTTCAACCAGTGTACACCAACACCCCCACCCCCTATCTCTGCATGAAAGTTTAGCGCAAAGAGAGAAAAGAAAGAAACACTGAAAGAAACACAGATCAATGTTTCCCTTCGTCGAACACCCCCCCCCCCCTCAAGGCTCAATATCTAATTAGATTTTAGACCTACTACTACTAACACATTTTTTTAAAGGTGCACATAATAGCTTAGCGCCTTAGTAAGAAGACGGTAGGCCTATATTAAAACTCTTATGCTCAGAGGCGTAGCGAGGGGGGCGGGGGGTGCTGACCGCACTATAGCAATATATATATATAGAGAGAAAAAATTGAGGAGGGGGGGCAAATTGTAAGTTTGAGGGAGGGGTGCAAATCGAAAGTTTGAGGGGGGGGGGGTGCAAATCGACAGTTTGAGGGGAGGGTGCAAATCGAAAGTTTGAGGGGGGGGGGGCTGACACCCTTAAGTGCGGCACCGGGTGATACCCGACCTCGCTACGCCACTGCTTATGCTACTAGTACTATTACAATATGTAATATGAGCCTAAATCTAGTCTTAACTGTAGCCTTTTCGTTATTTTATTCTTACATTACTTGTAATACTTTCATAAGCAACGATACCGACAGAAAAAAAAGATCATCAGAGCCGTTCTCCATCATCCTACCGTCTTTCCTATAAGCACAATTTTTATTTGCAAAAAAAGCCAAAACAAGCTTGACAATTTGTGAACATTTGTCATATTTCGTTACGTGAATATCAACCGTCAGAGTTGATGGTGATTATCTCGTAGAGAAGTGGCTGAAAGCAGGGACTGGGGTCGGGGTGAAGGCGAGAATGGCTGATAAAATAATACTTTGATGGGTTGACTGCAGCGGCAAAGTGGCTGCTGATTTTGTTGCATCGACTCTCACGGGGATCCTGCTAGCTTGATGAGACTTCCTGTGCTGACTCGCAGACGATGGTTCTAAATTTGGACTGACTGACCCATCAGAACCTAGTTTGTAGAGTTTATATTGTTTTGCATTTTAATGAAAGTGTTTGTGTGTTGCGAGGCTCTATTCTTTAATGATGTTATTTCACCACAACGAATGCATGGATCAGATGTGTGGAAATCTCGTCCACGTGAAGTGAAGGTCAGTGAAGTTGTTAAGGGACCATCAATTTATGACGTTCGCAAAAAGTTCGAGGAAAATTATTTAAATTAAAATATGTTTTAAAAAAAATAACTGCTATCTTGAGGGAGGTTGTAGGCCAGTAGCGTACGCAGGGGGGGAGCAGGGGGAGCGGCCGCTCCCCCTCTGGCCATTTTCAGCAAAGTGGCGCCTTTTTGGAAACTTTTTAAACTCAAAGTTTTAAACAATGATATTTGTTAAAAAAAAGTTTTGGTCGGCACATGTAAATCACAAGATTTCTTTTCATGAGGCAATTAAGCATTATTGTACTAGTCTAGTAGTGTCTACGTTTACAACACGTATTAACAGCTGCATCAGTTTTCCATTCTAAAAATAACCATTTCGATGCATTGCAATGTTTAAAAAACCTCTACGGTTAGTACCACTTGGCAAGAGAGGTGTAAAGTTTAAGGCAACTGTATAATGTATTTGCTTACGAATATTTGAATTAAAAAATGTTATACATAAAACTTCACACATAATTACTTTATATATACAGTTTGAATCGTGTTATTATTTTTTTTATTACAATACAGAAACAAATACAACTGATGTGGCACCTCTATTTAAATTTACTTATTGGCGAACTGCGTAACGTTGGGGAAATGTTGACAAGGTTAACAACGTCATCACGATGAAGTAGTAGTATTATGACAGTTTGGGCGATAGTGATTACGATTATAAATTATATGAAACAGTTACAACCCCCCTCCCCCATGGACCCCTCTGTAAAAACTATTGTCATAATACCACTGCTACTTATTTAAATCTATTTCTGAATCAGTATACATGTGTAATTTATATGTATGTTTAGAACAGTCATCTAAAAACGGATACTATGTTCACTCTGAGTTGGTTATCTCCCCCCCCCCCCCCACCTCACCACCACAATTGTGTAGAGCGACATTAATGTCACACCTAGGTATACACTGGTTTGGATAATTGACCTAAAGTGACCGGACAGTGGTGAATGAAGTTGAACCCACCCCCTCCCTCCCCACCCCCAACCCACCCCAAACTGATCTGTAAAGTACTTTTGGGAAAACGCGTAATGATGTACCAAAGTACCATGCCGCAAGAAAATTAGCTTTTAAAACGTAAAAAATATGTGAATATTGTTTTTGCAATTACCAGTAAAAGGGTGTGTGATCAATACAGTATTCTAACCCATACCTATCACTATGTTAAAAAATGATCTTTAAAGAACACAAAGAAGCAGTAGTTAATTAAAAACGTATGATCTGAACTAAAAGACCGGTATTTAGTTAAATGTAGGCTGTTATTCTAACTGCCTTATATTGAATCGAAAAGCGTGGTTTTATACCAACTCTGATTTCAAAAACTTTCATTATGCTGTAACACTTAAGCATTTATGATGACGATATATTTAATTCTGATTATAGACAAAAACATTTTGTAAACACGAATAGTGTTAAACAATTTCATTATATTCTAAAGTAATTATTTATCTGTTTTAACATTTATAATTAAATGTGTAGATATATACATATTGATATTAAGACATTGATTATTTCCCCTATTTCACTTGTCTTAAATAATTTCCCAGGAATTATAATTTAAGAATTTTTTTTACAAGAATTACAAAACCGATTGTGTTACGTTCATTGTTTTTGGTTGTGGTGTGTGTAAATTTTTTTTACATTTTTATTTGTTTAGATTGATACAATTTTTGTTTCGTCGGCCTACACTGTGTGTTTTTTCTTAATTCTTCAGAGTGCTACTTTCAATTTATCTTACATCATAGCGAAGTAATGACATACAGCTAGTAATTATATATATATATATATATATATATATATATATATATATATATATATATATATATATATATATATATATATATATATATATATATATATATAATACAATACACGTATATAGAACGTGTTAAAAATTCGGCGCCTTTTTTTATCTTTTCGCTCCCCCTACAACGAAAACCTGGATACGCCTCTGTTGTAGGCTGAGGTGTGACGTCATTGTAGAGAGGGAGGGGGTCTGGCTTTTTGTGACGGTGGGGAGGGGGAAGTAAAAATCGTCAAAAAAGCGTTATTTCATTTATGGAAGACCCCTCACAGGTAGTTAGACTACCTACCCCGCCCCCCCCCCCCTCCGAGAATCCCAAAATGACGTCTGCCTCACATTAAGTTACAGCTTATCGAGACGTTGCACCCGTGTTGCTCTCTATTACGCTCTTGACACCGTTAAGGAATATATACTTTAACAGCATCATCCCCCAATATGTCACCCCATCCCCTCTAACTCTCATCAACCAAACGCTGAGGAAGGGTATTCAACTTTTTAAAAATGGATTGAAAGGGTTTTTTTTTAAGTCTGTAGTCATGTTAGCTCACATCGAGACATCGAGTTCATTCCCTTTATTTCTGTTTTTATTCACTGCTCGCGTACCGAAGTTACAAAATTTGATATACAACTAGAAAATGTGATTTTATTACCATTTATACTCTTAAGGTGAGTATTTTTTTAAAAAAAAAACAAGGACACTACAAAATATATTTATACATTTATATCCAGGTTATATGTCTTGCGTTTTTTTTATGCATGTTGGTATTTTGATGTTAAATTTAAGTTCCGACGCCCATATGGATCTTGATCTAGACTTAGTTGACATAGTGACGTCAAACTAACGCATCATTGGTACTTGACCTATATGCAAATGAGCTATAGTTCGTCCAATGATTAGTTTTATAGCCTATTTTTCTCTACAAGTTCTTCGTGAACCATGAAACAGTAAAGTCGACCAGGGCATACTAATTTGAATTCTTCGTGGCTAAACGGCACGCATTTGTTTTATTATACCATAATATTTATTTATTGTACGTATTTTATGACACAAAATTTCACATATGCAAGTATTTTTGTTTTGTTTGTTAAAGTAAGACAAAAGTAGAAGAGGAGTTGAGTGGGGGGAGGGGGTATTACTGCACATAAATCACAATCTCTCTCTCAAGCCAAAGAGTTCTAAAAAATTATTACCATTAGCAGAAGGTGACTCAGACAGGCCCTGCTCTTCTGGTATCAAGGGCACTTCTAACTTCCCTCCCTTGATTTTGTTCGGCACAGCATACACGTCTTCAGGCTCAACACTTTCCTCCTTCTTCCGGTAGATGGGCGATTGTGCAGCGGTGTTTTTGCTCGGCCCCTGCGCGTACATGCCATTGGTTCGCTTGGCCACGATTGGTTCTTCGTATATATCGCTGGTGGGCAGAGGTCTGAATTCTATCTTTTCGTCACCATTGACATTTTTGTCCACTTTCTAGAAAGAAGATCATAAAAAATAATACTTTTAGAATGAAATAATTAGTTACTTTCCAAATCGATCCACAACCTTCGACCACCATTCTCATCCCGCCCCTGCTTTCGTTCAACATCCACTAATACCCTTACCTAACTTCTAGCCTAACCTTAAAGTAAATGAAATAAAAAGCTAAAAATTGTAATTATGCCTTAAGACGAAACAGAATTAATCAGTACCCCGTAATTTAAAATTACCACAAACTATTTTAAAACAATCACCTTCATGCCTTTGTATTGCTTTCTTTTCCTGCAATACTTTCTGGCGACGAAAAGTGAAAGCGCGAAAAGAGCCACGCCTCCAACGCTGACTCCAACAATGATGGCTGTCCGCTTTCTGCCCGCCTCTTCATCTTCTTTTTCCTGGCGAGCACAAATCAGAAGTATGTAACAGTGGTATAGCCTACACAGTAACAATAGTTCACCTGTCTACATTCAGTGTTTCTTCCAGACTTTTTTCTCCGGGGGGGGGGGGACGACTTGATATTTTCGGGAGGGGAAGGGGCGGTCAACATTTTCCGGGGGAGGGGTGGCAGACACGTGTAAAATTATATATTTTCTATATAAATTCCATTTCGTTCGGGGGGGGGGGGGGGGCTCCCCCGAAGAGATGCCTGGAAGAAACTCTGTCTACAGTGGTCAATGGCTTACCTTGCCCAGCGAGCCTGCGACTGATGGAGACGAGGTAGATTCTTCGGCTGCAGGGGGAGCCACTGTAGTGTCTGTGGCATAGAATTTGATGAAACGGTTTTTATACCAGCGCTAAACGTATAGACGGTATTCACTTAACTTAATACAATCTCACTAAAAACCACACATTTTAAAATACGCCCTTCCAGTGAACCCACGAACAAAAACTGAATGAGATGTAACGTATGTAATATCTTAGACCTAGAGTTGAAAACCACCCCTATCTTCATATCTTTGCTCGAGGTCCATACATTCAGACACAAACTGTGTTTTTTTTAACATTTTCCCAAATTTTGGGTTAAAGTGGCGTGTCTAATGGAAACAAATGAAGTCAGGCCTAACTTGTAAACAAAATGTCAGATAATAAACGCCACACATAGAAATAGGCTAAAAGTTTGTTTTTAAGTTCTAAAACTAACCATCGTGATCGATCCTGCTTCTGTTCCTAACAACAAAAGATCCTTGACCTGACCCTGAGGAATAAATTATGTACATAATATTTTATTTTCGTTAATTTTGCAGCAGACGGTAAACAAATGTTGACATGCAAAGCAATAAATCTGTGCTATCTAATACATTAGCATAGAGGAAGTACGTCATAGCGATTAAAATTTGTGACACAATTTTAAGACAGGGGTGAACATCATCAGACAATATACATTGCGAACTTTATGACAGAGGTCATGGAGTTAAAGTCACATGACACAATCTTCTTTAATGCTTATTAGCATAATGATACTAAAAAACGTAAGTGATTTTTAGTAATTCAATAAAACATAATTGTGTGAAGACCAGTTTTAGCGACGATTTGTAAATCCATCAAAAATCCAGTGGGCACCAATATTTCAGACACGCATTTAAAATAAACACACACAGACACACACACACATACACACACACATACACACACAGACATACGGACAAGATTGCAAAACTAAGTTTTAGGGAGCTGTAAAACGTCTAGATTTGCAAAAATCTCGATTTTTAAAATATTTGTTTTACACGATTACTTCGTATATAGTATATACGAGAAAGTAAAAAAACCCACAACGTTTACTGTGCTAAATTTAACAAAACAGTTTTGGCTATTAAAAATATTATTTTAAGTTAGATCGGGTTCAAAGAAACTGAATTTAAATTTTCAAAATGTGAGTCATTTTTTTTACTAAACTTTTCTCAAGTCGCAAAAAAAAAAAAAAAAAAAAAAAAAAAAAATTAAAAATTAATGAGATATTGGATAGTTTAATCGTGTCTTTTGGGAAAAGTCAGGTAATTACAAATGACTAATTATTCTGTCATTAATCCCTGATTAATCCCTGATTAGTCTATAATGTTGTACTTTTAAAATTGCATATCATCTGTTGCAAGAATTAAACGGTGTGTGTATGGGGGGGGGGGGGGATAGGGAGCTGACACATTCAAAGTTTGACTCTCTATATTTTTAATTACCTGAATCCGATGTCGACTCAAGATCAAACAAGTGTATGTATTTCTGTGTTGTGCTTGGAATGACAACTACTTCAACTGTGTATTCATTGTCCGCGGAGTTATCGCTCACTGGCGGCCCAGTCACTGTAGATGTCTCTTCAGTCGAGGGGGCAACAGATGGCGCTTCAGTCGAGGAGGCAACAGATGGCGTTTCAGTGGAGGGAGCTATGGTTGTTGTATCGTAATCACCCGTTGACGGCGGCTCAGTCGTACTCTCTTCAATCGCTGCACCAATTTTACTGCCAACCATGAAAGTATCATTCGAGTCTGTTGTGTTCTCTGGATTAGCTGTGGTCACGTGGTCCAGCTCGTGCACACCAGCTGCTAGTGGTAACTCAGTTTCGGTTGAATTCTCAGCACTATGAGTACTGGTGTCAGTATCCGGCTGGGCCGTCGTATCTAAATCAGTAGCATTGTCGGCTGTATGTAGACGTCCGATGTCGACCGCTTCACTTCCGGTTGTAGTGTCAGGGCTTGGGGTTGTTTTTTCTAGCTCTTGTACAACAGCTTCAACTGGTTCTGTCGTCTCCGCCACCGTTGTTTCCGCCTCTGGTGTAGTTGTTTCTAGCGGGTTGTCAGTGGCACCTGGTTCCGTTGTGGTGCTGGAAGGTGGTTCTGCTGTTGTTTCTGCTGCTGCAGGGAGGCCAATGTGAACTTCAGATTCACCTTCAGTTGTTGTGTCGTCTGGTGAGGGAGTGGATGTGACGTCTGCAGAAGCTGGGGCGTTTTCTTCTGTGGCGGTAGAGGATGTGACGGAATCAACGTCAGGAGATGTGGTTGGGGTTGAGTCATCTGAAGCAGGGGCTGCAGTGCTAAGGTTGGGTTCATGCTCATGTAATACTCCGGCGTCTGCTCCTGCATGTTCCTCTGCGGTAGAGCTTTCCGTTTCTTTTGGTGTAGTCGTCTGCTCCGTTGCTACCACCACAGCTTCCCCACCTTCTGGACCAGCGGTGGTATCTTCTTTGGTGTCTGCATCTTTTAAATGTGTTTCCTCGACCTGACTGCTGACTGTAGTTGTCGAAGACTTTTCATCTTCACTGGAAGCGGTTGTTGTTGTCTTCGTGTCCTCGCCGTCCTGACTTTCTAATACCTTTCCAACTTCTGGTATTAATTCCACATCGCCTTCTTCATCTCCGTCCACCATCCCAAGAGGAGCTGGAGATTCAGTTGTTTTGTGGGCGGTGTCTTTGTCCATCTCTGTATCTACTAAATTTTCACTTGCCTCGGGATCTTTGTTGTCATTGGCTGCTTCTTCGGCCACAGTGTTAGAGCTGTCTTTGTCATCTGTTTTATCAGGGTTCGTTGTGGTGGACTCAGCGTGGGATTTGTCATTAGAATTTGTGTTTGTTAGATCAGTATTTGCCTTCGCGTCATCTAAATCTTTTTCGTCATCGCTGGTTTCCTGCTTTTCTGCGTCACCAACCCCTGACTTTTCTGCGTCACCAACTTCGGGTTTGTCTGCGTCATCAGCATTCGTTTTTTCTGCGTCATCATCACCTTGTTTTTCTGAGTCAACTTCTGGCTTTCCTGCGTCATTATCATCTTGCTTTCCTGCGTCATCGTCAACTTGTTTTTCTGCGTCACCAGCATCTGGTTTTTCTGCGTCACCAGCATCTGGTTTTTCTGCGTCACCAGCATCTTGTTTTTCTGCGTCACCAGCATCTTGTTTTTCTGCGTCACCAGCATCTGGTTTTTCTGCGTCATCATCATCTTGCTTTCCTATGTCAATAACATCTGGTTTTTCTGCGTCACCGACTTCTGGTTTTTCTGCGTCACCGACTTCTGGTTTTTCTGCGTCACCAACTTCGGGTTTGTCTGCGTCACCAGCACCTGGTTTTTCTGCTTCATCATCACCTGGTTTTTCTGCGTCACCAACTTCTGTTTTTTCTGCGTCATCACCATTTTGCTTCTCTGCGTCATCCGCATTTTGTTTCTCAGCGTCATTAGCACCCTGCTTTTCACCATCAGCGTCAGACTTTACAGTTCCATCAACAGGTTTCCCTCCTGCAGCAGCTTCATGTTTATCTCCATCATGTTTTTCAGAGTCATCAGATTTGCTGGTTCCCCCTTCCTCAGTTCCCGAGTCCCCTTCTTCGTTTTTCCCCGCACCATCCTCTTGTTGGTTCTCCCCATCACTTGCAGGTTTCTCAGTCTGGTGCGAGGCGTCCTCCCCCTCACCAAACCCCACCGGCTCGTCCTTCTGCATAAGCTCGCCCCATTCATCTCCGCAGCTGAGAAGGAAGGACTCTGACTTTTTAGCTGGTGGTTTCGAACACGGCACACACACCGTGTCTTTAGAGGTCGAACATGGTAGGGCTGCGTACGTTTGCACTGGGCAAATGGAGCATATTGTACACTGTTGTTCTTTATTGGCGTTTTCTGAAAAATACAAAATCAAAAAACTTAACTATACCATCTAATTTTACACCTTCAATTATTTTCAATATATATATATATATATATATATATATATATATATATATATATATATATATATATATATATATATATATATATATATATATATATATATATATATATATATATATATAGGTAACTACTCTTTACAAGTTGTGGGGTTTTAAGATAGATTCTCACCAACACATATTTCAAAGTGAAATTGGCTTAATAAACATGGAAGCGTTCAGTAGAAAGTGAGGTGAAAGTGGCTGGAGCTTCATAGCAGAGGCGTAGCGGGGGGGGGGGGGGCGGGGGGGGGACATATTCCCCGGGCGCCGACCTTAGGGGGGGGGCAAATTGAAAGTTTGAGGGGGGTGCAAATAAAAAGTTCGAAGGGGGGGTGCAAATCTTAAGTTTGAGGGGGGGGTGCAAATGAAAAGTTCGAGGGGGGGGGGTGCAAATCGAAAGTTTGTCCCCGGGCGCCGGGAAGGGTCGCTACGCCTCTTCTGCTTCATAGACCCAGTTTAAGGGAATCACTTAAACCCGTGTCCACTTTATAGGCGTGGTTGTGTCCATATAAAATATAAATGACCCACGGTTAATCAAAGTGATGAAATAAAACTTGACTGAATGAAAATAAGTTTCCGATAATAATCCAACCAATGGCCTGCGCATGGGTTCAAGTAAAACGAACCCCACTCACCTGTAAATGTCCCAAAGCTGCACTGCTCACACTTAGGTTTAGCACCGGGGACGCAGTCCTCCTTCAGGTAAGACCCAGCATCACATATACAGGTATCGTAGGGGAAACTTGATACTGTCTGCAACATCAACACAATAGGTTAGCTAACAACACGTGCTTCTCTATACCACTGGACTGACAGTAAACACATTCAACAAAACGGACAACAAATGGTTGAGTTCGAGACAAACTACTGCAGTTGCCTCTTCCATACGACTGTGTACGACGTCTTTTAAAACCCACCCTCCATCCAGTAACTGAAATCAAAGCTAAAGAGTCGTACTTTTACAAGAAATCAGAACACAGTGTAGTCTGTATTGACGGGTGTTGCCAGTTTACTGTAAATTATGTCAGAAGTGTGATTTTAAAAACATTCAATTATTATTCTTTTAATCAAGGGGCAGCTAGAGAAATGACAGTTCTTCGGCATATTTTTGTTTATTGTTAGTTTCGAGTTAGGTATAGATCTTGATTATCACGTTTAAAAAAATCAAATGGCAACAGTATTTTCTTTTTCTCGTGTGTTTACTATTAACTCAGAAAAAAATATCAACGACAATGTCATAATGTAACACCAGGAACTGTTTTAATCGTTATGACGCCTCTTGCTGATCTCTACACAAACATTTTCAAATGTATTATTCCAGGCCTCATGCGGATGATACATTGCGACGCTCCGCAAATAAACACATCTGGAGCAGGAAGAAACATCTTGGCAACGTCTCTCTCCTGCCGCACGACATGTTCGGTAAACATCGGTAAACATCGGGCCGACTCTAGTAATGCTCACAATCACGTGCGGCGGGTAAAGTTTACACGCTAAAGTAAACTTGATGTAAGTGTAATTTATGTTGTTAGAGGAAGCATCACTTAGGGTTTACTGTTGTCTGTAATAAACAGCTCGGGGGTAGGTCAACGGATGGGGAATATTACAGAGGTGGATGTTAGAGATAGGAATATTTCTGTACAATTGAGCGATGTTGTAGATAAGGAATTTAACTGAATGTTACAGATAGGGAATATTACTGTACAATTGAGCGATGTTGTAGATAAGGAATTTAACTGAATGTTACAGATAGGGAATATTACTGTACAATTGAGCGATGTTACAGATGAGAGATTTTACAGAATGTTACAGATAGGGAATATTACTGTACAATTGAGCGATGTTACAGATGAGAGATTTTACAGAATGTTACAGATAGGGAATATTACAGACGGGGGAAGTTAAAGATTCCACAAAATGTGAGTTTTACTAATGAAGAGAAATTAGTATTTAAAGTGATGAGTGGATAGTGAAGTAAGGTCAGTAGCGTCACAAGGCGAGGGAGCGGTTCGTGGTGATACTTTTAATGGGGTGACACCATGTCGAAAAATCGTAAAAATTTACAGTTAGAACAATGTTTTATTTCATTAAAATAATAAAATATTTGGCGTGTGTGTGTGTGTAGTAGGGGGGGGGGGGTTAGAGCTACACCCAAACCAAAAATACAAAACTGTTGGAGGGGTGGGGTGACACCCTCCATTACGCACCGAGTAACACCATACCTAGTGACGCCAATGAGTAAGGTACACAGTTAGGGAAAGGGTAATCATGGAAATGGGTTGTTAGATAATGGGATAGAGAAAGAGGTGAGTAGACAAATAAAAGGCTGGGGAGATTAACGCTTGTCTCATGGCAGCATAAACTTCCGTTTCCGTTTCAGGTGGTAATTTAATCCGCATGCTAATATGGCGATGTTTATCTTTTAATTGTCTTTGTTATCTTAAAGTGCAAACAATATCTAATGGAAATAATATTCTTGATAATATTTTTCATAAACAAAAAAATAATTATCTTTAATTTAAACAACATTTAAACTTATCGACAGCATGAACCTTTAGAATAATTTTGGCCTCATTATTCGTGCGCGTATCTGGCCACACCGAAACAAGGGACACAATCTTTAGTTCCGAGGCCCCCCGTCACTGCTTGCCACTGAAAAACTTGCGTGAATATTGAGGTGGCTATTACCATTGTTTCGGTCTAGTTTTGAAAGATTGTGATGATAATGTATGCGGCCCCACATTCTGGCATATTTGTAGAAAGAAGAGTAATATAGAAACTATTTCAGGTTTTAAATCACTTACAGTGATCAGGCTCTGTTAGATCAAAACGAGATAATTTAGAGAACCAATCCTAGATTCTACTTCTTGTAATTAAGTTTTCTGTTTGATAATTTGGTTGAGTATAATGTTATTTGTGTTGGTCGCTTTTTGAAAGGTTTAGCAGCCAATTGACGTAAGATGATGCACTCATGTCTATCGCACTTTGACAAGTTTAGTACCTAGTGACGTAAGATGATGTACTTTTGTCGGTCGTACTGTACTTTATATATATATATATATATATATATATATATATATATATATATATATATATATATATTTACTATAACTGTTATTTTTTACATCGAGATTACTCGTTCGGTTATTAAAAATTTCCCATCTAAATATGTACATAACAGAGACGAAAAAAACCTCATATCGGTGTTTAGAAAAAAAACGAAATGGTTTATTTTTGTCTTGGGAGACAATGGATGCGCCCAGATAAGTGAAATCATCATGGCTTGTAGATGAAGAGTCAGGGGTTGCCCGTGCATCGTGATACCCCACTGGAACTTGATAGAGTCCAAACTACCGTTTTGTACCAACTTGGTTTGCAGAGGCTGCCTGAGGGAAACCAGGGTTGAGAATCCTAGTGCCTAAGGGACTCCACTCCTATTCAATATTTAAATTATCTCTCTTAGATGGTTTGCTGTCCCCAGCTAATGAGCCTGCTTTGCCCGGGGGTTTGAACCCGGGAATTTCAGGCTATCAACCATTCGCTCACCCACCCTCGCTTACTTTTAATTTTCCCCCTCCCCCATCCATTACTTAAATATTTTTAAAAATCGCCCATAGCTATTCCACTGAGGAAAAAACTTACCAAATCTCCCGACATGATAAATTATACATATCTCTATAGATTACACGTCATTATTGCTAAACCAGATGTTTTAATAACTGTATCACATTTTAACTGAGTAGTTTTATTCCCAATATCTCACAGCCTTAATCTATTCTGGCTAATTCTATTCTACAGTGGTCCAGTCCACAACCGACGTACAATCTATGCTGGCTAACTCTATCCAGTCCACAACCGACGTACAATCTATTCTGGCTAACTCTGCTCTACAGGGAGATGGAGGATCGACTAAGCCAATGTGGCGCTAATTTATTTGAAGTGATTATTTGGCGAGTTCAAAGGTTAAAATAACATTTACCTAGTCCGTTGGTAGGACAAGTAAGGGCAGTTTGGTACTATGTCTAGGCCAAGTGTTATTGACTAAACAGCTCCGGGGTGAGGGGGTGGGGGGGGGGGGGAATGAGTTCCGGTTCCTGTTCCATCTGTAAGGAAACACATCCCAGCATCCACTGCGCAGCTCAACTATACAACGTGTAACCGTTGCGTTACTTATGTCATACCTTACACAAAGTCTCAGTGGCGTAGCGAGGGCGGATGTCACCTGGTGCGGCACCTCATGGTGTCACCCCCCCCCCCGTAAGAATATATATATATATATATATATATATATATATATATATATATATATATATATATATATATATATATATATATATATATATATATTCCATATACACTTGTAAGTACGTGTATACGCATGTGTATATGCATTCAAAAAATAATTTCTATTGGATGTATATAATTTTTTTACCCTCCCCCCCCATACATGGATTAACATATAGCTTATTACGATTATCAGCCAAACCGTTTTCCTCAGGCACATATATATTGCATCGTTGAGTTGATGTAACTCTTCCCCCCCCCCCCCCATCGTCACCCCCGCGGAGATTGTTTTAAACTGTGCTCAGATAATACTAACGATTTGTATTGGGCTATAAATATATTTAGCTATTTTTGCCTTGGTGTCACCCCCCCCCCGAAAGGTGTCACCCGGTGCTGTAGGCACCCCCCCCCCCCTCGCTACGCCTCTGCAAAGTCTTGTTTAGATTTTAATTTGATTTATTGACTTGTTTAGAAAGTCTTAACGCGGAAAGATCGTGGCTTAATTTGTTACCCACTCCTGCATAAATTACAGTTGCTGAATGCAGGCTATTCACAAAACCCTATCAAACCTGAGCCTAAAACTAGATCAAAACCTGTCTCGTGTATTCAAACGGTGGCTATTAATCTTCATATATTATTTCTTCTTATACGACTTAAAAGCCTTGTGGTGGGGTGGGGTGGGTTTGAAAATTAAAATTTAAGCTATCTATCTCCTCTTGAGCTCCATGTTAAAAATCTCCATGTCAAGCTCCCTATGCCTAAAATCTCCATGTTACGCTCTCCATGCCTAAAATCTAAGAAACTCCGTGTCAAAAAAAGCTGAACCATCGCCAACTAGTTTTGGTGTTTTCTTTACACGTTTATTTCTGTCTCTTCACACACACTGCCACATAAAGCCATTCATGCTTAGACATCGAGTTATTTATGCTTGTAAATAGATAGACGATCCATTGTCACCTGGGGCTTTAAAGTATTTCAAGTGTAACAAAATACACTGTGATAAAGATATTACAGCGACGTGAAGTTCTTGAAGTGACAACATCTATCAGTTTTACAAGCGGAAGTGACGTGCAAGGCTGGAGTTTGGATAGAAGACACTGATTTTTTAATTGGAGATTCTGCATTTTGACAAGCTTAGAGGTTGGGATTGAGAAAGAGAAATATTTTTTTTTAAAGAATCACTTTACAGTGAGGGGTTGGGGGGGGGGGGTGTCATAATTGTAATATCGTTGTTTATATATATAAATTATATTTTAATATATTTATTCTCTCTAATGATGTTTTGGTAAACAAAATTTTTTCGCAGCACTTTATAGATCTATGCAGATAATTTTAATATTCCTTGCAGAGGCGTAGCGACCCTTCCCGGCGCACGGGGACAAACTTTTCGATTTGCACCCCCCCCCCCCCCCTCAAGATTTCGATAAGAGTCTATGAAGTCAACTACTCAACCATGTAAGATCTAATATTTTGGGAGGGGGGGGGGGGGTAAACAAAGTATTCCCGCCACTAGGCAAGTAGACTTAGATCTAGTGCCGCGTGTTTCTCATGAGATCTCGGATAAGTTACGACGCGAGTTGTTTCCCCTTCACTAATAAGGTAAACGAGGAATGTTGCCCTGCCCTAGACATTTGTCATAGGGTTAATTAGAAATTAATCAAAATCAAGTCCGTAATCTTTGTAATTGATGTACTGGTATCGCCTGACCCTGACAGCTTAATCCTGTCTTCGTCACCCTCAGCTGTAGTGTAAGTCAACTCTCTTTCTTTCCTTCTTTACGTCAGATTTCTTATCTTAACTGTCTTCTCTGCTTTAAGTCAGCTTTCTATTTTTCTTCTCTGCTGTAAGTCAGCTTTATTCTGTGCTGTAAGTCAGCTTTCTATTTTTCTTCTCTGCTTTAAATCAACTCGCTTACTTATTTTCTCCATTGGCAAGTCAACTCCTCTACCTTTTACCGCCCCTCTCCCAGTCATAAGTCAACTTTCCTACTTATCCCCACCCCCACCCAGTTGAACAACTTTCCTACTTATCCCCATCCCCACCCCCACCCAGCGGTACAACAACTTCCCGCCTCACCAGTAGCTTAGCGCTGGCTCATACGAGTTGCTAGTAGCTAGCTTTACACATCTGTAAAAATGAACTCAACAGGTAGCGAGAGACGGAAATGCAACTTCCTCCCCCCCCCTCCACTCCCCCCCCCCCTTCCCCTGGTCTACATGTCCCACTTCTCCCACGTCTCATGACCTCAAATTTTGCATTTTAAAATTAATTAGCTTATGGGGCAAAGCTCGGTGATAAGTGACCCTGTGACCTGCTGTAAGGTCAGAGGTTATAATATATCTTCATGCGTCAACGTGGTCTCATGGTATGACAACTTCCTGACAAATGTGCGATGTAGACCCTTTGAGTTCTAAAATCCATCAAAGCTCAACATGGGATAACTATTTTTGTTTCGCTTTTTTTTAAAAAAGAAAAATCACCGGAAACACTTTTTAATTATCCGGTTTGTGACCGACATCTGTGTACACTTTTAACAGGTTGTTTCTTTTAGTTCAAGTAATTAAAAAAAACAATGCTTTGGTAAGCAAACACATTACCTGTGAAAATTACTGTAGTCAAGCATTCGAAAAAAAGAATTCCCCTTTTTATACGACGTGGCAGTCAATAGAAGTGGACAGAGGGGCACACGTAAATTACAACACGCAGGTTTATTGTAGTTCAACTGTAGTTATAAATTATAACAAGTAACTATTAGAGCTGAGGGCCACATGCAAATGTCTGATACACACCAGAGCTGAGTTAGCACAGAGACGTTATTTGAACGCGCCGGGTACCCACGAGAGCTGAGTTAGCACAGAGACGTTATTTGAACGTGTCGGGTACCCACCAGAACTGACTGGGCTCTATAATTACAAGACGCAAGTGCCCGGTGGCTTTATACGGTTCCATGACAAATGATCTCAGGACAAATGATCTCAGACAAAATATCTCAGACAAAATATCTCACGGACAAATGATCTCAGGACAAATGATCTCAGGACAAATGATCTCAAGGACAAATGATCTCACGGACAAAAGATACCAGGACAAAATATATCAGGACAAATGATATCATGGACAAATGATCTCAGACAAAATATCTCAGACAAAATATCTCACTGGGAAATTTTAATAGTATGTACGATGATTTTAGTTAATTTGAACTTTTTTTAATTGACTGTTAATATCGGTTTGTTTACTCTTTTTATGCATAATAATTGTGAATAAAATGAATTTGTTAAACCTAACAAACCATCAAAAGATTTATTAAACTTTGTCGAAGCAATTGATTCGAAATAGTAATAATTATAACAAACTTACTCCTTTAGCCTGAAAGGTATAATAAATGATAATGTATAAAGCAAATAAAGTAATGGTTGTTATACAACATTAAGGTTCAAAACACGCGAAATAGTTTTCAAAAATGTGAATGGGTTTTCAGGTTCGTAATACTATGTTATAATCTATTGTGTGAACTCTTGCTAGACATGTCCTAATTTCACATTTCCAAATCTCTTTGCCTGCTTATTGCAAACATAAATTCACCAGAAACTAGTGTCCTAAAACCTTTCTGAAAGAGGCCATAACTTAGTAATCACCAATAATACTGCTTTGTTTGATGCACACTACGACAAACTTAGCTCCGCGGTGACCTGATCACTAAGGTGTGACCGTCGCATAGCTATTGACTGTTGATGCTAGTTGTATTGTCCATGGAGAGCGGAGGTTTTTCCCTCAAGGCATGTCTCTGCCATCAAAGAAGGCGGCCACCTTGATAAGAAGGTGTCTTTATTGTTATTTCATCCCCTTTGATATAGTTTCGTCCACCTGACGTGGTAGGATTGTCTCATGTTTGGCAAGCTAACCTACGCTGTCTATCGAAAAAATCTTTAATCTTCGTATACTATATTACTAATACTAACTTTAAAATGTTTAGTGCAATATGACACATTTATACGCCAAACTTTTCTTACAATTATTATAAAGGCCTATAAACAATATTAAAACATAATAAACAAAACCATATGACAATCAATAAAAAAAAAATATTTCAGATCAGCTAAAATCATCAACTACACTTTTAAAATTTAGGTATGAGATATTTTGTCTGAGATATTTTGTCTGGGATCAATTGTCTGTGGTATCATTTGTCCTGATATATTTTGTCCTGGTATCTTTTGTCCGTGAGATCATTTGTCCTTGAGATCATTTGTCCTGAGATCATTTGTCCTGAGATCATTTGTCCGTGAGATATTTTGTCTGAGATATTTTGTCTGAGATCATTTGTCCTGAGATCATTTGTCCTTTATACAATAAGTCATGTTGGACCTACCCATCACGGCTAATGGTCCCAGGACTTAATATTAAAATGCCAGGTATATTTATGCAGAGCTTATTAGTGTTTCATTCTGACATTTTTTCTCCTGAGGAGGTGGGGGGGGGGGGGGGGGTGGCGTGGCGGAAACAGGTTGAAGTATATATTTTAAATATTTTATTTTTATTCTATTTCGTCGTCCCCCCCCCCCCTCAAGAAATGCCTGAAATAAATGCTGCGCAAAAGTATTTTTAAAAAGAATTAAAAACAAACAAAACATAACAGTTATTGACGGACATGTTTACTAAGTTGTTAAGATCGGGTGTGTTTGGTGCGACAGACTCGCGTTTCCCCGTTATATAAGCATACACAAAAACTGGCCACAAGTCTCGCCAACCTGTGTTGGTCACTGTGTTCAGTCGACCCCCCCCCCCCCTCTACAACATCCCCCTCCCACTCCAAAATTATTATTTCTAGCGAGGAACTAAGTACCATTTAGTGCCTGTTTTCCACGCTTTCAATAATTTCTAAAGAAAAGGTCACGAGGTCAAAAGTTAAGGTCAGACCCACCAGTCACCAACGACCCGAAATGATATCTCGTTACACTACACGAGACTTAACATGGAAGCTCCCGGCTCTGTCTCTCGCATCTTTTAAATACTTTATGGGGTCATAAATTACTTTGAAGTCCCCCTTAAACCTAGCTAGTTTGCGTAACCCCAACCCCCACCCTATTTGACTTATCATACATCTTCATCCTCTTCTGATGCTTTTATATATATTCTAAAAATAACTTTTTTTCCGGAAGTAAAAGAAACAGTTTCCCGTTCATTATTTATTCGTTTAATAATTAATTTATGCGAACTAATAAATCTGTTTGACGTAATTTAAATAATAACGACGCTTGACGTCTTTCGACGTTTCGGAGTTTTAAAAAAACGTTAAACTAAAGTAGGTCACAGAACGAATTTCATGCAAATGTTATCTCTCAAATTTGTCCCCGTTATTTTTTTTAAAACACAAGAACTGGTCTAAAGTGAGTTTATCAGCAGACTGTTTAAATATAAAAAGATAGGAAAACGTGTCCTTAAATTCTTGTACAACTCTTATCGCGATAAGCGGAATTATGTGCCTTAATAGTGTCTGGTTGAATAAAATTATGAAAAAAAGTCCATTTCCTGTCACCGATCTTATTCGTTGTTTACTAGCAACTAGTCCCATGCCTGACCGGGATTTTGACAAGCACAATTTCCGGGTTTATTATTTGAATAATAATTTACAGCTGAAGTTAATTAGATTCCAGTTTGGAAATACTGACGTCGTTGAGTCATGGTGACTTGATTAATGACAGCTTTCTACAAACGATCCCGTTTTTTTTGCGGATGTGTAAATATAGGATTTTTTTTCTGACCAGCAATAACCTGTTAGCGTTATTACAATCTGGTTCGATGTAGACGAAATAATTAATTACAATTAAGTTTTAAAATATCTCGAAGTAACCTATGGGCATACACTAAGTGAAACGATTTAACGGTTAAAAATAATAGCATTACAAAACTTACCAAAATGAATGAAGAAACAACATAGAGAAAACACAGACTCTTCATTTTAAAAAATATTCTTCTGTAGCAGTTACTTCTCTCTCAATTATTATCACAGACTTCAGATTTCTTTTTAAATCATCCACATGAATTATTTCCAAATTTGCATTATTCACATTAATCCAGCTGTAAATTATCCACAAAAATACTATCCAACTTTGGATAAAATACAATCACTAAATCCGGCACTAGTCACACTTGACCGAAAATTCACTTTAAAAAATTGATCCTTGACTGAAAAATACTCCAATAATCCTTTCGTGTACGCACTAATTTCTCTGCCGGGTGGAGATCACTACAGCCCACTCTGTGTCTTTCAACTGCCGTTCTCCCGCATATCTAAAAAAAAAAAGAAACTTAAGATTAGTTATTTAAATAGTACATTTGAGTTTACATTTTCTCACTCGATGCTGACCAACATTGTCTGAAATCGTAACGAAGCACAACTCATCAAAATACTGACACAATGCTTAAACTCAAAATACGTTGGAATTATTTTTTAACTTTAAAAATGGACAATATGCTATTTATTTAACAGAAATAATTGTGGTATAATTCTCGTCTCTAACACAAAACCCACAATCGTAAAAAGTAAAAAATACTACCACATTCATTTGAAAGTTTCAGCTAGATCTAAATTCGAATGAAGAATTAATTCAGTAGCGATGTTCATGTTGCATGTGGAATAATATTATTTCGTTCGTTACAGCTTTACGGCAATTAGAATTAATGTTTTTAAAGAGCGACTATTGACTGGCTACCTTCCTCTCGTTTGGGCGTTAAGATACAAAGTACGTTTTTCCTGCAATACTAGAATCTTGTGTTTGTTAGCGCCCGGCTTTATAACAGATTTTGACGACTTATGACGACTTTAATACTTTAATCTGAATACAATTTTTGACGGCTTTATACTTTTACCATGAATGAAGTTACTGACGCGTGACCAAACTTTAGAACGGGACGATTGCTAGTCTTGTCGCCCTAAACAATTCCAGAAGAGTTCCATTGCTGTGTGCGGTTTGTCTTTCAAAAGGTTTCCCTTGCTAATCGTTGTTTGATTCGTTTCGCCACAAAGCTTCTAAATAGCAACACAGCGATATCGGTTAAATGATTTTTTTGTCATGCAAAATTAGCTGACGTCTGGTGGGTGGGGGTGTATGTGTATGTGTGAATTTGGTGTGTGCAAGGCTCGTGATCCTGTATGTGGCTATATGAACCATGATGTTTTATAAGAATTGTCTTTATGGCATATGGGCTTTATTGCCTGTCTGTAGCCCTTCAATAAATAGTTATCAAACAAAGTATAATACAAAAAACAAACATTGTCATGTTTGTAAAGTGCGAACATCCCTTTCGGTGTCCTTGAAATGACATTGAGAACAGCCCAGATATACGCGACCTGATATGAATGAAGTTATACAAGAGTTGCACATCTGACACTGCCTGAGGTTTCTCTTCCGTTAGACCTACGGCGATGGACATCCACGGATTCGTGTCGTCGTAAGGAGGGAGGCGAGCAGTGTACTTTAAAGTACCGGTTCATCTTATTCTTGTATTGTCTGAGTATCGTTTCATCTTATTCTGGTATTGTCTGACTATCGTGTTCATCTTACTCTTGTCACGGAGTCACATTTCCCCCAATGAGATAACTATACACACACACACACACACACACACACACACACATATATATATATATATATATATATATATATATATATATATATATATATATATATATATATATATATATATATATGTGTGTATTGAAAATGTGCTCCAGTGGTAGAAAATTTGGTCGCTAACGTGAGAATATCCAGCTCAAATTTGTGCTATATCTCTCACCATACAGCCAGATGTAACCTGCCAATATCTCGGTCCTCACACCCTCTGGCTAGAAACAGATTAACTCTACTCTCTCTACTCTTTTGTCACCTTATATTGTGTTGATAATAGTTTATGCCTGGTATTCGTGATTTCTATAATTGCCTTGAAGTATACACACATGTTGAAGACGTTTATTTAAAGTTTTAAAACATGACCCTGTGTAAAGAAGTTGACACCCAGACGTGTGTACTTTTTGACACCTGTGTCCCCGTTATAAAATTAGCATGACTGAGGTCGCGGTGTTTGACATGCAAATGTTCAATATTGAACTGCGAACTAAGCACCGTACTCGTGTGATATACTTGATGTAACATTTACACAACCCTGGCTTTGCTGAGATAATTCGCCAACGCTGAAATTTAATCACAGATCACATTAGAAATTAACGATTATTTAAGGAGTGTGTTACATAAAATTATATGTTTTGTATAGCAAATTGAGAACTCTCTTATCTATTAAAAGTGACACTTTTTTGTGTGTTAAATTCTATTCAATCTGTTTCAAAAATAGAAAAGTTGTGTTTCATTATTTTTTTTAAAAAGAATATTCTAGTGTATCCGTTTACATTTTTTTAAACGGTTATTCGATTTGTGTTTGTCAACTGTGAAATTAAAACATTAATTGGTAGAATAAAATCCCTGTCGGTTTCAAAAGAAATAACCACTCAATATATCGACGGTTAAAAAGCCGCACATACTATCTACTGAAAGCGAATGCGTGAAAGGGACGTAATACAGCTGACAAAGAGAGACAACTTCGTCTTTATCCTGCGTTTAAGAATTTAAGTCGTACACCAATACCTCTTGAAAAATATTGAATGATAAATTTTGAGTTGAAAGGGGAGAGTGTTGTCTACTGAATGGCTTGTCGGTTGATGTAATTTGTTGGCATGAGGGGGGCGGCTGAGCTGCGGGGTGTGTGAAACAGATTCATCTTTTGTCTGTGTGAATGTGGTGGAAACGTATTAGATTTATACACGTCACTCCATATTGAACCAGGCTTCTGAAGGCTGACTTTTAAAGATGTTATGTTAATACTGTAAGTAACTTACTTCTCGGTCACAATCAATTTCTTTGATATTTTAAATAGTAAACAAAGTAAAAGAGCTAATAAAGAAGAATTGTTAAGAAAGAAAACAAAATACAACACTACAATTTTACTACAAACACTGTAGGCAAGTGATTCAAACAAAAATACACAAATTCAGATCTCTGGATGTATGTGCCCCCAATTTTAAAAATTTGAGGGCAAGTTCAAATTAAGCTAAGGTCGTTTCGACCCCAACTGTAATAGGTCAGATGCCCCCCCCCCCCCCCCCAGTTGTAACAGGTCGGATGGCCCGTAGATATAACAGGTCAGGTGGCCCCTAATTCTAATAGGTGGCCCCTAATTGCAACAGGTTAGGTGGCCCTTAGCTGTAACAGGTTAGGTGGCCCTTAGCTGTAACAGGTTAGGTGGCCCTTAGCTGTAACAGGTCAGGTGCCCCCTAATTGTAACTGTTCAGGTGGCCCTAGCTGTAACCGGTTAGGTGGCCCTTAGCTGTAACAGGTCGAGTGCCCCCCTAATTGTAACAGCGTGTAACCTACCTTCAGAGTTGAACTTAACACAACACAAGAGCCGTGTCTAGACGACTTAAAACAACGAAGGTAATTAAAAGCATTTGCTAATCAATCTGATCTATTTATAGCACGTTTATGGATTAAATAAGTTCGTTTTGACGTTATTGAGAGCTATGCTATTAGATCTAGACCTTTTTAATTTTTTTTTAAACTTTTGTTTTTGAAATTTGAAATTCGTGATTTTTTTCCATAGGTCTTTATTTATTTCTGTTCATATGCCGAGGTCACAGAAACAAATGAACTCTACTTCACTTGCCCCATAGACCGTCAGGTTTGAAAGGGAAACTTACTTTACTTTACATATTTAAATACAACGTTTTGTCTGGTGACGTCGTCAACCCCCCCCCCCCCTCCCCCACCTAAACCGGAACCTCGCCCTCTATGGTAATGTAGAGACTGTCACCACTGTCAGTTAGCACGTCAACAATCCTCCACCCCCACTAGTCAACAGAACTAAACCATTAGAGGGGACATTGACCATTGTCCACCCACAACTACCCAGGTAGCAAAAAACTGGTCCTTCGTAATATTTTCTTTAATGTGTTAGAGAAGGAGGAGGGGGTAGCTTAACACAGTCATTTAAATTAATAATAACCGCCGCAGTTTTTCGAATCCCATAATCAATTTACATTATGCCACCGTTTATATCAAACCGTGAAATGTTTAATTACTATTCATAACTGAGTCTTAAGCGTAACGGCTGAAGTCGCTCCTATGAACCGGGGCCGTAATAAGCCATCCCTACCGCCCGCCACCACCAACCTCTACATCCTCTTAAACCCTCTACACAGCTGCAGCAGCTGGTATTGTATCCGACTATGTGGCAATAAAAAATTTGACATAAACCTCTGATCATTCTTTTATCTATAATAACACATCAATCATATTTTATCTTAATACAACAATCTAATTACACTTTTGCAATTTTTCAATTTGTCCTCGATAAATCCACCTCACGACGTAAATGAATAAATCACGCACTTTGAAAAAAAATTAATAACATAATCACCAGAAACTTTTTTCAAAATCTGAAGTTATATACAGATACACATCCTGTGTTTAATTATTTACATGCAAATTTGAAACCAGAAAACACCACCTACACATTAGTCCGTGCAACCGCCTATTCACACCGATAAAACCGGCCGCACAAGTCGGGGGAAAAAATACACGAATACTGTAAACCTTGTGATAGACACCTCGTTATAATTTGAATTGTCCCAGTCAGCTTGACGTTAAAATAACAAATAAATTACGGTACCCAGTGGCCTGCTAGGCGAGTGAACTGAAAACAATGGTAAGCTTAATTTTTATTTTATTTTTGGAAAAAAAAAATTAAAAAAATTGAGGGTGGGGGGGGGGGGGGTAATCATAAATGACGTCACACAGACACCTGGGGTAGATTGTGGCGAGAGTGATGCTGTGGGTTATTATGTTATTTCTAAATGACAAAAATTAATAAAAACATTTTTTGTTAGAATTATGGTTATCTGGGTGGGGAGTAGTAGAGCTTCGTGACGTTATTTAGATTGGTCTGACTTTTTGTATCGGGAAAAAAAAAAACGTGACATCAATAATGGACGAGCCACGAGAATTGATTGTGTAATACTACCTTTAAATTGTCATTTACACGCCAAAACTCCACACATTTTGTAACCCAAATCGATCACTTCGACCAAATGTATGAAATTAATACAGTATTATTATAGACGGTTTACAGTATGTGATCTTTAAAACTATTGACATGCAACGTTGAGATAGCAGACCAAACTAAGTCAAGATTTCAGTTTGTTTAGTTTAGATACACGCTGATCCGGTGTCTGGGTCAATTTGTTGCTGGGGCAAGTTTTCACGTTGCGCCTCGAACAGTTACCTTGCACGCCCGATCACCTTGGACTAGAGATATCTTATGACCGTGAAGGTAATAGATCTCATAACGGCGATAGCCACGCAAGAGAGCGCTGATATTAGCACGGCGGATAACCTTGGTACCAGGTACACGACACGCGTTAGAGAGACAATAGAGTTAGTGCCCATGTTAAAAAATCTTTGCACTTACACACTTGATGGTGTAAGTTTACGATACAAGCCATGTACCCAAGACTTAAGTGTTAAAGTCTTGGCATGGCATTCATCAATTGCCCTTGACAGTGACCGAAGCTACAAACTTACAGTTTCTTCCCGGTATCTTTTCGCCCCCCCCCCCCCCCCCCCCCCGCAAAATTATTGCACACGGTGCTGATCAGTTTAGCTAGTGTCATTACGACCGCCGGCCCAGAGGCGTAGCGACCCTTCCCGGGGTCCGGGGACAAACTTTTCGATTTGCACCCCCCCCCCCCTCAAGATTTCGATTTGCACCCCCCCCCCCCTCAAACTTTTCGATTTGCACCCCCCGTCAAGATTTCGATTTGCACCCCCCTCAAACTTTCGATTTGCACCCCCCTCAACCTTTCAATTTATTTTTCCAACCATTTGGCGCCCTCCAAGGTCGGCGCCCGGGGACATATGTCGTCCCCCCCCCTCGCTACGCTACTGCGCCGGCCCTAGCAGACATGGCTGACCTTGTGCCATTGAAAACAAATGCCTGGATAAATCCTCTTTATCCGCCATCTGAGACCTAATAATAGTAATATGTCCTAATTTTTTTTTTACAAAAGTAGCAATTAAACCTAGCACATTATTCGGCTCCAATTCAAAATACATACACCATACACTTTAAGAAGAGAATTTTTAAAAATTGGTTTATATCAGTTTATACTAGCCAGTTTACTCAAACATTTTGTATCAGTGAACTTTGAACCCATTCACTGATAATCTTCTTACAATGCGGTGACGAATGTTAGTATTAACTTTAAAGAGAGGGGCCGATTAACCTGTTCTGTTGTTTGAAAGACAGGCCTTTCATCCCATTAATGCGTGTATCACCTCGGTTTTTTTTTTCTTGAAACAAGAATCGGATACCTGATTGGTGAAGCCTTCAGGTGAGACAGGTAAATGGGGTGGTACAGCGTTATGGTGGGGTGGTAGAGCGTTATTGTAATACTGGTGGACTTCATTGGGTATTTTAAGTCATCGACGTCACCCCTCCCCACCCCAGGGGCGTAGCGACCCTCCCCGGCGCCCGGGACAAACTTTCAATTTGGCGCCCCACCCCCCACCCCCCCCCCCCCCCCCACCCCACCCCCATATATTTTTTTTGTATTTACAACGCAAAACTGCAGCTAAAATGAGCTTTTATTTTTTTTCTTACCCATTTTCGCGCCTCCTAAGGTCGGCGCCCGGGGACATATGTACCCCCCTCAGCCACCCCCTCGCTATATATGATTTCATCATATATATATATATATATATATAACTGAACTCTCCTTCTTCTTTCCAATGTACCGTCAATCACATAAAATAAAAGTGTCAAACATTGAATTCTTGTGACTCATTCCGTGGGAGCCAGACAAGTCTGGAGTCGGTGTGTAAAGAAAGGTATTTCAAGTTGTGTGTGTGTGTGTCTGTGTGTGTGTGTGTGACATAGGTTATCGGCGGTGACCTGTTTGATTCTAGCCTTGTGATAGACACGTGTCACGGTCAGCTTAACAAAAGGGACTTAACTCCAGTGACAGAAACAACAGAGTGATCTGTGTTTGCACATATGACATATACGTAAGGCGTATGTGGTCATGATATGGGCCACCAGAGAAATCTTTTTTTTTTAAATGATGTCATTGTTTCTTTCAGACTTTTTTCTGGGGGGGGGGGACGACTTGAACTTGAAATTTTGAAATCTCGGGGGGGGGGGGGGGGGGGGGATGGCGGACGCTGGTAAAAGTATATATTTTCTATATAAATTATATTTCCTTGAGGGGGGGGGAGGGGGCGGTAGATGTTTTTCGGGGCCACGAAGAGATGCCTGGCAGAAACTCTGATAAAGGGGCCATAAATCAAAAGCCGAACTTTTTGAATAGCAAAGCTTTAGCGGATTCGATGCGATTCACTTACACGTGTAGACACAGGCGGATCTAGGGGGTGCAGAGGGGAGCTTTGTACCCTGCCAAACGTTTAGTTGATCAAGCTAGGGGGAGCTTTGTACCCTGCCAAACGTTTAATTGATCAAGAGTGGCCCACTCACATGTGTAGGCATAGGCGGAGCTAGGGGGTGCACCACATGTCACCCCCCCCCCCCAAGTTTTGGGATATATACCCCCCCCTCCACCCACCATCTAAGAATGTAAACAGTAAGCCTGAGCCGCCAGAGAGTTTATGTACCCCAGTAGCCAGAGTTTATTAATATCTGCTTTTTGCCGATTATTATTTTTATCACACAATTTAAGTGAAATACTAACTACGACATTATCAATGATTGTAAATGATAACATTACACCGTAAAGTAAAGCATTTATCAGTCGGTGCGCTTTTTTTCTTTGTCCAATATCACCTCAGCAATGACACGACACCTTAATAATTTAGTACACACCAACGCGAAAGTTAACTATAAATAGCTTTGGTAAATGATCAGTTTATTATTAACTGTCAACACAAAGAGCTTAACAAAGACAACTCGGGCGCATACTGCCTTCTGTTATCATCGAGACCTTCTAGTGCGGATACAAAAGCTAGTTTGGCTTCCTGACCTCGAGTGAACCCGTGAACGAATCCACAACAATACGGTCCGTGTAATGCTCGAGGGAACACATTATCACCCAGACGCGCTGACTACAGCAAATGGTACCGAAACACACCGTTGGCTACTGAGCTTGAATCAACACGATAGGACGGCTAAAGCCTAGTCTTTGTGTTGCTAAAACATTGACCCTAGTGGCTAATGATCTTTTGAATGGCGAGTTAAATAGCTTTTTATAGCAACCATCAAAGAGATTGTCTGATACTTCACATGGTGAAGGCGAACAAACATGTATTTTAACTACTCGTGTGTGGGATGCAATATGCTCTCGTTTTGGGCTTCAGCAGATCTGAGTTCTAACTGAAACTATAAATAGAAGTATGTGGTTAATGTATTTTTTTTCTGGCTACCTTCTTCCAATTGATCCAACAGTCAATAACATAGAAGGACTCTACTTCATCTGCCCCGCATAACATTTGGCCTCGTTATGAAATGTGAATAGTTTGGGTTAAAAAAAATTAAATTAACTTAGTTTTTTATATCTGAGGTGGCTGGCTAGAAGTCTGTTGCCTACTGGTCAAAATACAACAATTAAGTCACGTGTACTCTAATATGGCCACGCGTACAATACTGTGGTCACGTAAACAATATTATCGTCACTCATACAATACTATTGTCGCCTATACCATTCTAACATCAAGTGTGATGTGGTGTACATAAGGTAACGGGGGTTACACGGGGTAATGTGGGGTACATGGGGTGATGTGGGGTACATGGGGTGATGTGGTGTACACGAGCGTATATGGCGAGGTAATATGGTGTACACGAAGTAATGTGGTGTACGTGGGTTGATATTATGTACATATGGTGTACATATGGTGATACGGTTTGCAAGAGTGGAAGTGGTGTACATGGGATGTGGTGTACACGAGGGTAATGTGGTGTACGAGGGGTGATGTGGTGTATATGGGGTGATGTGGTGTATATGGGGTGATGTGGTGTATATGGGGTGATGTGGTGTATATGGGGTGATGTGGTGTATATGGGGTGATGTGGTGTACATGGGTGATGTGGTGTATATGGGGTGATGTGGTGTATATGGGGTAATGTGGTGTATATGGGGTGATGTGGTGGTACGAGGGGTGATGTGGTGTATAAGGGGTGATGTGGTGTATATGGGGGTGATGTGTTGTTAATGGGGTGATGTGGTGTACATGGGGTGATGTGGTGTATATGGGGTGATGTGGTGTACGAGGGGTGATGTGGTGTATATGAGGGTATGTGGTGTACATGGAGTGATGTGGTGTACATGGGGTGATGTGGTGTACATGGGGCTATGTGGTGTACATGGGGTGATGTGGTGTATATGGGGTGATGTGGTGTATATAGGGTATGTGGTGTACGAGGGGTGATGTGATGTACAGAGCTAATGTGGTGTACATAAGGTGATTTGATGTACATGGGG